GTGATAGTGATGGTGATGGTGATGGTAATGGATAGATGGATGGATATACGAGTATGGTATGGTATATGTTATGTGTGTATATTTAGGTGGTATTATTATGTGGTTATTGTGCGGTATATTGAGTATATGTGTATATGTATGCATGATGAATAGATGGATGTATACTCAGTAGTAGTAATAGTAGTAGTAAATTCATAATCGATTTTGATCTACATCTACATATAGCTAACTAATGCTACGCGGATCATGCGATAAGTAAGGCCATGATTTATATAAGATTACAATATAAGAGTTATATACGAGTACTAGGAAAAGTTATAAAACCTGCTACCCTCCCGGGGAAGGGGGTTGCCCGAGTAGTCTAAGATAAGATAAGATTCTGTATTATCTAAATAAAACACTTATGGCCTGTAATATCTGCGCAGATGAAGAAGACTATCCAGGATGTATATATAGATAGATATATAAATAGATGAAAGAGAAAAGAAAAGACAAACGGAAAAAGGAAGGAAGAAGGAAGTGAGAGTGAAGGGGGGGTGAAGTTGGGGAAGGGAGATAAATGACTATATATAAGAAGGGTAGTATAGTGTAAAAAGGATTAAGGATAAATAAGTATATGTCCTCCTTGTATTATCCCTACCAAGTAAAATATGGGTTAATTGGTTAATAATTAACCCTACCAACCTATCGGCTACTAGCTAGGTACTTACTAGGTAGTAAGTAGTCAGTAGTCAATCTGGTCGGGTCGGTCAATTGACAAATCATAGTCTTGTTCCTGCCATGAATTTATATTTAACCCCTCTTTCCCACACCCCCTTCCCCCTCCGCTTCTTCATCTAGGAAAAGTGAGTGCAATGATATGAAGACCAACTACCTAGTAAATTCCTTTTTTTTTTTTTTTTGGGTAGATTCTTCTAGAGTAAACACAAACACAAACACCTTGTTTTGCTTTTGCTTCTGCTTAATATAAGAAATAAGAAATAAGAAACAGCAAGAGAAATTTTCAATAGCAAGGAGAGTTCTGATAGCTAAAGCTATACTGGGAATAGTTTCTTGTGATATTCAAAATCAAAACTATTCAGCTACTCAGCTACTCGTATAAAATCTTATACAGATTACAAAAACGAACCCAGACACAGACACAATCAATGATAGCAATAGTAATAGTAATAGCAATACTTCCCTCAGGTTCCCTGAACCTGAATAGAGATTTAAAAGATTCTTTGCATGTATGCCTGACTGCAAGTTTCTCCGTACCAATATCAACATCAACATGGGACTTCTATCTCGCAAAATACTTTTGACCTCCCCGATAAGTTGTGTTGTAGTTGTAGAAACCGCAATCACCTCCCCCCTTCTGAAACTTTTCCCCTCAACCCCCTTTGACTGACTGGAAACTTTTTCCGTGGATCATCCTCTTATGATTAGTTTTAGTCTTAGTCTTAGTCTTAGTCCACCCACCTGATGATGGTTTTGGTTTAAATTTCTGCTTCTCTTCCCTTCCCCCCTCGCCTCCCCAAGAGAGCTCTGTATCAAATCAAATCAGCTCCTCAAATCTCAAGCCTCACCTCACAACCTCACAGCCTCACAACCTCACAGCCTCACAACTTCACAATTTCTTTCACCTCACAACCTCTTTCACCCCTCCAACTTCTCCCCTCCTCTCGACTCCACTCGACTCCCCTTCACTCCTCTCCTTTCCTCTCGAATCATCCTCCTCAAATCATCCTTCTCAAATCCTCCTCCTTATATTTTCCTTTTCCTTCTCAAATGTACTCGAAGCACTGTATTCGAAGCACTCGAAGCACTTTTGATCGAAGACATACGTATATACATCCCTTCCCATCCCTTCCCTTCCTCTCTCTCTCGAGCAGAGCAGTAAACAAGCAAGCAAGCGAGTTCTCGCCCACGAAATAAGAAATAAGGAATAAAAGGGATGGATCTTGATCTTAATCTTGATATTGATATTGATATTGCCTTTTGGCTTTTGTATAATCAATGCAGATAGTTAGAGATTAAATGAATGTAATGGTGACTTATAAGTTGAGTAGAGGGACTGATTGATTGACTCGTAGGGTGGATTGAGTAGATTGAGTATGGTAGATTGAGTACGGTGGATGATGGATGATAAATGATGGATGATAAGTGATGGATGATGGATGTAAGGATGGATATGAGGATTAGGATTAGACTGGGCTAGACTGAACCTGAGAAGAGAAGGAAATGAGAAGGAAAAAAGAAAGGGGAAAGGGGAAAGGGGAAAGAGGTTGGGTTCTTTAGATTATTAGTTTTTAGGTGTTAGTTATGAGATGAGTTGAGATGAGATGTTAGTATTTTTATGTAGATTGATAGATGGAGTTATTGAGTTGTTGAGTTATTGAGAGGCGTACTATACTTGTTTTTGTTTCTATACTTTGTATATTACGAGTATATTGGTAGAGTAGCAATAATACTGTATAGATTGTCGAAGGTACTATCTTCTAGGTATGTATGGGAAATTGTAAATACCAAGTTATTGACAAGTAGGATAGATTAGATACCTAAGTTGAGTAGGCTGAATAGCAGAGGAGATGAGAGGAGAGAGTAGAGGGATTGTTTATGGGGTTGCGGTTTAAGAAATTATAATACAATGGAATGGAATGGGATAAATAGGAAATAGGAATATACTCGAGTGTTGGTTTGGGAGATCATAAATACTATTGCTCGAGTACTCGTATATCATGTTACCGGTGTGTGCTTTTTGGTTTGAAATCTGTATATCGTGATCTGATCATGCTATTACACTCAAAGCACAAGTGGTGAAGGAATAAATAGTATTATAGAAGAGGGAGAGATGGGAGGAGGACGAAAAGTAGTGATCTGATGTGTTATAACTTATGAGGTCATAAGATGATGGTGATGAGAAAGGCTTTGATAATAAATGTGATGAGATGATATTATGAGAATGAGTCTGAGAGTATGAAGTATGAAGTATGAAGTATGAAGTGTATGGATAACGAACTATGGATTTTAAAGTTTAGACTAACCTTAACCTTGCCGTCTTACCTCAACTAACTGAGGTTGGGTCCAGCCGCATTTGATCTAGCTGTCGATCACGCCAAAAGCTGAATAAGATTATATGATTAGGAGAATCTAGAAAATAGATTGATTGACCATCTATATCTTTTCAACACTAGGCTATATATCGCTTGGCCTCGTCCAAATGCGGTTGGACCCAACCTCAGTTAGTTGGGATAAGACGGTATGATATCGAACTCTAGTCAGTCACGGCATCGCCGAAAACAATAGGATGAACGGACGTTGGTAAGAGTTTCCAGTGTGACGGACTGACAGGATGAGAGTAATGAAAGGTGATCATTCATCACTGATGAGAAAGGTGACGAAAAAGTGATGAGAGATCAGACCTGTCAAAGTTCCCGAGTTCCAAAATCAACAACTTGAAACTCGAAATTCGAAACGATCAGGGTTATGCGAAGACTTTAAGAGGTAGGTATACCGGCAGCTCCGAGTAGATCGTACCTAGGTATGGAAAACGTCTCCGAAAATCAGAGTTAGAATTTGGGCGGTTGTGAACGGTTATGGCGGTTTGGGTCTTGAAGTGAAGTGTTTGATAGATGAATGGATTGATGGATAGATGGGGGTGGTGGATGGATGGAATCCGATGGATGGGATGAAATCGTGGAGTTACAATTATGAGCTGATGATAAAGCTGGTGATGTTGATGAATAGATGAAGTGAAGTGGATGAAGTGGATTCTACTCAGCTCAGGTGTTACGAATATTCAAAAGATGAAACGTCCCACTTTCTTAACATTATGAGATTAAGACTAAGGTTATTCATTTATTCTATACTTGATGTATAGCCCTACACCTTTAAAGAGGGGACCCCGTTTCGATAACTCGTACCACAAGTTTGTTTCTTATATAACTGGGAAGGATTGATATGCTTGTATGGCTGTTTGCTTCTAGAAAACCCAAGGAAGTAATCGATAATATTAAGACATGGACGGGGATCCTTGAGGATGTCTGTCTATCAATATACTTGAGTATATGAGAAACCTTATTCTGTTGGGTCTCTTTCTGAATAGGGCGTTTTGTGGCGATAATCAATGACTGATCAGGAGATATTTGTGGCGGTAAGATAGGATCGAGGTTTGAGGTTATATACAATATGATATGATATCAGAAAAGTATACCTTGTCAATTGAATATTTAACCCCTGAACCAACATAGGGATAGGTACCGGTACTCTAAGTCTTTACTACTTGTATGCCTGTATCCTAGCATTGTTAAGTGAATCCACTCCAAATTCGACCATCGCAACCAACAAAGGGAGAAATAATTAGTTGGAGACGACACAATAGCCTTCACCGTATAACTATGTATACCCTTAAATCGTTCATATACGGAAATGAGGCTGTGCTGAATTAGGTATCCGAGTTCTATAAAGAGTATACTTTTAGCATCCTTCAAAAAAAGTAATATAAGCAAGCGAAAATTAATATACAACCAAATACAGAAAGGAAAAAGAAAGGAAGTCAAAAGTTGATTGTATAGTAAGATTGATATGAAACAATAAGCTATATGATCTTCTCTGCCTGATGCAACTATTATTATAATATCATAATCACAACTCAAGTCACAAGTCTCACCAAACCAATTTCCCCAGGCTTTTCCCTACCACAAGGCCCTTGCGCAGGAATCTCTAACAAGCCAACTGCACGACCACATTTCAGCTATCCACCACACGCAAATACATCCTACATTCATCATCAGCGCAGAGGAAAAAAAAACAAAAAAAAAATCATCTGAGTCCTGCAAAAATAACACGAGTTTGCCGTCTCATACATTCCCTTACCCGCTTCGAGAAACGCCAATTCATCTGTACCTTACCTTTCCACGCGATCCTTCCGCACATCCTTCAAGCGCCCTAAGCATTCCACCCAGCTTCTCACACTACAAAGACCTCGTGGCTCCCTTGCTCGTTTTACCAATTTTATAATGGCTGGAAAGACTGCTGCGCAAGAAGAATTCGATAATATTATAGCGAAGGCTTCTGCGAGAGATAATTACCATCATCCGGACGACGAGAGAGATTATAGTTTCGACAAGCAGAATAGTGATATAGATGAGGAAGACGAGTACCATAATCGAAATATTGAAGAGACGATGAAGATGCCGTTGTTTGATCGGTCGAGTTCGGGGGGGTTGAATGAGCCGCTGAAGTTACCGCATCGGGATTTTGATAGTGGGAGGACGACGGGAGTTAAGGGGGTGATTGCTGATGCGAGGAGTTTTGAAGAGGCAAAGAAGACGGGGGGTTGGAGGAATAAGTTGAGGGGGAATACGATTACAAAGGCGACGTTTCGAAAGGATGGGTCGTCGGGGGAGGAGGGCGAGAGGAGTGATGATGAGGAGTTTTTGGAAAGGTGGAGACAACAACGACGGGTGCAGATGCAGCAGAGTGAAGGGAAGGATGTCAGGAATAGGAGGACGAGTCCTAGTGTGAGGAGATATGGAAGATTCGACGAGGTAGATGCTCTTGGGTATCTTGACGCGATAGAGAAAGTGGGCAGAGAAACCATCGTCGTTGTTTTTGTTTATGATCCCGAGGTATATTCTTCCCACACCATCATCCTATTCACAACCACCACACAAATATACTAACAAAACTCATAGTGCGACGTCTCCCAAGTAATTAACTCAGCCCTCCTCCCTCTCGTCACCGCCAATCCTACCGTCCATTTTGTGCGCGTCCATTACGAAGATATCGAATTTGATAACGCGGGTGTACCGGCTATCCTCGCGTATAAAAATCAGGGAGATCTGTTTGCGAATCTTACGTATATCATTGATCAGATTCCTGATGATACCATCTTTGATACTAAAGCTTTAAAGGATGTTTTGGTCAGACATCAGGTTCTTTAATGGATGATTCTATTTTGATCATTTGAGAGGATACATCGTTTCTTGTACCTACTTATGGGGTTAAGTTAAGAGAGGGGATATATCTCGTCACATTGGCATTGGTATTAATATCAATATCGATATTGATGTTAACATTCACGAAGCTTCACCAACAACTACTATCAATTGGTCATTTCGTCTCATTTCGACTCATTCCATCGCATCGCATTGCATCACATTGCATAGCATAGCACAAAAAAAAAAAAGACTTCCCTTACATTTCATTTTCATATACTCATAGACGACACGAGCTTGGGATTCAAAGGGAAGGCGAATATCTCACTCCTTCCCCTTTGTATCCATATTCACTTTCGTGGAGCATATTATGCTATACAAGATAGATGAGAGATTGATACCCATATTTGTTTTGTTTGTTTGTATGTATGATTAGGACGAGGATTGAGTAATGGGAAGGGGATTGTGGATAGGGATAGGGTATAGGGTATGAGGGGGTAGTGGGTGGATAGAGATGGATGGATGGCGTTTTTTAGTGGGAGGAAGGATGGAGTTATTACATGGAAATGAAATAGAGGGATATACTAGGTACATTTACTGTTCCTGGTATGGTACGGTATGGTACGGTGTGGTATGATGTGTATATCATACTTTACAATACGATAGATACAATAGATACCTAAATACGAGACAATGCTGTATGTACTTGGCAATAACAATGGTATCTACTCTAGAATATTTATATATATTATATCGTCATGGGTTATCTGCTATTACTTACTTGAGTACTTATTGTATATATATTATATATCATGATTCATGAATTTGAGTATCTCGGGTATATATTATTTTTTCTCCTTTTCTTTTCTTCTCTTATCTTTTTCTGTATTGTCTTTTCGTGTCTTTTCTTTTCTTGTCTTGTCTTATGTTTCTATTGATTTATACTGATATCTCTTACTGAATATGATGCGATGCGAGAGTAGAAAGGAGAGAAGAGAGAAGATAGGTGAGAGGTGAGAGGAGAGAGGAGAGAGGAGAAAGGAGAGGAGAGGAGAGGAGAAAGGAGAGAGAAGAGAGTAAAAAGTAAAAAGTTGAGAATAAAAAATGAAAATAGAGAGTAGAGAGTAGAGTGTAAAGAAATAAAAGAGAGATAAGAGAGTAGAGAATAGAGAAATAAAAGATGAGAGTAAAGAGTAGAAAATAGAAAGTAAAAACAGAGTAATTCTAGCTCATTGTTAATATACTCGAGTATATATATATAGATGTATAGATATATAATATGATATAATATAATATAGTATAATTAATCAAAGATTCAACTTCTTGGTTTCTAGAATAATATATACTTATAATGAAATATAATTGTTAATATCACCGTGGTGGTGATGAAGTCAATAGTACTATCGTATTTCACGTATTTAACTATAGAGATGCTAATGCTAAATGATATACGCTCCGTGGTGGCCAAAGCATCGCTTATCACCCTAGCCCGTAGCCCTATGGCCTACTATAGCTAAGTGAGCGATATCCAGACAATAATAATTTCTACTCGAGTGGATTTTCTAAATTTTCTAAATTTTTCGAAACTTTGCTAATAGCTATAGAATTCGAGTTGTATTGTATATTATAAATATAGATTTGGGATTCGAGTATACTCAGTATCATATAGATACAACTCATCTTGTAAGTTACTATCTAAATCAATATTATCTTCGTGCCTACCTAATTCATAACTTGACGATACGGACAAAGATGTTTTTATTCCAGGCCACATTTAATCTAATTATATCAACAACAATGCAATCGAATCCTACATACTCTGCATATGTTGAGCATCATATGCAAAAAAAAGCTCTTACTATTGGTATTCACATTCACGGCAGCACGGGTCCAAATAAACAAACAAACAAACAAACAAACAATGCAAGTACACAAACATTATTTCGTCTACAAAAGCGGTATCGATATGCAATATATCTATACAAGCTCTCTAGCTGCTCTCTCTTGCACTGTATTCCCTCCCATACTAGCTACTCAATCAGTGACAAACATCCACATTCATCTATCCTCAAGCACTTTGCTCATCATGCCTTCTGGAATGTGCCGGATGCAACTTGTCTGGATTTCTGAGATGAATTCTGAGTTAGCCATGATCGGTGATGAGTGTGGGACTTGGACTTACATTGATCATATTGGACCTTGGCGGCTTCATCGTAGGTGATCTTTGCAGCAACGTCACGTTCGTCGTAGGCAATCTTGGCGGCTTCATCGTATGATATTTTGGCAGCAACGTCACGTTCATCGTATGCAACCTTGGCAGCCTCATCGTAGGAGATCTTTGCGGCGACATCACGTTCATCGTATGCAACCTTGGCAGCTTCATCGTAGGAGATCTTTGCGGCGACATCACGTTCATCGTATGCAACCTTGGCAGCTTCATCGTAGGAGATCTTTGCGGCGACATCACGTTCATCGTAAGCGACTTTGGCAGCTTCATCATATGACACTTTAGTAGCAACATCGCGCTCGTCATATGCAATCTTGGCTGCCTCGTCATAAGAAATCTTCGCAGCATTCCCGTCTAGCAATGGTCAGTTATATGCCTTGCCTAGTTGCACTGCAAAAACCTGATTGTAATGGTATACTTACTGATTGTTGGCAGTGCCAAAGCTCCAACAAGGAGAGAAGCAACAATGACGGAGTATTTGGCGTGCATTTTGATGATTGCGTGAAGTGGCGATTGAAGAAGGAGGATTGAGCTGGTGATTGCTTGAAGTCTCGAAGAGAATAAAGAGGGATGAATAGGTGAATGATTGAAGTATCTAAGGCTGATGCGGTTGAATTGTTGGGAGGTATCGCTGGTCTTTAAATATTGCAGAAAATCCTCAAAAAGGCGCAATATTGCAACTTAAGACAATCAGCAACCCCATCTGCCCGCTTCCGCCATACACCTACGCTCGATGCCTACCCCTCAGTATCACAGGACATTGTTATCTGACAATCCTGCTGTCACCTCTGAGCCAACTCACTCTCAATATCTATCACTAAATATTATGGCAACACTTTTTTCATCTGAAAACCGTTCACTCCGCAAATCACACTGACCATCAATGCAAGATTACATCCTTCACAGATTCCAGAACCTTGCAATCCCCCCCTTCCTTCCCCTCTTCTGCTCCTACCCTCTATCCTTAAATCAGGAAGATATTCGTTCGACGCAGCAGTCAAAGTATGAGAACTACTCACGTCGACCATCGAGAATATAGCCTGTAAGCACAGAGGTGGATTTGTCATGTCGACGTGACTTTCAACAACTCGTGGATACTTGGAATATCCCGCTTATGTATACGATGTGCTTGTAAGATTACAATAATCGGCATGAAAAGTGAAACTCCATGCGTTAGCTCTGACGGCAATTCTTTGAAAAGTGTTTTCGACAAACACCCGTGGTAACCACTTCAAGTTTCGTGAACATTTGTATCCCGCACTATGCAACTGGCATATAGATCGACATGTAGGCCGTGAGCTTACCGCATTAAATCAATAAACACCGATCCAACACTGAGTTTTGTAAGAATCGGTTTGCCGGTTTAGTTGTTGTATTTTATGTCTCGTCGGAAAAGAAAACTCCCCTCATTACGGAAGTATAGAAGATACGGTAGCTAATCTAGCGCGTTAAAAGACCCACAATTTCCCCCAGAATTGCTTGTACTCGTAAGCGGGTCATATTTTATATTACTTTCCAAAATTGTCATTACAACCATCAACGCTTCAACTTCCTATTTCTCCCATCCCCTACATATCCAGCCTACCAGGTTACTGTTGCTTATCTTTGATGCTTGTCGACACAATAACGCTGGCGGCGGATGTCTCACTAACCACACAATTACCGAGGTGCAATATCTGGAGCTCAAGATCTGTTGAACTGGTTCATTTATTCATTAGTCGTGTGTTAAGTTGCCCTCAACTATTGTACAAACGCCAGCTTAGAGATCTTCTCATGTTTACCCCACATATGCATCTTTTGCCCTTCGGCAAAATAGCGTGGATGTCTTTTTATGAGCCTTTCGTACAGGGGGTTAAAGGCTGGGGTATCTGGTACCGTCTAAACTCAGCTAACTGAATATAATTGGAAGATTCTGAGGATTGGAATCATTCTGATTCTATGTGATTTTAAGCAACTAAAATTAGATTGTATATCACCTGGCTTCGTCCAAATATGGTTCGCTCCAAGCCCAGTTAGTTGAGTTTAGACGGTAGTGTACCCAGTAGTCTTCTCATGGAAGTTAGCTGCTTTGTATAAAATCACAGTGCTAGAAGCCTTCATCCTTTTCAGTCCCTACTTACTGTTATCAGCCGCACTGAACTCTCGAGGTCATTTTTTTATCAACGACAACCATGTGGCCACTCAAATCAAATGGAATGAAGAACGCAAAACACGCAATCTCTTATTCTCGCCTCTCCCATGATGTTGAGCTCCAAGCTGAAGACATTACCTCCCCATCTGGAGTACTTCTCCCGAAGGAAAGGACCGAAGACCATGAGATTAAGCAACACCGTTCATCTTTCTACCAAACCCCTCTCTTTAAATGGACAGCAATCGCGGCTCTGACGGTCTGCAATGTGGGCATGTTCATCGGCACCATTCGGTCGTATATACTGGCAGATTACATGTGTATGCAGCGCAGTACTGTATGGTCACCGGTCTGGGAAGATGTCAATGCCGCGTATATACCTGAGAGATTTAATGGGATACTTGATGCTCCGAGCAAGTTCCGCGGGCCTCCCTCAACTGCTGTTGACGAGGCATGGAGTTCACTGGATGATGGTATGATGTTTGGAGCTGTACTTTGGTGCTCTGGCTGCTTGTGATTCAAAGAATTGGATGCTAACAGAGCTGAACTGAGCAGTCGGATCTATCTCGTTAGACGAAAAGACATTCTTGCGAGCGGGCGGCACAACGGAGAATGCTAGAATGCCTGACGAGCTGGGCGGTACGTTGCTGGCATTCTCCGAATCATTTCATCCGAACCAGACTAATGAGGAATGTTTTTCCTGAAATAGGCGGCTACATGGCGGATGTTGAGGTTCTACATCAAATGCATTGGTAAGAGTCCCTAGTTTCTGACTTCCCGAAAACAATCCATCCGCTCACACGTGCCATATAGTCTCAACTTCGTCCGTATGGCAGCCTACTCCGATCACTACCGCGATATCGCGCCCGAATGGCAAGACAGTAACCGTACATTCCATATTCACCTTGGTATTATCCCCCTCGTTTCATCCCCGCTTTAAGATTTCCTACCCCAAAACCAAACTTTTCATTAATTCTTCGCGACAGACCACTGTATAGAGATGATCCGCATCAACCTTTTGTGCCAGGCAGACGGGGGTATTATTCCTTTTCGCTGGGTAGAAGATTACCAGCGGCCACTACCAGACTTCAGCACACCTCACAAATGTCGAGATTGGAATAGTGTTATGGATTGGGCCAAAGAGCGACAAGTAATTATGCCGCCACATTACGACTGGTCACATCAAACCTGGGAGAAGGTGTTTCCAAGACCTGCTTGGATGCCGCTGCCAGGGGCGAATAATTAGACATTAATGAATATGAGCATCACAGGATCTATTGTATTGTAAAAATGACCCAAGTCACCTTGAAATGAGCTTGTTGTTCCCAACCCTGAAAGTGAATATATATCCCCCCAATGATAATGCAAGGTTTTATTGTGTATGCGCTGCTTGAATGAAGGGCTTTCTACTCTACGCGGGATTGTTTTATGTGACTCATGTGAGTATGCAAAGCAAAAAAGAGAGGTCGATTTAGATTCACTATTTCTCTGTAAACAGAAAATGAGGGACACGCCAGCCTGTCTTCTATGTTCCCACCAAATAAATCACTTTAGAACTCGAGTGAGATTTTGACTAACTTTAGTTTTGTTCGACGGGAGTCCATTACTCCACACTTCTAGCTCCCGCTCTCTCGGGTCACGGTGCCCACTGTTGAGTGTACAGGGGTAGTGATATCCGGGGTGCTCCACCTTTAACCAGAATGCTTCTTCTAGTTATCGGTGATTTGTGCAAATTTCATAACCTTACTGTGTATTGTATTAAAGTATTTTTGACTAGATTCCAACTCCCGCTGTGACCAGGAACCAATCGTAAACTCACAAAGTGACACTAGTCAAGGTAAATGCAGGAAAGGATAAATGCAAGAAAGGACTGAAAGGACTGGACTAGGCCCTGATCTTCGTAAACACGCACCAACTGTTCAGGAAGGGAGGGTCTCCGACATCACTTAGCGTTCATAATATCACGCAATGAAATGAAGGCAATGCGGCGCGGGCTACCAGGGCAGGTATTTCGACAAGACACGATGTTACGCTGGAACTAGCGGACAACAGGGGGTGCGGGCAACTCGCATGAATGAATTTTGCGTTTGTTCAGACGTGGACTTGATGTGATGAGATTAATCCTCCACACTTGCAAGGCTCAATATTTCGAATGTATTCAAACGTTGAAAATTATTTACGTCCTAAATGAAAACTGCCTTTTGAAGACCAAGCAGTCATCTACGAGTCTCTCACTATCGATACAACACCACAACGCATTGAGTCCTTCACATCGCCACCATGTTGATTGAGCAACCCGCAACCGACCAGAAACTTTCTCCCACCTACGAAGTCACCTCTACAAAAACGTTAGATTGGTACCTTGAGAAACATGGTCTTGAGATGGGAGACACGAATCATGTCCGTTGGGTCAAGACCAATCCACGACATCCTCGAAATTGGTCTTCATGGCGGAAAACATATGACTTCGGCCTACTCATCTTCCTAGATTTCTTTACCACGGTCATTAGCACAGCAGGAACGCCCGCCAGTGAGCAAGCACGTCATGATCTTGGGATTGGAAGCTCCTTTTCGCTATTCAGTTTTGTCACCATATACATGCTCGCCCAAGCTATTGGGGGTGTCTTCTTTCCTCCATACTCCGAGTCTTTCGGGAGGAAACGGTTGTTCATTATAGCGACCGTATCGTATTGCGTTTCCAGTATCATCATTGCAAGGGTTTCGAATGTCGCTGCTATCATTGTGTGTCGGTTTATCAGCGGCTTGGCTTCTGCATTGCCGACTATCGTTATTGCTGGTAGCGCAGAGGACATCTTCGATGCCGGGCATAGAATCTGGATGATTTATGCTTGGGCTGTTGCGGCGAATGTAGGTATATGTATGGGACCGATATTAGGCATATTTGTAACAGAGTCTCTGGGCTGGTGAGTCACTTACCCACCTCTGTTGTTTGACGCATTGGTGGTAATTGGTAACCTTAGGCGTTGGATTTTCTACCTCTCAGCCATAATAACAGGACTGTGGTCTATCCTGCTTCTCTTCATCAAGGAGAGCAGACCGAGTCAGCTTCTCAGTAAAGCTGTTGCTGATGTACGTAAAGAATCCGGAGATAATACTTTGCGCATAAGAAATCCAGATCATGCACCAGACTTCCGCACCTTCGCTCAGGTTGCCTTAATACGACCAGTGCGGCTATTCTTCACGGAACCAATCGTCTTCATCTGTTCAGTCTTGAGTGCAGTCGCGTTTGGCTTGCTATATCTCTTCACAGAAGCTTTACCCATAGTCTACAAATCATATGGTTTCACGCCCGGTCAGGCATCTTTGGCGTTCATCCCTCTCGTGATCGGTATTTTCAGCGGTACCTTGACACGCTTCTACGATCTGAGAATCTACAAACGGCGTATGAACAGTGGTGAAAAATTAGAACCGGAAGACAAGCTTACTGGCTTTGCGATTGGAGCTCCTCTTCTCGCTGTCGGTCTTTGGTGGTTCGCGTGGACTATTCCGCCACAGGTACAGGGCGTGCCGTGGATCGTGTCAATGCTTTCGCTTTTGTTGGTTGGGTATGCCACCAACGAGTTTGACTGCACACTTGCTGGATATATCGCAGACAGTTACACAGTCTTCGCCGCATCCGCTTTTGCTTCTATCGCCTTCCTGAGAGCTCTATGCTGTGCTGGATTTCCACTATTCGCCAACCGTATGTTTACCGTCATCACGCCTAACACGGCATCGTCTATCCTCGCCGCTGTCGCTACCGTCTTTTGTGTTGGACCTGTGGTATTATTGCATTATGGGAGGAGAATTAGAGAGGTGAGCTCCTTTGCGAGATATAGCTTGGAACAGTATGGGTATAATGAGGTTGATCGAGATAGAGATCTTGTTTTGAGAGATGAAGAAAACAAGAGATAATAGATGGATCGCATAGACTTTATACTCGAGTAATAATAATACAACGTTTATATAGTATAGCTAAGAATTCAATTAATATCTATAATAAGAAGAGTATATAACAAAATCAATAAAGATATCTTTTAACTCTACTGAGTAGAAAAAGAAAAATCATCTACTTGTATTCGATTGAATATAATTAATAATATTAAATTTACAAGTAACGATTAAGTTTAACAAAAATACGATAAGTTAAGCGCTTTCTTTTTTTTTAATAGAATTTAACCGATCTTTCTAAAGTAATATGTTATACAATTGAATCGCTTCTGATTGAACGAAGGAGCGGGAATTATATATTATATATAGGTTGGAATCTTGTGAGATGTATATATGTATATAGCAGGCCTGGCGGGTAAAGGTGTAATGTTGTAGTGTGGTGTCTATCTGAATTATGGGAGGATGATTGATGATTTTAATGAATGTGTGGGAGGGAGGAAGGGAGGGAGGGTTTTTGTAGTGATTGTGTAGTGTACGGCAGGGGGCGCTGAATGTATATGTTGTTCTGGAGTAAGAGATTTGGGGCTCTGATTCCTGTTTCTATTTATTTGGGAGAAAAAGATGAGGACGAGGACTACCTTCTTTATTTATTGATTCCTTCCTTGACTGGAGATGAGCATTACCTCGTTCATCTACGCCCACCCCCTGCTTTAGGAGACGTACGAAATGGAAACTCGTTGAATTCGAATTCGAATTAGATAAGGATTCTTTAATGTTAAATGCTTCATTTCCTAATCAAGACGATGGTGCCTTAAGGTTACCTCCCGATCAAGATGATGGTGCCGTTGCCTTAACTCCCTATCAATAATCAAGATAACAGTGCCTTGAACAGCTTAGAGCAAGCAACTGGAATGGAATCTGGAATCTGGAATCGGCGGAAATTGGGAAATGGTATAGAAGTCGAGATATGGATGCTGAGATATGGGATATGAGATATAAGGTATAAGATATGGGATATGGAAGCTGAAGTTATTGTTTGTAATGTAATATGTAATATGATGTTAGTCGGTAAAGGAAATGGGGGAGAAAGAAAGGTGGGGGGGGGGGCTGGTGAGAGATGAGATATTAGGGGGATAAGATAAGGTTTGGGGAACGGTGTGTATTTTGTATATTGTCCTGTATTGTATTGTATTGTATTGTATTGTATTGTATTGTATTGTATTTTGTGTGTTTGAGATTGGATTGAGGATGGGGATGATGCAGGTAGTGAATGCTTTGGTATGCTATGCTATGCTATGCTATGCCATGCCATGTACTCACTCGTATAATATATGCTAATTTTCATGCTCTGCTTTTTATTGTTTACCGAGTTCCCTCCCTCCATATGAAAGGTTTCAGCGTATCCTCTCCTGGATATTTAATATGGGATTCTACTCATGCTAAAGTACCCTATGCAGAGACAGGTAACTCCAACCCAAAAAGTCGTATCGCATTACCCCCCAACACAGCCTTTTCCTCCTCGCTACCCGCACCGCAAGCACTACTAATAGCATCCATATTCAGCGAAACACTTAGCCATTTTTTACCCTCCTTTTCTCCTTCTTTTCCTTGTTTTTCACTAGCATCCTCTTCATCATCTAACGGAGGAAAAAAAGGAGCATCAGTTCCAAACATGACCCTCTCTGTTCCACTCACCCCCATTGCACCCCGCACCCCCACTTCCCCATAAACCACCGCATCCAGCCAAATATTACTCTTCAAAATATCCCATATGGTTTTTCTTCCCTGGGTTAGCTTTCCCTCTTTCTGAAGATGCGCATCATGCAATATACATGATTCTATCCTCCCCGCCAGAAACGGAAGCGTACCCCCACTATGCGCGAGAATCACTTGTAGCTCCGGCACAGAGTCAAAGACTGAGGATAGTATCATACGTGTTACTGCAATAGTAGTTTCCATGGGAAATCCAAGCGCAAGTGGTAACACGTGGCCGTAATCGGTACCGCGAGGTCCGAAGACCGAAGTCGGAAGTCCGTAGTGCGGATGCAGGAATATGGGGAGCTGGGCTGCAGCTAGAGAGGTGAAGATGGGGAGGAGAGAGGGGTCGTCGAGTCCGGTGCCGAGACCGGTCGTGCCGAGAATTATACCGCGGCAGTGGGGGAGGGTGGTTAGGTGCGTGATGGAGGCGAGGATTGAGGATACGGGGGCGGATAGGGGGAGTGTGCCGAAGAAGTAGAGGCGTTTGGGGTGGAGGCTGCAGAGGTGGTTTATTTCGGTGTTGATTGAGTGGGCGGTTTGGAGGGCGGTGGTGGGGGGAAGCCAGTCGAGCCATGGGTTTGCGAGAGAGATTATGGAGGCGTTGATTGAGTGGGTGTTCATGAAGGCAATCTTTTGTTCAATGTCGTAGCTGGAGAGGAGGCATTAGTTTGAAGATTTCAGAGTTAGGTTGGGGATGGGGTGGCTGTAAGGTTGGTAGGTAGGATTCTGGCAAGGACATAGAGTAGATATAGATAGAGAGGTCGAATTGATGGCTTGTCCAAGTGAAAATCCAAAGCTTTGAACTTTATGAGCTGGATATGTCATTCGAGAGATTGATCACTTGATCCTCGCTGTCTCGACAATTCTTCCACCACCATATGCTAAATTCATTCTCATTTTACTCTTCACCAATGATTCTCCTCTCTCCTGTCCTTCGTTTCTTTCCTTCAAAGGAATATCCCAAGAAATTATAAATATATAAAAAACCTCAAACATACTACTCAGGTCCAATAGGCCTCCCTCTACTCGTACTCGGTGTATCCTCCGCTGGTAAAATAACCAATCTATGCTCTGTAGCCGGTGGGAATTGTCGAATATATGGGATTTCATCACGAGATTTGAGGAGCTCGATGTAGGATGGTGGGTAGATGTGGGTATGAATATCAACTATTGGAGTTGAGGAAGACATTTTGAAGTTTGCTGTTTGTTTGAGATATGATGAAGGAAGAGGGACGTAAAAATGGAGTGACTTCTTGTATTTGAATAGGAAAGATAATTAATTATGAGAAGAGAACTTTGAGTAACATCAACACAAGGAACTAATCCAAGTCACTTGATCAATATAGCAAGTAATAAAATGTACATCCATTTAAGATAGCTAGAGATATACTTACCCCGCACTAACCCGGACTAGTCCCCCCCTGGTCGTGTAACCCCACCTCCTTTTAATATCCCTATCTCTTATCAGTTGTATTAAAGATATGCTTATCATAAACTATTCTCTTTTGTATCACTTACCTGCCTTTTCGGTGAACAAACACATGTATCTGTATCTGGGTACTGCATGCGGAGAGCGGCTGTGGCCGTGTTCGGCGATTTTTGATTTATGGTTTGGGGATATATACATCCCCAAACCACACATCCTTATCCGGTACCTTTGGACCTCACGACGACGATATCTGTGGTATTGAAGAATATCAGCAAATATGTCTTTAGAAACAGAAAAAGCAGTCAATTCTGATAATCTCATCATTCCTGTAATTCCCCTTTCATGTTACCGAACCCCAACTTAAACTAACAACCACAACCCTTCCACCAGATAATAAACTTCTCACACTTCCTAACCGGCACCCCCTCTCAACGTCTTCAAACCGCTCAATCCATCCTCCACGGTTTCCGCACCGCAGGATTCATCTACCTTTCCCACCACCCCATTCCCCTCCCCGTCCTCACCCACACCTTCTCCACCTCCGCCACCTTCTTCGGTCGACCCTCTTCTCAAAAAGATCCCCTAGCATGGACTACCCCCATCGCAAACAGAGGCTATGTAGCCCATGGCCGCGAAAAAACAACCACACTTACCGATAAAGAGAAAGTTGCAGCACTCAAAGCCCAAGCGCCAGATTTAAAAGAGAGTTTTGAGATAGGGAGGGAGGGACAAGACGAGTTACCTAATAATTGGCCACCGGTTACTCCTGAAGATGTCGATGCAAAGAAATTCAAAGAAACCATGCTTTGTTTCCACGACTTATGTAAAGAATTGCATATAAACGTTATGCGCGCCATAGCAATTGGAATGGATCTCCCGGAATCTTATTTCGACGGTTATACCAGTGCGGGTGATAATACATTACGATTGTTGCATTATCCACCTGCAAAAGCAAGTGTGTTTAAAGAGAACAAGTTGCAGGTGAGGGCTGGGGAACACACTGATTATGGAAGTATTACACTGCTTTTTCAGGATGATAGAGGAGGGTTACAGGTCAAGAGTCCAAAGGGAACATTTGTGGATGCGACGCCAGTGCCGGGGACGGTGGTGGTTAACGCGGGGGATCTGTTGGCGAGGTGGAGTAATGATTTGATTAAGAGTACGTTGCATAGGGTTGTGGAACCACCCCAGGAGACGAAGGAGACGAAGGAAGAGAAGGAAGAGAAGGAAGAGAAGGAAGGAAAGGAAATTGGGAAAGAAGAGGTTTACCCGGCAAGATATAGTATTGCGTATTTCTGTAATCCGAATTTCGATCGCATGATTGAAGCAATTGAGGGGACGTATGGGGGAGAACTTGGGGAGAGGAAATATGAGGGGATTAATTCGGGGAAGTATTTAGTGCAAAGATTAGCGGCTACTTATTAAGTTAGTTGAAGGGAATTAGTTGGATACACGAGTATGTATATGATTATTTGTACATGAGGAATTCAAAACTTTGTGATCTTGTGTATTAGTTTCCTCTTCTTTGCAAATATTGGGAATAGGACAGTAAATGCAGGACTTGATATCAAGTGTACTAGTCTACGGAGTATGTATTGGTTAACGAAGAAGAGTTTGGAACGATACAGAGCTACTAGTATGCTATTCACCAAACTCCAAATCCACTACCGTGATAAAGTTCAGATCCTATAGCTTTCGAAGCACGGAGCCTCGAGAATCTCTGAATATAAATTAACCTTTCAAATTGATCCAATCATCTCAAATAAGAAAAATAAAACAACATTACAACCGTTCAGGAAGTTGGAGTCCCCGTTCATCAGCATATACTCGGGTATACAGTCTAGGATGGGTGGGATATTGCAAAGTCTTAAGCTCAAACTTAAATTGTATAGTAATTGGAATGTAGTGTAGTACACTCGCTTTGACAACAATTGTAGATATATATGTGTGAAATGAAATGGGATGAAATGAGATGAGATGACTAGCAGTAGCATAACATAGCATATACTAACGGCAATATTTCATAATATTTGATGACGATATCGCCATACAGACAGTACTCGAGTATAATTTCGTTTCACTAAAATCCAATTCGAAGGTATTCTGTAGTAAGTAAGAGTAGGTACCTATGCTGTAAATAATAATATCATAACTTGATTATGCCCGAGAGGGACGTACATCTTGCTCTTCTCATGTTGGATAGTTTCTATACATATATATATATTATAGAAAATTTAGGGGGGTTTTTTTATAGAGGGGTTGTGATGGTATTGTATTATGTTGGGGAGCTGGAGCCTGGATGACTACTCGAGTAGTACAATAGCAAAGTATGAAAATTGATTGGCCACTTGTGATATCTTTTTACTTATTTCAAAAATCACCAAAGTGAAGTATATAAGATAATCTACTCGAGTTATTGGAAGCTGTAATGTGCAACATCTTTGAGATATACTGTGCTGCAAGGTGAGTATTTAAGATAGGAGTGGACAAAACTTGCCAAGGAATTGGCTGGGTGAACAGGATAGGTGGTCTTTTGGCTTCTGGACTCGGTTAGATATCAGGGGGAGATTAGGGCTGGGATTATTGTGTCGGTACAATAGTGAGGATGATGATGATGATGATGATTACAGTTCAATCGTTAACAGCGAGCGAGGAAACGAGGTTAGAAACACGAAATAACTAAACGGTAACGGCAGTGGAAGAAATTCCTAACTTCGAGGGTTTTATAGAAAAAATAAATGATTAACAACACGACATACCCTCGACATTCTACCTATATGTATACATTGACGAAATTGTTTCTGATACCAAGACGACCAAGCTAGCTCAAAACATCTAGCATCTCCTGGGACACTAAGTCGCGAGTAATATTCTTAGATTTGATTTTCCTTGTCACGTTTGAGTGGAGGTTTTTAAACAGTACTCTAATAGAAACGCAGTACCTACGTACGGGTTTGAGAAAGGAAGATGGTGGATTCACTAGTTCCATTTTAATCTGGGGTGCAAATGAGATGATTATGTGAATGCAAATTTAGTTACTCTAGTTTGGATGGGTAAGAAGGGAAAAGAAAGATTACAGTATATTTCAGAGACCAGAGACCTCAGACCAGAGATCGGAATCAATAAGTTCCATGAACCTTCTAGGGTGAGCAGATTATTGATAGATATAAAGGATGAAAGATTTGATTAAGTTGAAGAGATATCGGTTGGGTTGGGTACGGTTTCTATTTAAGGGCTCGAGGAAGATTGACGTTAGAAACTTCATTTGTAGTAGTAGAATTAGTGATATCGATACGGTAGTGATTGAGAAATAAGTGACGGTGAATAAGAGAACGGAAAGTAAATAAGTTTAAAAAGTAGTGGAGATAAGAAAGACAACAGGATTGAAATTTCCCTGATGTACTCGAGTACAACAAGGACGATTCTTTTATATAGTTGGAGTCTTGAAATTGTGTAGAGAATACTAGCTCGATAATCCCTACAGGATGGCGGAGGTTGTTCTAAGATTCGAACTGACTCTCCTGGTACTGGTTGCGATGACACTTATACACTACAATAACTCGAGATAATCGAATAGAGGAAGCTAGTGAATATTAGTTTGACTTGAGGGGTCGTGTATGCAATGTAAATACCAAAAGTATGTGCTAGTTTAAGCGAACAGATAAAGCAAGCCCAACACATTCCAGATTTTCGAAACACTGATTTTATGAGATGAGATCTTCAGGGCCAGGACCCAGAGAAAAGCAATGATTACTAAGAAGGAAGGACTCGTAATCGAGCTATGGTAGTGATATAAATGAATTTACCACTGCTTCTCATGTTTTTGATCGGGAAATACAGTTGTGATTTTGGGATAAGATGACAATGAGATGAAAATATATATGATTGAGAATTGAGGAAGTCTGAAATGCGGTATTTTCCAATAATTCTAGAGTATGTGTAGAATCATACTTTTGTTTCTGCTGTGAAGTAGAAACAAGTCCCAACATGTTTCATTCTTGTCAGGCATTTTATTTGGCTTGAGTCTTCTCCGTACTGATTGAGATGATGCTTTTATACAACGGGATGGCGAGTGAACCTGTGTACTCAAGTATGAAGATTTTTGTCCCCCGCCTCATGAGCACTGATGGGATCAATATTCTACTTCAGAAGTGCTAAATTGACGGGCAATAAGCGTTTCAACTTTCACGATTGGATTGCCGACACTACTCGAGTACTGAATAACAAACACTACAATACATTCGAAGATTAAGATTTTCTCATACGCTCCTTTGATCAACCGCCAAAGATCCGTGAAACAAGATAAATTATATAATTAATCGGTTTATATGACTACTATGGAAGTGAGTTGAACCGCGTTACTCTCAACCATCTACTTGTTTCGGATCACTGATCGTGACGCACTTGAAACATATACATACCACCCGCACCAAATCCAATACTAGACGAATCAAATTAAACAGATTCACCATAAAGGTATCCTCTGTATGTAGCAACTCGCTATTTAGATAAATTTGATATCTGTCCAGCCTCTGTATACACATCACAAGGAGTTCAAAACACCTGCAAAAGAGCAATAAATGTGTCCCCTATATTCCCTTTGATAAACTCAGAGTTTCTAAATACTTCTAAACACAGAAACGATTATGCTGATAGACTTTTATTTGTAAATACTGGAGTATGGAAAGGTCCAAATGGCTTAGGATGATATTGGATTGAAACTTTCAGTGAACAATACTCGCTTAATATTTAACAACAACAATACTCCTACAATATGAAGGGGTAAATTTCCATTACGATAAGCGATAATGAAGATGGAGTTTTGGTAATCTCATCATAAACGGATAGATAAGAATCCATCATGATGGCTCCAGAAGATTACACAGTTTCATAGCAAATTAGAATGTATCTGCCGAATTAACAAATGTAATATTCATATCCATAGAAAAACCAACCTGGCACTTCCCCTTCTCCTTCCCCTTCCCCTTTCCCTTTCCCTTTCCCTTCCCTTCCACAAACATAAGAACAAATAAACATCATCAAAATATTGCTGCATTAATCTTCCTCATACTAACTAACCTAGGTTATTTGCATATACATATACCAAAAATCTACAAAAATACTATCTGATTCCTGCCTCATACCTATAGTATGAATAAGGAAGAGGTCACGGTATCTTACGCATCAGTGAATTACTCGTACACCAGAATGACATCTTCCCTCCTTCCCTCCCTCCCTCTAAATATCCGTTTTCAGGAACAAAAGTAAAACCGGCATTAGCTAACCCGATACATCTCTGCCTCTCTAAATGGCACGTCGCTCATCACTACTTCTACTACTACTATATGAACACCTCCCACCACATTTTCACCTCACCTCACCTTACCTCACTTCACCTCACATACATAGCACAAGAGTCCCTCAGAAGAAAGATATCGACTCTCGAGGCATACAGGAAAATAAAGTAAAAAATAAAGTAAAAATAACATCGTTATAGTAAACAGCTAGTGAACTACCGGTATATAAAGCTATTTCGATTACCGGTATTCCATTGCAAAGAGACAACTCGTCCCATAGACAGAGGGAATATCCGTATATTCTTCATTTCACGTTATGTATACTCGAGTAGACATTCCATATTTTCAATATAAGTCATGCCACGATACAATATCCTATTAATGTATTGCATATATCTAACTATCATCTCTATCTCCCCGTTAAAATCGAACTACCTCCCAAAGAATGGTTTAAACTATGATATCTATAAACGGGAAAGCAAAATGCAAAAAATGCCCGACTCATTATGAGCTATGTTATGTGACCATCCATTCCAAATCCCTCCTGGCGGTTGAAGCCAAAGAATCCTCTATATGTTATGTATTCTTAACGCCTTATGCATTCCCAAGTCATGATCGCATCATATCATATCAGATTACATGATATATAGATACCCACAACTCCTCGCAATGTTGAATTATTCATGTTGAAATTTCTTTTAATGATGTCCTTTCCCTTCCCGCCCGAAAAGAAGGACAAACTTATGCTCGCTAAATGTTAAAATGTGCAAAACAAAATGCTAAAATGCAATTATGTGGGTTGTGGTGCAGAAATACCAGTGATGTCGTTTTCAGCATCATCAACGGTTTCGACGGGTCCGCATGTACAGAAGAGGTTTACATCGCCGTATGCTGTAAGTCGGTTAGTGGATGGAATGTACAGAGATGTGAAGTAGCTTACCATCATCAAGTCTGGTGACAGATGGCCAGAATTTCTTCTCTTTGAGATAAGGCAAAGGGTATGCGGCCTGCTCTCGAGTGTATGGACGATCCCATTCTCCAATAAGAAGATCCTTCTGAGTGTGTGGCGAATTCTTCAAGACGTTTCCTGTCTTAGGGATGGTGCCGCTCTCCACGGCTCGAATTTCCTTTCGAATCGATATCAATGCATCAATGAAACGATCAAGTTCTTCCTTGCTTTCTGACTCTGTAGGCTCAATCATCAGGGTATTAGCAACTGGCCAACTCATGGTTGGTGCATGGAAGCCATAATCCTGAAGACGTTTGGCAATATCGATAGCCTCAACTCCTGCAGACTCTTTGAAGCCACGGACATCAAGAATGAACTCGTGAGCACATCGAGAATTAGCATTGGTATACAGAATTGGGTAATGAGGTCGGAGGCGAGACATGATGTAGTTGGCGTTCAAGAGAGTGATCTTGGTAGCATGAGTTAATCCTCTGCCACCCATCATCTTCACATAAGCCCAACTAATTGGCAAAATACTTGCACTTCCGAAAGGAGCAGCGCTGACTGGAGCAATAGCGTTTTCACCGCCAGTCTTTATCAATGGGTGGCCAGGAAGGAACGGTGCCAGATGAGATTTAACACCAATAGGACCGACACCGGGTCCACCTCCTCCATGAGGAATACAAAATGTCTTGTGGAGGTTAAGATGGCATACATCGGCACCTATCTCACCAGGTGAACACAATCCGATCTGAGCATTCATGTTGGCGCCATCCATGTATACTTGACCACCATGCTGATGAACAACTTCACATGCAGCCCTGATTTCTGGTTCGAACACACCAAAAGTACTAGGATATGTGATCATAATAGCTCCAAGTTCCTCGCTATACTTCTCACATTTCGCTTTGAGATCTGCCATGTCGAGGTTACCAGACTTGATGTCACATTTTACGGTGACAACACGCATACCTGCCATAGCAGCTGATGCAGGGTTGGTACCATGAGCAGAAACAGGAATCAAGCAGATATCACGTTTCTTACCGGGCTGTAGCTCTTGATACTTGCGAATTACACGTAAGCCGGTAAATTCTCCTTGTGCGCCCGAATTTGGTTGCAGGGATACTGCATCAAATCCAGTAATGGTAGCCAGATCAGCTTCAAGCTCATCAATCATAATCTTATAACCAGTTGCCTGATCAACAGGAACAAAAGGATGAATGGAAGAGAATTCTGGCCATGTGACAGGAGCCATCTCAGTGGTAGCATTGAGCTTCATTGTGCAGGAACCCAGCGGTATCATAGAGTGTGTGAGGGAAAGATCCTTCGATTGGAGGTGATGAATGTACCGGAGAATTTCGGTCTCGGAATGGTGGATGTTGAAGACTGGATGCGTGAGGTATTGGGATGATCTCTTTAGTGCTGCCGGGATTGAGCTATTAAAAGACGTTTGTAACTCCGTGGATTTCTCGACAGATCCTGATCCCGTCCTGGAAAACTTCTTGAATACAGATATAATATCTCTGAGGTCCTTGATGTCGATGGTTTCATCAATGGTGACGCCAAGTCGGCTATCATCAAACTTTCTTAGATTGATCTTGAAACTCTCAATAGCATAGCTAAGAACTTCATCAGATTTGCCCTGCCCAACATTTACCACAACCGTATCGAAAAGAACTTTTCCATCGGACCCCGTTCCTCTGGAGTTGGTCTCAAAGCCGAGATCCTTAAGTCCATCCTGGATAAATCGAGCTCCTTTAATAGCTCTCTCGGCTATGGCCTTCAGTCCTTCTGGCCCATGGTAGACTGCATAGAATGCACTCATGTTGGCCAACAATGCCTGGGCAGTGCATACATTACTAGTAGCCTTTTCTCTGCGAATATGCTGTTCTCTAGTTTGTAAAGCCAACCTCATTGCCTTGTCCCCAAGCCTATCTTTTGATACACCAATGAGACGCCCTGGAATCTTTCTCTTATACTTGTCGCTAACAGCAAAGAAAGCAGCATGCGGGCCACCATAACCAAATGGAACTCCAAAACGCTGAGAGTTTCCAAAAGCAATATCCGCACCGAATTCACCAGGTGGTGTGAGAACAGTCAGCGCCAAAAGATCAGTGGCGACGCTAAAAGTTGCACCTTGAGCGTGGATGACATCTGCCAGACTACGGAAATCTTCTACGCCACCTTCAGTATCCGGATATTGTACCAAAGCTCCAATGAGATCATTTCCAAGCTCCTTGAGGCGAGCCTCACCATTTGCGAGAATATCTCCAATTTCAATTTTGATATCAAATCCATCTGCTCTGCTCTGTAAGACTGACAGTGTCTGGGGATGAACTAGGTGGCTGACAAAAAATGTCTTATTCTTGCTCTTCTGCCTTGCAAGTGGAAGGGCATTCATTGACAGAGTCATAGCTTCGGCAGCTGCGGTAGATTCATCGAGTAGCGACGCATTGGAGATTGGCAGTGCTGTCAAATCGGAGACAATTGTTTGGAAGTTCAAAAGTGATTCCAATCGTCCTTGACTGATCTCAGGTTGATATGGCGTGTAACTTGTATACCATCCTGGACTTTCTAACACATTTCTCTTGATAACTTCAGGTACTCGTGTACCAGCATATCCACATCCAATATAACTTCGCATGATTGTATTTTCGGAAGCAATTGACTTCAGTCTCGCGAGCAACTGAGATTCCGTAAACCCTTCCTGTGAAGATTCGGATTCCGCGTCGATTTTGAGATCTTTCGAAGAGAGAATGTCGCGTGGTAGAACTTGCTCGATGAACTCGTCTAAGCTCTTTACTGGCGGATCCAAAGCTTTCAGCATCTGTTCTGTACATTCTGGACCGGGGCCAATATGTCGGCGCGCGAAGGTATCTAAAGGATCATATGTTCCCTTAGAATTCAAATTCGAAGGCGAATTGATCATCTCATCTTTCGCAGAGCTCTGGTAGTAAGTACGTCGCCCAATTGGTTTCAAAACGGTGGCAGAACTTAAGTATTGGCCAGAACTCCATGGTCGTGTGAGGTTTGAGCTTCTCAGGGATGAACTTCTTGATTGAAGTACAACTCGAGCAAACCTCGCACGAAGCGCAAGATTTGAGGCAACCATTGTTCTTGAGTTTGCAGTTTGCAGTCTGCGAAGCTCGTGAACCGTAAATTTTGGTTGCGAGACTCAAAGAAAAGAGTCGGTGTATCTAGGACAAAGTTGTACGAGAGGGGTTAAGCTTCGATGAGGGGTCCGGGAATATTAGGAATTGGCTAGGATTGTGAGTGTCATCAACCCCACATTGAGATAAGGAGAGGAGATAGAATGAGATATGAGTATGAGTGGAATCTAACAGCAAGTGAAACGACAGTGAATGTAGATGAAAGAAGAGATGAGATGAATTTATATGAAATCTAAATCTATTAAACTTTTTTTTTTTTACAGAGCGCGATAACGGATTCATGACAAGTCAAGTCAAGTCAAGCCAACAAAAGTAAATCGCCCAAAACAATGTTCGATCAGCCACGAGCCCGTTTATGGCTTAGTGTAACAAGCCACAAGAAAGTCTAAATTTAAAACATCAGGTACGCACATGTCAGTATGAGTAGTCAGCAAGATGAACGGAAGATTAAAATTTATTGTAGTGTAAACATCAACTCATCGCCGACCCCAATACTTCAACACATCTACAGTTTCATACCACAAAAATGTTCGGAGGACGTAAGTGTTCATCTCAGATAGCTTGTGCGAACTTTTCTGACTTTAATCTTAGCACCACCGCCACCATCCCCGGCTGATCTTAAGGCTCAAGAGGATGAAGCTACTCTGACCGTGCAACGAGTCATTACTTGGTCTATTCTTCTCTATCTCTGTATGCTTTACGCTTCCCTATTAGTAGTGTACTTGTACTGACTTTAAGATAGCACCTTTTGCCGTCAAGAGCATCCAAAACCTCATCTAAGGATGCAGACGAATAATGCATCATGACGACCTGTACAATATGAACGCCTGAGGAGACTGAGAAAGTGTATGATAGTACGGGGAGGTTCGTGGAAATATCGGATAAGCGCTGCATATATACATTGCTAGCATTGGCATTTAGACCTCTGTTATGCGAAGATAGTACAAGATTCGAGCATCGAGAGGAGGATCACAGAGACATACTGTATAGATGGCTTTAGAGAAATATCTCGATTTTTCAAGACAGGAAAATACATTCAAGATGCGAACGGGTATCAAAACGTGGTTATACACGAACAAAAACGGCCTTTGTACCATCCGAAATGTTGCTACCACATATGTCGTACAATATCGGTTTTCTGTGTATCTCTAGCAAAGCCAATCTGTACAGACCCATGCATCAAACATTCTCGTTTCTTTTCCGCTATCCAAAACTGTCTCCTGCATTTTCTTAATCAGGAGGTACGCCGTTTGTCAACCTTTCTCCGATTGCCCTCCCTGCCCTTTCTCGATTCAGCACTTCCGCCACCCTCACCCCCCCCCCCCCCTCAAATTTCCTTAATCTTCCTTTTCTGGCTACCCTCCCTATCGATTTTACACTTGTCCAATGATTCCCCCACATTTTCTTAATTAAGAACATCCTTCCCCTTCCCTACCTCCTCCCTAATCTCCTCCACCCTCTTCCTCTGCACTCCCTCCCCATCAAAATTCCTCACCCCTAACCACTCCACCAACGCCTCCTTCACCACTCCCCACTCCTCCAAAATCAAACTACCACCCCAACTATCCCTTCTCCTTCCCCTCACAACCATATGTCTCCTAAAGACGCCCTCCTCCACAAACCCCAACCTTAGTGCCGCTCTCTTACTCCCCTCATTCTCCCTATTACATTTCCACTCCACTCTCTCATATCCCAATCTAAACACATAATCCATCAACACATAACACGCCTCCGTCGCTTCAGTCGTCCGCTGTAGTCCCTTCGAGAACAACACATGACCAACCTCTACCCTCCGTTGCGCAGGCACGATATTCAGAAGTGAGATAATACCCACCGCTTTTCCAGTCGGCAAGACAATGGCCCAGTTTACAAATCCAAATTCAGAGGGCTGGGTAAGCCATATTATGTAAGTTGTGAATTCCTCGATGGTGTTGAAAGGACCCATGGGCATATATTTGTAGAGCATATATTTTTCCGCTCCACCGACATGATTCCATAGATCTGGGATATGCTCCACGGAAAGTGGAATGAGAGAAATGCGTTTAGTGGTGTGAGAGAGCGGGATTAGAGAGGGGAAGGGAGGGGTATTGGGGGAGACAATTGGGGAGGATGTTTCGAAGTCGGCGGGGTAGAGGGAGACGGGTGGAACTTGGGGTAGTGACATTTTTGAGGATCAGGTTTCATCAATTGTTGTTTAATGGTACGGATGGAGAGTTGTGAAACCCGGGTGTCAGACGGAATTCTTATCTTTATAGAGGGGTTAGTCTAAGCAATGAGTCACTTGCCGCCGCTATGGTGAAAAGTAGTAGGGTGTACTCGTAGGTAGTTTCGATAAGTGCGCAAACCTGTCTTTCTTTCCACAGCAATCGCTCAAATGGCAGCTGTTTGCGATCGATGTGTTGTGGGAATTGAGAAAGAAATTACTACTGGTAGCATGTAAGTATTTTAGCTTCATATTATACAACGTCTATCTTCTTTTTTTACATCCCGACCAACTCCGTGAAGTCCAAGCTTCCGATCAAATTAACCATGGGTATTTCGCATCAATCATCGGCCGAATGTTGTTCTCGCTGCTGTTTGTGGTGGCTGCTCTTTTTCCCACTCGACATAATCTTTATGTACCTTATCCAACTCCTTTTTCAGATGTGCTAGTTGAGTCTGATAGTCTTCCAGAATCTAGTTTGTAACATTAGCATAAATTTAACATCACGGTAATAGATATAAATGTACCTTCTTGCATCGTGCAGTCATGGTATCGTCTAGAACTTCACCGTTTTCTTGGCCAACCTTCTCCAGTTCAGTCCTCAATAACCGGCCTCGTTCCTGAACATTGATCATTCGCGCCCAAATCTCTTCGGCTCTCGCACCCAATGCTGGGTCGCTGGCCCCTTTTTCTATTTTGATGAGCTTAGCTTTCAAATCCTCTTCGTCTCCACTGAGCGCATAGCCTCTGTTTCTCAGAACCTGAACTTTAGTTGCCAGTGCGATACACCGTTGTTTCAATATCACATGTTTTCTCCTAGCATCCATTGCCCGTATACTCGTCTTCGTATCGTGAATTTGAAGTAGGTTCGTCAAGCTAGCATTTATATTGTGTAAACGGATGTTGAACGCTGCAAGATGCTGTTGCTGAGCCTTGATTCTCTCGCCCATCATTGCAAAACCAATACATGCGACTGGGATATACCCAGGTCCTGGCTTTCTCGAAAGGGCTTCTTCCCAAGCTTTCGGGTCCTCGTTAGGCTGTGGTTGATAAAATGGTGCCGCGTCAACGCCGACGTTGTTGTAAAAGAAATGCTGAAAAGCACATTCCTTGCTTCCCGTATCCCATTTACCCACGACTGTTTCAATCTGGTCTACGACGCTCTTTTCCCCTATATGAAAATTAGCTTGCGCTGTGAATACAACTTGGCAGGTACATACGAGGTCTCAATCCGCTTGTTCCAAACAGGGTGTTGCCAAATTGTCCTTGTGATTGCCCTAAAGCTTGCGACGGTTGCGTTTGTCCGAATAACCCAGTCTGTTGTTGCGATCCTCCAAGAATGGTGTTTTGCTGCTGCTGGGCCGCCTGCTGCTGTGCTCCCATAGTCTGTCCCGAGAACAATCCTCCCGGTTGCTGCTGCGGTTGTAGGGTATTTGATCCAAATAAACCTCCTGTCTGAGGCTGATTTTGTTGAGTGCTCGCTCCAAATCCTCCACCAAAGAGTCCACTAGTCTGCGGTTGTTGACTCTGTTGAGTGTTCTGTCCTAACCCACTGAAAAGCCCTCCGCCCTGATTCTGAGTTCCCGCAGTTGTAGTCGAGCCAAACGGTACTCCTGTTGGTTGCGCAGTATTCGTGGATCCAAACAAACCTCCTGTAGGTTGTGCGGTGCTCGTCGACCCGAATAAACCTCCGCCAGTGGGCTGGCTTTGACCGAAGGTACTTCCAAACATAATGATTCCTTTGTGCGTTCGGAGCTATAGAAGTTTCGAGATATAGATACTGTGGGAATGCGCAAGTAACCTCGAGGAATCTTGGTACAATGCACTGTTGCAGCTACTCGGGAAAATGTTGACTCTGCGAACGCGCTTGAGGATATTATTATTAGGATTGGAAGATTTTGTCGAATATAGTGTGTGCCAATTAAATTTTTTAAGCTAAGATATGAACAATAGAAATCGGCAAGGTATTGGTCAATGTTGAAGTCGATAGAATAATTCACAATGTGAAAGTGTATTCTTATTTTGCTGGAACAAGAATTCGTTGTCGGGACGAAGCTCTTTTGCTCGGTCGCGACTTCTGAGGTCGGCTGGTGAGCCAATCAACTTCCGCGTTTTTGACTTGACCTCAAAGCTTCATATCGGCAACTGCTTCGAACCTCCAAAACACTCAATTGCGGGCTTTGCAAACCCAGTATCTCCTCACAACATATCTCAAAATGGCCGCACGTCAACCTAGGTATAACTTCACACCTCCACAAATACCATACCTCTGGCTGGCGCTAATCACGATCGCAGATTTAATCAGCAAGTCTTGATTGACACCACCCCATTACCTGCGGAAATCCCCCCAGTCACAGAAATTGGTAGCAGTTCGGCGCCATTACTGTCCGCGAGTTTCTTTATCGGCGCAAGATGTAGACCCTACAATGACGATTTCATGCAATGCAAGAATGACAATCCCGGAAAGGGAGAGATTGATTGTTTGAAGGAGGGCCGAAGGGTTACTAGGTGTGCGAGGAGCGTGTAAGTGCTACTCCTTCATGGGGTCACAGGGGCGAAACGTTGTCTGTCGATACGCATCTGTCGATACGCAAATAGGGGAGATATTCTAGCTGGATGTATGGTTTTCATCTATGGAACTGTTGGCTGATTACCCATCACAGGATTGAAGATGTGAACAAACACTGTCTTGTGGAGTTCCGGAAACACTGGTAAGATGAACTTTCATGAGGCCCGGGTGTGATGAAAATGATCATGGCTAAACATGTTATAGGGGTTGCCTTGACAATAACAACCAACAACTTTGGCATTGTCGATCACTAGAGCAGAAGCTCAACAAATGTGTCTTTGACAATCTGGTACGACATTTCTCTACATCTGTGATGAAGGATAGCTGCTAATTATACGGGACGTACATAGAAACTCGAGAAGATTATTCCAGATACCCCAGCAAACGAAACCCCTGTGCACCTACGTAAACGACAAATTTACTCACACTATAGCTCGTGAAAAATCCATGTTGGCATTGTGATTCGGTGGAGGTGGGGTGCTATCGGGGAATTTGTACATAGTGTTGAAATCGAGCTACACTTCTTTTAAAACCTGTGATGTCGTGAGACGTGGTTCAGGAGCCTGACAAGATGGGAAGCCCTATACGCAGTCGATGCTCCTATTGGATGAAGTGTTAAACATACATGGAGATTTTCTTTCGTCAAGTGACTTCGCTGCCCGGTTTATACATCTTCATTATGGTTTGTATATTGATCTTAGCTAATGTAATTTCGAGCTGCTTGATCAACCTAAAGCTACATTGATCAGAGAGAACACAATTCACTTCGTGGACATTGTCGCCTCCCCCTAACCTGCTCGGAAAAGGACTCTCAACAACACCATTCTCCCTCAACCTTACACTTTTTCCACATCACCGTTTATTTCCCAATATCTTCATCTTTCTATCTCAGAACTCTTCGTGAAATCCATAACAACCCAACTTTATTTGTCTTTCAATAGGGTAAGCTAACTGCTACCGATCTTTGGCCTTACACCAACGTCTTAGATCGATAGCCGCTGCTTCATCGGCTCGCTCTCACCTTTACTTAAGCTAATTCACCTTTTGCCTCGGAGATTAGACGCTAGTGCTCGCGTCCTTATGTGAACTCCCTCTTCTCACTTCGTCTTCCTCCTCAACGTGTCCAACTAACCTTCAATTATTATCTTCAACCTTTACTTGCAATACCAAAACTCCAAGAGTTTAACGCCTTGGTTACAAGCCACTTATTTTACTCAAAGTATTCGTTTCCTTGTTTACTCATATTCTCAGAAAATCATCGTCATCAAAAGCAATCAAGATGGCAGACTTCGCTGTCAAACTTGAGGCTGGGCCATCACCTCCGCCCCGGGACAGTCCACTCTGCGTGAGCGATGATAAGGATCAAGTACCACGCAGTCCATCCCCATGTGTCGCTGACTCTCCCAAGCGCAGTCTCTCGCCATCGCCTGCGCCGTCATGCTCCGACGAGACTTCCAGCCATACTATTCCAACATGGCAGCGATGTGGACACCTCGATCTGCTGAAGCAAATTGAGATCAAAGAAGAAGCTGTTCGCAACGGTATAATTGGTCTCAAAGACATAGAGGCTGCTCTTCGGCATCATGCAGGCGAAGTTTGGAGCTCCAGCAAGTGGCTCGAGCGTATTGGTAAGCTGGGAATTCCGTGGCTACTTCATCTATAATGCTTTGTCGCTGATAGTTTTCATAGCAACGATTCGGGCAGCCAAGAAAGAGTGCCGAGTTCTGATCGGTTTTCTCGGAGTTACTGGTGCGGGGAAATCCACTCTCATCAATGCTGTTCTCGGATACGAGGATCTCTTACCGGCTGATGATGAAAAGGCCTGTACCGCCGTCATCTGTGAAATCTCATGGAATCCTAGAGATGATCCAGCTGCTACTTTTGTAGCTATCATTGATCGTATCAATAGGGAGGACTGGGTGTCCGAGTTGGAAAAGCTTTTCCGGGACATTGCCGATAAAAATTCCAACAAGGATGGAGACGATGAAGAGCCAGATCTCGAGCGAGATGAGCGGATCAAATCTGCTTTTGGCAAAGTCAAGTGTGTCTACCCCTCCATTAAAAGCGTTGAGGCATTGCAGCGTCAAACTATTACGTCTCTCATGAGCCATTGCAGTGTCCGAGATATTCTGGGCCAGAGCAACACCATAAAGAGCAATAATCTCCAAGACTTTGCTGATGCTATCAAGCCTTACATTGATAGCAGCAATTCTAAAGAGGATGGCGGTACCTATTCATTTGCCCAGTTGCCTCTCGTTAAGCTTGTTCGTCTCCAAATCAAGGCCGAGGTTCTCAAAACTGGCATTGTTCTCGTCGATCTTCCAGGTTCAATGGACACTAACGCAGCCCGTGGAGCCCTTGCCGCAACTTATACCAAAAACTTGACAGTCAGCTGTGTCGTTTCGCCAACCAGCAGAGCTGCTTCGGATAAGCCAGTTAGTTTTTATCTCATCCCCCCCCTTGTTCATATACATGTATGCTGATGACTTCTAAGGCTCAAGATCTACTTGGATCCATTACAAAGCGATACTTGCAGTTGGAGGACCACTTCTCAAGTGATCATCTATGCTTCATTGTTACCAAGACTGATTCATCTATCCATGTGTCCCGATACATTAGGACGCATCCAGAAGTCGACAAAGGCCTTACGGAAATTTATTTGAAAGAGGCTAAAATCCAAGATGATTTGGCATGTATGCAGAAGTCGAATTTGAACCGAGAGCAACGATTATTGAAAGATAAGCAAACACTGCTTGAGCTCAAAGAAGAGATGAAGCAGCTCGAAACAAGTATAAGGATTGCCCAGTCTAAACGCAAGCACAATGGATGCAAGTTTATTTTGTTTTATTTCATGATTAGGTCTCTTGATGCTAATTACTTTTTGATAGTCCCTACTTCGTCTGCCCCAACGCCAGGGTATAAAAATGACAAGAAGACTTATTCTCGTCTCCAGAAGCAATCCCAGGACACTCTGAACGCGATAAATTTTGATGAAAGTAAGCTTGGTAAAGCTTATCAGAAACTTAATACACTAGAACAGATTGAGCGGACCTTTTATTCAAGAAAGATGCAAGCATGCATCCGGAATCGAAATGCGGTTTCGACCACGGCGCTACGAGATGACTTCGAGTCTGTTAGAAAACAAATGGGCGAATAGAAGGCGGTAAAGCCCTTGCAAGTATTTTGCATCTCAGCTTTGGCGCATTTTGACCACACAGAAAGAGGTAGCCAGATGGATGGATTTTTTAAGCTTCGTGATGCTGGAGTTCTAGCCTTGCGAGCATGGCTGATCGATGCTACACTGGGTAATCGCAGCTGTAATGCTGAATCATTCTTAGCGGACATCGAGTGTCTAGAAACTACGCTGCACCTATGGGCTGCTGATACCACTGTTGAATACAAGCTACCTGCTACGCAGAAAGAGGAAATCGAAAATGCCTTTGATGAACAAGTAGAAGTATTAGGCAAGGTATGTGTCATATTTTAGTTGTCGCGGTGACTGTGTACTAACATCACTTCTGCAAAAATTGCATGAGCTTAACACTCGCACAGTTGATCAGATTGAGAAGTATTTTGAAAATGGTATCTTCAAACATATGCCATTGGCAGAGAAGAAAGCCGTTGAGAAGGGTGAGATTGCGGTTAGAAGTTGGGCCCAGAGACCGATGGGATGGGCCACACATCGAGCTTGCAACCGTAACAATGGGAATTGGAAGAGCTACAACGACACCGTTCATCACTGGAATGATGATCTGTAAGTCACAAATGTCCGCATGTTATGACTCTTTCTAACTTCAAGCAGAGGTGGCTTGTATCTTGATGACTACATGATCAGGCACTGGCGCAAGACTGTGCACACCACTCTGCCAGAATATCACCAAAAATACAACACCTCTTTCGGTTTAGTCCTCTTCAATTTTGTTCATGGCGTTGTCACGGCAGCGACAACTATCTGCCCCCAAGTTGCTGAGCCTTTAGGCCTTTGGAAGCAGAGCATAATGAAAGGTGCCAAACCACTCCAGGATAAAGCTGAGGAAATATTCCAGGAAAGAATCAAAGCCACAGCCACAGAGGCCCACGGACTCATCGTACCTAAGATCAAAGACATTTGGCTACCAATCTACGAGCAATGCGGTGAAGAACATGGTATGTTGAAAAAACTATTAGCATAGGTATAGAACATCACTAACACGAAAATAATCTACCAGGCAAGGGTCACTTTAAGCGCAACATCGAGACCCACGTAAAATTCATTCAGAAGAACGGTCGACCCATGTACAAGAAGTGTTCCAAGGCAATCCGTGGAGCTTTCAAAAAGCTCTGCACTAACTTGCCAGTAGAATTCTCCAAGAGTACAGACACGGCAACCGCCAAGATCAAGGAGGAATTCAGTATGATGATGGATAACCATACCATTAAAGACACTACTTCTGCTGGAGGCGGAGGCGGTGTCTGTCCATCCAAAGTCAAGTTGCGCGATGCACTCACATTGATCTTCGCCAATCTGCACGTCGCCTGGGGTGAAGAGATCGAAGGGGTGGTCGAGGAAGAAGAAGAGGAGCCTGAGGATGAAGATATCGACATTTCCGAATTCAAGGGCGAAGAGGACATACAACAAGAAGATGCAAAATTTGTCCTCTCCGACTTCAGTGACGACGATAATAACGACGATGCAAAGGACGGCGACTACGTTCCAGGAGCTTAGAATCTTCTGCCTTCATCTTGAACCCTGCTTTCATACGCCCATCCTCCAGTCTTTTCCCTCGAGACTCACGGCACACATTCCGCATTTCCCCTTGATATGCATCCCCACGCATCGATCCAGCTTTCTAGTCAGCGAGTACGACTACTGCTCGGAAGATCGAAAACTGCATGGATTGCTCGGTCATGCATTTTATGCACATTTTGCTCACAACGGACATAATCGTCATTTTTTACGCATTTAGCAGGTTTTTCTTTCATATCTTTTGCGAATTCATGAAGCAATGGAGCTACGAGACAATGAATCACAGACATATTTTACACAACTCATATTTCTCTTTCAAAAGTTACGCGTCGATGGATCTACGAACCACACAAGACCTATTTCAGTCTCAGACCAAACGAGGTGCGAAATTCAAGGACTGCAGATAGCGGGATACTATTAATTCCATCCATTCCATTTCGATTTCTCTCTTTTCTTTTACTTGGGTGGATTCGATGCTATCTATGGTCTTACTTGCGATGGTCTCATCTCACCTGCTATTCCTTATTCCTTATTTCTTATTTCTTATTTCTTATTTCTTATTTCTTATTTCTTATTTCTTATTTCTTATTTCTTATTTCTTATTTCTTATTTCTTATTTAGTTATCTATTTATTCAATTACCAAACCCAAAAAAATCAACATCATCATCTCCTCAGTTTCACTCATAAAAAACCCCGATAATTCCAAATGTGAATGTAGATATAAACGTAGATATAAACGTACCCCGGCCCTCACCCCCCCCTCTACAAACCCAAAATACACAAACCCACAAACCCAAAAATCCCAAGAAGAGACATATTATATTATATTTTCTCAAGAAGAAAGAAATACGAGTCTCGATACGAAGAACAGGTAATAAATATATCCAATATTTACTCGAGTACTCAGTGATATATTATACATACATATACATCATTAAGCCAAGAAAGGGAGTGAGTGAGTGAGTGGAATGGGACTACTCGAGTAGTTTCCGTGACATTTCAACTTTTATTTGAGGTTTTGAGGAGAGCTGGGACTGTGAGTGTGAGTGTGAGTGTGAGTGTGAGTGTGACTGATGATATAAAGGGGCGATGTAGTTCGTAAGATTGTATGGCTAGACTCGAATGATTCGCTTCCAGAACTCGGTTATGGGAACGATGTGGAAAATCATCACAATCACATTAGACAATCTGTAAATTTCTAGAAAGGTCATGAAGATTTCATTCTATATCTAATTATATGCATATCCACCACAGCGCTCAACTATGCACAAGTACAAGGCCAACACACAACACAATCTAAGCAAGATTCTTGGCCTCGCCGTCCTTAAGCTTACCAGCACCAACCAATCTCTTGACCTCCTCGCTCCAGACAGACTTGATCTCATCTGCGATCTTCAAGCCGTTGAGCTTACCAGCCAAAGCGGCGCACTCATCTGGATCGATCTTGCCTTGGACCAACTCAACATCGTTCAAGACGCCATCAATGGCAGATGCTGGGGCGGTTTCACTTCCGACAAAGTAGTTGGCGTCCTTAACACTTCCCTTCAAGACACGTCTGTTCTTCTTGACGGCAGCCTTGGCAGCTTCCTTGGTCTTCTTGCCTTGCTCCTTATCGGTCTTGGCCTTCTCCTCGGCGTCCTTAGCAGCTTGCTCCTCGGCTAATTTTTGAGCTTCCTTCTCAGCCTTTGCCTTGGCCTCGGCCTCTTCTTTCTCGAACTTCTTCTTGTTCTTCTCCTTGTTGGCCTCTTGTCTGAAACGCTTGATACGCTCATCAGCGGCGGAAGCATCGTCCAACAATTTTCTTAAACGAGCAGAATCCTCAGTCTTCTTCTTCTTACGTGCGTTGTTGTTCTTACGTTCCATGTGTCGTTTTTGATCACGGTTCTCGTTGTCATCTGGAACATCCTCATCTTGGTATTCAAAAGATCTCCATGAATCGAAGTTGTAGAAGAAGTTGTAGAAACTCTCGACTTCCTCCTTGGAGCTGTTGTCATCACCAAACTTGGGTACTGGCTGGGTCTTGGAGAAACGACCCTCGGCCTTGAAACATGAACTCCATTTCTTGTAGAAGAGTTTCTTGTCCTTTTGGTCTTTCTTGGATGGTGGTGCAATTTCGGCGGCTTCATCAACGGAATCGAATTGGCGACGCTTGACGGGATCAAGGAGAAGATCGGTGGCCTTTTGGATACACTTGAAGAAGGTATCATCTTCGGTGGCACCGGATGCAGCTCTCTTATCGGGATGATGCTTTAAGACCTTCTTTCGGTGTGCCTTCTTGATTTGATCTTCAGTTGCCTTGTATCTGTACTTGCTGAGACCGAGAACAGCATAATGATCTTGGTTCTATTTATCAAGCGTTAGTAAAAGTATGGTACGGTTGGCACAAGTATTCCAAATCACCTTCCAGTCCTTAGCATCCCGGGATAACATCATTGGGTCCTCGGCTTCACTGATTTCTCCAATATCATCATCCTCGACCTTCAAGACGTTGTTCTGGGCTTCAAGACGGTCATCTTCGGAGAAGGTACGCTTGTGACGAGCTCTGCGGGCATGGGCGAGAAAGTGAGGACCAACAGGTTCGAGACTTCTCTGAGTTGCAGCAGAAATGCTAGCGATGGCGTTGAAATCTTTCTCTGCGGACCACCCTTCTGGAAGGGTAGGGAGAGGTAAGGCGACCTGAGTATGGGACGCCATTTTTATTGATTGATTGTTTTGTTAGAAATTTGGAGGGGAGAAAGAAAAGGTTAGAATGCTAGTAATCGAAAAAATAGTTCGTTTACTTCACCGCCCTATGTATTTTCTGCCGCGCCAATTAATTAATAATATTTTTATTATGCTTGCGGTCTAAAATCATCAAATATACCATCGATTAAATTACTCCCATAAGATGTAAAGCTGTAGTTGATACCAGTCAACTATTTAGCTCATTTTTTATGTATCTGAATATCTCAGGATTCTTAGTATAACATATTACAAATTATTATGAGGTTTCGTTGAAATTGTGCACTTTTGAAATACTTACTTTGATAACGATATGGATTTCGGAGAGAGCCAAACAAGCAATTTCAATGTCGAACTACTCTAAATAATAAACAATCAGATGCCTCTAGGCCTCTAGTTATTGAATACTCAGATCCCTGATTAGGAAGAATCTAAAGGTTATCAAAACGATTTTATTATAGATTATATACGCTATTTAATTGTTGCACTACCATTTCAGACAATCTCTTCTCTCTCTCTATCTCTCTCCAAAGACCAAAGTTCTTACCTAAGCAGACCAAAGTCAGAAAAGAGATCGTGCTGTTAATAATTCTTGAACAGAACTTTCCGCATTATCCAAATCACGGTGCACTCTTTTCTCCCAATCCTCAATCAAAGGTATTAGTCCTTCTATAAAACCTCGTGTCGCAATATTTAAACCCTTCATATTTGCCACAGTTTCTCCCATCTTCCGAATCTGATCTCCTATTTCAATTTTCCTACGTAGGAATTCTTTGTGCGCCGCTTTAATATCCGCTTTAATATCCGCGTCAAGTTCCACATTCGAGACCTCCTCAAAGTCTCTCTTGTAGTCCGCTTCATCGTATTTCTTTCCAAACTCGACCCCTAGAAATTTGTCTTCCGCACCATCAGTCGCAAACTTGAATGTGATTCCTCCAAGTTCCATCCAAGTTTTTACAGGTGTGTGTCTTGGCCGAGGCCTCTTCTTGTCCTCCAACTTTGTTTCGTTGTCCAGGCTTCTTTCGTTGTCTAGCTTTGCTCCATCCTGAAGCTTTGCGTCTTGATTTGGTTTCGCTTCATTGTCCTGCTGTATATCGTTGTCTGGGTTGGCGTTACTGTTTGTAGATTCGAGGCATGCTTGAGCATCATCTATCACATCCCTTGCCTTCCCCCGAGCTCTTCTTCGAGCTCGTTTCAATTCTGATTTCGATGGGTTTTCAATACAGCTTGCTTCGTTTGTATTTGCAACAGTAACGGTAGTTTTACTTGAATCTTTTGATTCCGGGTCTTCAACCACGGAACTTCGATTGGTTGGACTATCAAATGGAGAATCCGAATTAGTTTCATTGGATTCTTCGAACTTTTTGTTTTCTACCAGAGAACTGGGGCCTGTTGTATCTGAACTCGGACAGTCAGACGGAGAATCCGAGCATATGTTTAGGTCTTCGTCTTCCTCGTTCGATGCCTCGACGTCAAGGGACGCAAGGCTGAAGGGCATGTATGTGGGCGCAATGTCGGGTATCTGCTCATTAAGGGGTGTGGTAGCTTCGATGGCATACGTCACAATTGAGGCTTCTCTTGTGGAACTCGTACTCTGTCTGCGAACCACATCTTTTCCTTTGTCGGTCAATGTCGTAAAGTAGGATTCCTTTGTGAGGCTTCCTGCCCTCCATGGCCGAGGGTTTCGTTGATCCTGTATCTCATCGTCGTTCCACGTGCTAAAAGAGACTAGCTTTGGGACACTCGCAGTCCGGCTACGAACCTCATAGTATATGTCCGGATATTCCCACATAATGGGGGATGTTCCTAGAGTATTCACACTCTCGCCGTGAACCTCATCGAATTCTTCGAGAGTGTCCTCACTGTGATCAACAACCTCTTTAGCAATCTGGCGAAATGGTGGCGGGGTGTCATGGTCTTCAAGCTTGTCATAAAGCTCTTCCGAGTCGGATTGTAAGGATGGTTGATCATTGATGTCCAAGATCTTAGTCAAACCAGAAGCTTGATTGATAGTCGTACCGCGTGTTGTCCATTGGTCGACCTCTGTTCCTGCTTCAGGTCTCTCTGCATCTACGTTCTCTGAAATGCGGCTAGGTTCTGCAAGATCTTCTCCGTCTTTCGCCACATTATACGGTGCAAATTCGCTGTGGTTTCCACCATTCCATTTTTGGCTGGTAATTGGAGTAGTCTCCATTATTCGAAAGAAATGCTAGCACTGATTGTACCACTATTGCTGTATCCCTCCTCAAAGAATGATAATTACATGTACTGACCAAAATAATCTGTAAAGTTCTATTCTAAACATCAAAAGCCATGGCCTCAGCAGCTTATAGGCACCTTCTTCGCGCGACTCGAGTTGCCTTCAATGGTTCGTGCCTTCCTCCTTCCTCCCTCCTCCCGCTCACCCAACAACGACAACCTGAAGATCAACCAGTATCTAACCCATTAACAGAAGACATCGCCATCCTAGCTTCAGCCCGCAAACAGGTCCGCAGCACCATCCTCACCAACCGATCGCTGTCTCTCGAATCACCCGAATACACAGCAGCCATTGCGCACGCAGAATCGGTCGCGAAATTCCTGACGCAGAATCTGGTTCAGGGTCAGAAAACTGACGGCGTGGAAACTTATAGTGAGTGCTAATTAATCTTTGATTACTTGTGTTACTCGTACAGATGCTGTGGTATTGGAGGTGTTTGGGGTTTTGGATTTGGATGTGCAAGAAAGGAATGAGGGGAGTGTGAAATTGATGCTAAGGTGTAATCACAGAGTTGAGAATTCACGAACATACGGAACGGGGTGATAATGATACGATTAAGATGCCGGATGGGAAGAAGGTTACTATTGATGGGAAGACTTGTAAGGATTAAGTTGTCTTAGAAATACATGCATGATCTTGGGGAGAGTGTGGAATATTGGAAATGGGAAAGGGGAAATGTAAATGTAGGACATGTGACATGGGACGCTGGTAAATAGAGGTTTACATGCATAGAAAGTATGCTCACATGCGAATCTATCACATGCAGACCGATGGACAGAAAGTGAGATGGATTCATATCGTGACCATAGAGGTCAACATTGTTATTATATGCACTGTATTACTAAACATACAAAAGAGCACCCCACTCCATGCCCTTCGCTTCGGCTTCCCAACTCCTAAACCCCGGTGAATCAATCCATATATCAACGCTCCTTAATTACCAGCCAAACTAGCATACTGCACATCACCTGAACCGGGTGGAGCGGCAACAGCAGACATACTCGCGAAATCATCTCGTGGAGGTGCAGCTTGTGAAGCACCGCCCTCAATCGTTCTCCTCTGTGCACCCGAACCCGAACTCGAGAACGCGGATCGTCCTTCCCTGCCTGTGGCCATGCGCTCATCTTTATCCATGGTGCCAATTGGTCTGGGTCTTCCCCACTGCACTCTCAATGGGCAGCCTGCAATCACCACTTTTCCTTGTGCGGCCTCTGCTGCAGCTTCGGCTCCTTCTCTCGTCGCGTAATTAATGAATGCGCAATGGGACATGTGCGAGCAGACCAATGATCTTAATTTCCCGTATGGTGAGAAGAAATCCCTGATCTTGTATTCTGGCAAGTCGTCCTCCACACCAGTAAGAAACAGTGAAGTTATTGACGTATCGGAAGGTGGTAGGATATCTTGGGGACCAGGCGGTAATTGCGCCGCACTGGGAAAGGCTCTTCCTCCTCTTGCCCCGCCTCTACCACCCCGACCAGCACCCCTGCTTGGCTGTCCATCTCGTGTTCGTATCGGCCCTGGTCCTTTGGTCGCCAATGCCATTCCCTTCTCACTTTCACCCCCACCCGCAGCACCGCTACCGCTACCTTCCCCATCCGTAATCATCTTTCTACCCTTTCTGAAATAAGGCTGACTATTTGCCAACCTCCTCAAAAGTTCCCTAGCCTTCTCGTCTGTCTTCTCATACTCCTCCACCCCTTTCCCATCCTCAATATCCTTCTCATGATTCTGTGCATAATATTCCCTGTTGACCTCACTTTGTGGTCCCGGCGCAATCATCTTCAACGCCGCATCTCGAACCACAATCGGTAATCCGAAACTCAAATCCAACATACAGCACTGACAGCAATTCTTCAAGCGAGCGCATGTGAGACAGATATTGGTGCGTTTGCTGCGAGCTGTGCGGTCGGCTTTCCATTGAAAGACGGTAAATGGTCGCGTGCAAATTTTGCATTCTTCGCCGTGGTCTTGCTTGATCATTTGGACGAAGGGATTATCTGGGAGACAGTTTTCGCAGACGGAGGGGAAGTCGGTGGTTTCCCAACCGGAGCGATTAAGATCTTGTTTGATTTGTGGTGGCATGTTGGAGGTTATATATGATACTGTGATATTCGTAGCAAATGGTTTTAATATTATGTAGCTCAAATTGTCTATTGCGACAAATGACGTTACTGTTTTGATAATTTAATGATTGAAGATCTAGGAAAGGCTGAAGAAGAGGCGAAGAAATTCGAAATCAAAATGTTGACTAAGCAGATACCTAATCTAGCACGTGACCAGGCTGAAGTCAAGCCTTATAAATTGATTTATCTTTTACCTTTTTTTTCTTCTTAGCAAAACTACATATGATAGTAATTTTTCAGCCTTTTTCAACAATCATTTGGGGTTGTTCAAATCCTCCAATTTTATACAAAACTTATTAGTACCGGTATATTGAAATACAGTACGAAGCTTCACCCTTCATTCACCGTTTACAGTTCACCGTTCACCGTTTCTATTCATGTTGTAGCAAATATGCCAGCAATTCATTCATTACCCAGCCTTTCGAATCTAATCTGCACAGTTTGTTGTCCCGCAGCCTTTGGAAAATTCCCCATTCATAGTTGAGGGACATTGACCAATTAGAGGCATGAGTTCCTTACATAAATTTATTTGGGACTAGTACACGAATACGATTCGGTATACGACCAGGGGTAATAAAATTACCTTGGCCATAATTTCAGTGATGTTGATAAATATCTGCCAGAATTTCCCCTTTCTTCAATAATTAACCTTTCATCAATTTCAACTTTTACTTTACTTTAATTCAATTCTTAAGCATTCGATCAACTCGAATTTCATTCTCTTCAAAGCAATACACCTTCTAATTCACGAATTTTACAAACTTTCACCATGGCGCCAAGCAAACTCGAATCCGAAGATCACTCCCGCGATGCTGCTTTCAACAAAGCAATGCATAAAGATTCTTCCAATGCTGAGGGTGGTTTCCGTGCTATGATGAAGAAGGACTCTTCAGCTCAAAAGGCTGCTGTTGATGAGTACTTCAAGCATTGGGACAACAAGGCTGCTAAGGATGAAACCAAAGAAGATAGAGATGCCAGAACCGCTGAATATGCTACTTTGACAAGACAGTGAGTATAATCCGAGATCTCAAGCAAGACTCATTGCTAATATAAACATAGTTACTACAATCTCGCAACCGATCTTTACGAATATGGATGGGGACAGTCTTTCCATTTCTGTCGTTTCGCATACGGTGAACCTTTCTACCAAGCCATTGCCCGTCACGAACATTACCTCGCAGCCAAAATTGGTATCAAGGATGGCGATAGAGTTCTTGATGTTGGATGTGGTGTCGGTGGACCAGCAAGAGAGATTGCCAAGTTCACTGGAGCACACATCACTGGTTTGAACAACAATGATTACCAAATTGAGCGTGCGACCAAATATGCGCAGAAAGAGGGCATGTCTGATCAATTGAAGTTTGTCAAGGGAGATTTCATGGTATGTTCATTTTTTATCTTGTTCCATCCAACGAAGATATGCGAAGTCTACATGATGCAATAAAAAGTATTTGCTACTTCAGAGCTTGGGAGACCAAGCCATGAGACAATTAACACAACGGACTGAAAACACTTCGCATATCTTCAATGGTATCATGTTTTTCCTGAGCCGAGACTAACAAATCATAGCAAATGTCTTTCCCAGAAAACTCGTTCGATGCCGTCTACGCGATCGAAGCCACTGTTCACGCCCCATCCCTCGAGGGTGTCTACTCCCAAATTTTTAAAGTCCTCAAGCCAGGTGGAACCTTTGGTGTTTACGAGTGGCTCATGACTGATAACTACGACAACGAAAATGTGGATCACCGTCGCATTCGTCTAGGCATTGAGCAAGGTGATGGTATCTCGAACATGGTTAAGATCTCCGAGGGTGTAGCCGCCATTAAAGCTGCCGGCTTCGAACTCGTACACCACGAGGATTTGGCCAAGAGACCAGATGCCACTCCTTGGTATTATCCTTTGGCTGGTGAATTCAAGCATATGGGTACCATAGGAGATTTCTTCACCATTGCACGTATGACCAAGACTGGTAGAGGATTAATACACAAATTTGTTGGTTGTTTGGAGATGATAAAATTAGCACCACATGGAACACAGAAGACCGCCGACTCGTTAGCTTTGGCTGCGGATTGTTTGGTTGATGGTGCTAAGCTGGATTTGTTTACCCCTATGTATTTGATGGTTGCCAGAAAACCTTTGGTATAGGACTTGGGCGTATGGTTGAATTTGGAATGGATGGGGATGGATGGGGATGAAGTGGTCATGACTTGATGTGTTTGACATTTTTCGTTCGAGTCACAGATTATATGTGTACTCGGACCTTTCTTTTTACTACAGCATTGAACTTGATGTTTGGAAGAAAACATCTTGAGCCGAGACGAATGCAGATGAATGCTGGATGATACACAGCATGCATACTATAGAACGATTATAATAGATATGAACAATAAATATAATATAATAATACACAAGGACTGTTTTGGATTGTGAGGATGAATCTTTATAGTTATGATTTTTTGAAAATCATTTGTGTTTGGGCCTTTTACGAAATGAGTGATAGGAAAGTATGGAGGGAAGGGTATGAAGGGGAAAATGTACATCTTTTACCTTCCGCCCAACTCCAACTCCAACATCAACATCAACATCAACATCAACATCAACCATAACCATAACCATAACCATAACCATAACCATAACCATAACCATAACCATAACCATAACCATAACCATAACCATAACCACAACAACAATTACAACTACAACTGCAACTATAACTATAACTATAATTAATTAGATAAAGACTACTATATAGTTCACTAACTAATATACCGGTAGACTACCTACTCGAGTGCTGAATCCAGTCTAGTTATTTTGTTTCGCTTCGTTTCGTTTCAATATATAATTTGAGATATGATAGTAATATACTCGAGTATAGTAGAACATGTCTATACTGGAGTAGTCTAACTAATACTCGAGTAGTAGTAGTATTCAATTTATCAAATTCACTAAATTAGATTAGATACTATTTATATACTAATTCCCATTCTCATTTACTATTCATTTATATTTACTATTCAATAATCATCTCATACTCGTACTCGAGTATTACAATTACAATTACAATTACAATTCCACTTAAAGAATCAAAGATTCAAACTCGATTAGAAGAGAAAAGATAATACGAAACTTTAATTATAGGAAGATAAAACAAGAAAACATAGTATCAGAAATCCCCTTCAAGTTTAACTATTAATCTACTCGAGTATTAGAATAATCTTTTAATAAAACGAAATGATAGTGAATTATTATTGATTACTACTATCCCTCCTCTATCCTCCCTCCTCCCTCCTCCTCTCTCATCAAACCACATCCAAATCCAAGCCTCGCTATGCCAAGCCAACAACTTCCAACTTGCGTTTCCAAAACAAACAAGGAAAATCTTCGAAACTCCAGCTCGCCCTTACCTTCCCTTCTCTTTCCTTCCTTTCCAGATATACTCATATATATACACATCCCATCCCATCCCTTCCCTTCCATTCCCTTCCAGACATGCACATATATATACACCACAAAAAGAAATTCCACATGCATCTATCTATTATTATATATCCTGTATATCCTCCCATTATCCCATTATCCACCTATATCCCATATCCCACATCCCTTTATCCTCCTATATATCCACATCCCATCCACATACCCATCCCATCCCAACCCATCCACATCCACATCCAAACCTCACAACACAACACAACACAACCGAATTTGCCCTTGCTATATTACTACTTACTTACTTACTTACATACTACTGACTTACTTCAAAAACAGTAAACAATAAACAATAAACAGTAAACAGTAAACAGTAAAGAGATTGCTATTGCTATTGCTGTTGCGATGCTATACTATACTATGCTATCTGGACGATACTCAGATATCGATGGATATAATAAATTAAGTAACTAAATGATTAACTGACTAACTGACTAACTGACTATAGCATAGTATAGCGTAGCCATAGCCATAGGCATTCGATTCATCGTGAGCAATACGTCCACAATCATCATATCATCGCATCCCATCCCATCTCATCCCATCAACTCAATCTCGATTCTCGACTCTCGAGTCCATCCAGACCCAGACTCATGAAAATAAAACTCATCTCATCTCATCGAATAAGATAAAATCAATACAGTAAGCGAAAGGAGTACAGTACAGTACAGTAAACGAGATCATATATAAGAGACGAGAAGAGAAAGGGATGTCATTTCTGGCAATCCTTATTATTAATCAATCAATCATCTGACTTCTCGACATCTCATAGACCACACATATCGTTTCAATCAGTAGATCGATATCCAAACTTCGCATGTTGTCAAATATTCTAATTCATTCATCCCCTCCTATTTCAATCAACAACCTTTCTTCTAGGCCCCCCTTCTAAGCTCTGCCCTGAACCACTCGCCGCTACACTACTCGCTGCTCTCTCACTTCTCCTCCTATTCGCACCACTGATCCTCTCACTCCCATTCACACTTCCACTTCCAATTCCGCTTACACTCCCGATTTCTTTATTACCCTCCGCCATGCTCCTCGCACTCGCATTTGCACCTTCACTCCCTCTACTCCTCCCACCACTAACAGCATGTCTTTTGCTCCTTCCACCCCTACCACTCCTCACTTCACTTGCCACATTCGACAACCACGACACTGTATCCCTATCCCACGTACTCGAACTTCCTAAACAACTTCCCCCTCCCTTCTCCCTATCTACTCTCCCAATCTTCAGTTTTCTCAGTACCCTTCTAATAGCCCCCATCGGTTCACACAGATAGAAAATTCCCATATCATCAAATAACGTAATCCATTCTACGTTACATAGTTCGAGAAGTGGTTTACATAAAACTAAAACTCCAAGATCGTCGAGGAAATTGAGGAATTCGAGAGCGATGGGTGGTGCTTGAGTGGAGATAAGAGTAGAGGCTCTGGAGAATGTAGCTGGGGAGGAGATAGCGTAGGGAGGAGAATGAGGAAGACGGATGGGGACGGAAGGTTCTCGGGGTGTTAGGGTTGTGGTAGAGGGCAATGCGGCGGAGGAGCGGGTGTGGGATTGAGGTTGATTGGAGATATTATGGGTGGATTGGATTGGAGGGTGGGAATGGCGGGTTCGATGTGGTCGATGTTGAGTTTGGCTAGCGACTTGAGGTTTTACTAATGAATCGACGCTGGCGCTGAGGTTTTCGGGTGGAGAGCGGAGAGTGGATGCCGTGGATGGACTGCGAGTGGAGGTAACATGATGGGCCCGTGTATGTGTACGTCTGTGTTCGCGTTCGCGGTCTGGTTGGAGATAGACTGATGGTGGAGGTGACATGATGCTTGGCTCAACCTCGGATGTCTGAGTTATCGAATGAATTGTCTTGCGTAGGTGCCGTTTGTGAGGAAGATCGTTGTTGCGGTGTGGATTGGACTTTAAACGGTACCAGTGAAAAAGTTGTGATTGAATGGAAAAGGTATGATGAAGTGGCCACGCACATAGATTGAATGAAACAGAGAGTAGATATGCAAGTCAAATCAAACGCTGGCAAACAAGCAAGCAAGCAAGCAAGTAGAAAAGACGGAAGTGAAGAAAAGTGGATAAAAAGAAATCTATTAACTCGAATGGATGCAAAGTAATACTCAAATGATGAAGTATAGAATATAAAAAAGGAGAACTGTCTAGACCTTTGAAAATTGAGAAACATATATATTACTCCTCGACCGCCGCGTAGAAAACTTTTCAATGTTAACATCGTAACACTCCATCATGTCTATCACTTTTTCAATAAGGGATCCAAAACCAAGACATGGAGGCTCTAATTAGAGGATCATGGAAACGTAACTATTCACCATTCGTCTCGTTTGGTTCATAATGAGGCTTATCTCTGCCCAAACTTGTTGTGGCTCTTTCTCCCAATCACTCGATTCTGTCACCGACGACTTCGCTGGCAAGCTAGCCCTCTAGGCTTTTCCATTTATGAACAAACCCACCTGGTTCACAGGCGTGTAAAAGTAATCTTTTTCGTCTCATTTACTCTAATTTGATAGATTTTTGCTTCCTCAAATGATTGTACGGTGTACAACTGGGTAACAAGACACAGATATGAAGAACATGGAATGATTGGTGACACGTTCGTGAAATTGAAGGGGATACATATGAACATCGTGTACCTATCGGCTTGGCTTCCTATTTGAAGCGAGATGTACTCAGGCATTCTTACAGCCTTATGAAGAAGAAGAATGGAGAAGAAATGGAGAAGAAATGGAGAAGAACAGGCGAATATAATCCGTGAAAAAAGACATGGATAGCCCAATGTTCTGTGACATGTTCAGGGGACTTTTTAGGTATAGTTTGAGTCGGTAAGACCGTAAGAGAGAGCCCTGAAAATCCCTTTTGCTTCTTTGGTTCATTTTGTTACCTTTAGGGTTAGAGGTTTGTATTTGAGTTTTGATATCTAGAGAAATTATTGAGGGAGATCCTCCGGTAGATGTCGTAGAGTAGTATTTGGAGGAAGGATGCTCCATTCATTTTGTCTGGTGATGAGAAGAAAATTGAGGAGAAAAGGAGGAGAAGAAGGAGGAGAAGAGGAGAAGAGGAGAAGGAGAGAGAATGAAGAAGGAGGAGGCGAAAGTGAAGGGGGAAGGGGGGAATATTGACTTAGAAAATGAATAATAAGTTGGTACCTGTTTCATAAGCCGGGACCCCTGGATTCAAACAATTAAATGTACGGACCGATCCGCCGGATTAGCTTTTAAATCAATCAAATAATAGCTGAAATGCATTAACAGCATTATTTGCCAGGTGGAACAAATGAAATTCAATGTATGATGACAACACACACCAATTTTTTTTATTTTTATGTATATGTAAGAGAGGTAAAGAAGAGATTTGTAGATTATAATCTGTAATCAAATGAAGGGATCGAATAAGAAAGAAAGAAAGAAAGAAAGAAAGATAAAAAGAAAAGACTAATTAATAAAAGACCAAAAGTCCTTCTGGGTAAATGGCAAGTGGATTATGCTCTCTGTGCTCTCTGTGCTTTCTTGTGCTTGCTCTTCTGTTATAATCCCGAGGGCAATTACTACCCCCTCTTCCCCCCCTACCTTTTAAGTTATTGTACTGAGAGAAGATCAGCCAGCACAAAAGATAGATTCACATCAGCTGGTATTATTGCGACAACCTTTTTAGTTTTATATTAATTTTTCACTTCATTCATTCTATCCCTTTAAATAAATATATCAAATCGAATTTCTGGGTATGAGTATTAATACCTACCTACCTACCTATCTTTCAACCAACCATTCATCTTCAAGTCACAGTCCTCTTACATTCATCTCAAAACTCAACTCGAATCAATTTCAATAATCAAATAAGTCAAACAAGTCAAACAAGTCATATGTCAACAAGAAACCATCCTACAGATTCTTTCCTTCCTTCTGCTATAGGTGTTTTCGATATGGCACATCTAGTTCAATTACCACTCTCCGATTCAGGTACTTCGCCCAATTCACCAATGTCTACCCATCGACATCACCTCGGTCAAGGTTCAACCGCCTACTTCTCCCCTCCAAATACTTCCTCTCCAGCACAACAATATATACAACATTCACCACCCAGCGGCGGACCCATTTCTCCTCCTCGTACTCGATCTGCCTCCGCAGAAAATACGTCGTCTCAATTGATCGAAGACTTTAGAAAATATTCACAGAACTTAAGAGATCAATATGAAGGGGAACTCGCGCACATTCTGGCAGATAAACAACGTGCTCAGGAGGTCATAGCAGAAGAAAGAACATTATGGGACAAAGAAAGAAGAATGTTGATTTCTCGAATTCGGGATCTTGAGGCAAGATTGGCTGCAAAAGGGGAAGAGGTAGCACCAGCTGGAATATTCAATTTAGAATTGGGAAATCTAGGGTTCCGTCCAGTAGGAAACATGTTTACCAATCCCACTGGCCTACCAATTATCAGAAAACCAGCAAAAGTATCTTCGTCTCCAGCCGGAAGTTCAGAGGGAAAGAAATCGTCGCATAGTCACCCAGAAATCAAACAAGAGTCAGGAAGAAATGCAGATGGATCCCCGTTCTACGCACCAGCACCACAGAACCCGACCAGAACATTTTCGACTGAATCGGAAGGTTTGAGAGTTGAAGACATTCATGCGCCAAGCGAAAACCCGATTCAAGTTACCCAGGAATTGACTCCATCCGATTTTGTTGGATCTTCACAATATGCATCACCCGAAGTTTTCAGTTCACATCAATCCGGTATACATTGGGAAGAGGAGGAAAGTATCGGGGGAGATGTTATTGGTGCTGATAGTATAGATATATCACGAATCGCTCCACATCTAGAGGGTGTACCCATCAAAGCTAGCGCCGTGGACCCAGTCTTCGTCGCCAACGTTCTAAGTCCTAGATCTGTGAGTCCAAGATTAAGTCCAAATGTTGAACCACCAGGAAGAGATGTTGGTATAAGTCTACGAAAAGCAGATTTGGAGCCGGAAAACAAGAGATTAACAATGTATGCGGGTCATACGCCTAACCATTCCATTTCACGCTTCTCGGATTTGGTCAAGGAGAGTGACGAAGCTGAAGGTGATGAGACGCCTAGGGGTTTTGATGGAACTGTTCATCGGGGTTCACTAGCGCCAATTCCAGATGGGGATGAAGGATTTACGCTTGATGTGCAACAACCTGACGAAGACGAAGAAGTTCACGATCGCCCATTAACAGGTCCATTAGGCCTTACGAATGTTCCGGCTAGAGATGAATTTTTCCTCGAAGCACTCACAGAGCGATTGGAAGAAGTGAAGAACTCGAGACCGGGAAGTAAAGAGACGACCCCATGTGTGAGTCCAGGTACTTCGAGTCCGATTTTGGAGATGAAGAAGCCGAGGAGTAGGGATAGGGATATTGGTGGTGGAGGTGATGATGGGAGGGGAATGGAAGGAGAGGAAAGGGGATTTGGGGATGAGGAGGGAAGTGACGAAGTTGGAGATGAATCAACGGAAATACTGTTGAGGTTAAAGCCGACTATGAATTTTGGGAGACCGATGGGGTTTAGATGAGAGATGATTGGGCTATCATTAAGTCATGGCAGTCAGCGAGCGGATTTCTTTTGTCTTTTTCTCGGTTATTGAGGAAGCTTCCGATTTGATTCGGAGCGGAGCGGATAGCATATTTGCATATATGGATGGACGGACGGACGGATGGATGTATGGATGCATGCATGGATAGGTGATATCAGGAGTCTTCGAAAGTTGGAAATTCCTTCCCATCTCCTTTCTCTATTTCTTCAGCTTCACTACTGGTAGATCATACATATATCAAGCAATCGAAATTGAGCAATGGAAATGGAATGGAACATAGCATCAAACTCTACAAAAATAGCATGGAGCATGGAGCGTGGAGCGAATAGCATGGATGGATGGATGGAAAGATGGAAAGATGAACATACGAAATGAATGAATTAGTTTAGTAGGGACAACTACTCGAGTTACTCGAGTAGGGGACGCCCATCCATCGTATAGTTACAGCAGAAAGAAAGATACAAACAAAGATACATACAAACAAACAAAAGATACCCAACCACCCACCCCCCTTTTCCATTACATTACATTACTCGAGTACATACATTTGGTTTGGTTTGTATGATTGGTTTGGTGGGTTTGATACAATATATGATATTATATGATATGATATGATATAATATCCGAATACCTACCTACCTACCTACCTACCTGTGTGCTAGTGTGCTAGTGTGCTACTCGTAGTGTGGCACTAGTGTGGGAAATGGGTTAAGATAGGTAGATGGCATGGTATACCTAGTGTAGCATAGCATAGTATAGCATAACGCAATACAGCTAGCTAGCTATAGCTCTTTTCAAAAATAAAAAAAGTCCCACGATTTCTTACACTCGTTTATTTGATGTGGATGTGGATGTGTATATGTATGTGAATGTGAAAACCTATGAATATAAATATCACATTCCCATTTGAGATTTTTTATTTCCTTTTCCTGGGTTTTCATTTTCTCAATAGGTGATGGGGTGGGTCATTATAATAAGTAGTAAGTAGTATAGGAAGTAGGGAGTAGAAAGTCTTTTGACCATCCATTCACCCATCCATACCAAATCCCATGCATATATTTCCTTTTCTTAGCTAGATATCTGTATTTTTCTCGCAGCATGGCATATCATATCCTTTCCTAATCGTTCCTTCTTTCAGGGACATTTCGCAACATATGGCATATCATATTCCGCTTGAACCCAGTATTCACAAAGGAAACGAAGCGCAACGCCTATAGCTCATCCCATACAACTATTCATCCATGCTCTTTCAAGCCTTCTCCCATTACGCACCCTTACAATAATTTGCCGGAAAACTCCCCTTCATCCCCCTTAACTCGCCATCCCACCAATCATCCGTACTCCCCGTCTTCTTCGTCACTCGAATTCGATCACCCTCTTTAAAGCTCAAATCCCCTTCTCCTTGCCCCTCAAAATTATAAAGCGCCACTACAAAAATTCCACCATTAGATGATCCGAGACGTTTTGGTGGAGGCGGCGGTGGCTTCTTCTTGCCAATGGCAGAATTGACGGCTACGCCTTCGTTGGTGGAGCCGCGTTGGAAATAATCTAGCGAAGGACCGGCAGGGGAATGCGAGGAATGAGTGGATACGGGGGTGAGATGGTTGGAGTAGTCTGTGCCGGGAGTTAGGAGTGAGGGTTCGGGAGAAGGGGCGAGGGCTGAGGCGGGAGGTGCGAATACGGGTATGGTATGCGCGGATGTAATGCGAGGGCGGGAGGCCGAACGGATCGGGGGTGGACGGTCGGGTTTAGGGGATCGGGCTTCGGAATATGTGGTAGAGATGCTGGGATTGGGTGATGGGTCGCGATTAGTGCCTATCGATTGGGTCGAGGGCCGACGGGAGAAACCATTGCGCACGTTGAGACCGGTGATGGATTTGGAGTTGGCGTTTTCATCACCTACGTTCATGGGCTGGTGGATGGCTTTGCCGCGGCGTATGCAGTCTATGAGCTCGACTTCTTGTTTAATGGGGGAGTAGTCGCGGTTCCAGACTGCGATTACATCTTCCATTGGTGGCGGGGGAGAGGGAAGACCCACGTCTTCGCAGTAGCTGTGTAGTGCCGTGTAATATTGTGCGAGGATGGTGTTTTGGATCATGATCTGTACCGCGAGTAGATGTGGTAGAATTGAGAAAGCTGTAGAGATTATGGGTGGTAGTGTTTCTCGAAGGTGGGCATCCGCATCTTTGAATGCCTAGAATGGTTTTAGCAATGGGTCTCGTGCGTGATATATTCAAGAGCCTACCTCTGCTGCCCTGCCTTGTTCCTCTTCAGCTTTTGCTAGAGCTACATTCTCTCGATCACTTCTCTTCATCTTCTTGGAAGCATTATTGACCTTATCTATGTATCTCTCCCAATCCAATCTTTTATTCTCTCGTTTCTTGATCGTCTTCCGAATAGGTTGTAGAAACTCTTTTACTTCCGTAGCTGGTTTTGTAACTCGAGACTCCATCATCATAACTTCTTCCATTAAATCCGTTTTCAGATCCGTATATGTTTCCTTTAATTTTATCGTTCGATCCATCTGTTGTCGAGGAGTGACCGCTGGATTGTCCCGATGTGCATCGCTTGTGCCTACGATGGGCTGATATAATTCTTCGAAACTGATTGCCGTGTTCAACTGAGTGGAAAGTATAGATACCCAGGCGTCTCTCCATGCTTTGGAAGCTTCAATTATCTGTTAGTTTGTGTAAGCTATAGCCTACATGGAACGCAGCTCAAATCTAGCCATGGGCTACGTCGCAACACACAGGCAACTTACCATATTGAGCATCTTATTCGCATCTTCGTAATCGCTCAAAAGTACCGACACCTTGGCCGTATCCCCAGGACCTTTATGCCTGATCTTACCAATCTGCCGGTGCATGGTATTCATATTGCTGGTGGAAGAATGTATCAATTAGATAGTAGTAAGTGACGGACGAGTAGAGAGTGAAAGGGGATGATTCCACACGTTGTTGATCTTTGAATGATTAAGAAGTTGGTGGTGGTATTGTATTTAGTAGTAGGGACAGCTCTCAATAGATCAATCAATTGATAAGTCCAACATTCAAACACAGACACAGCCTTGTTGATAAATTAAAGAGAGTTGATAGAAGTTTTTTTTTTTTCAAAAGAATGGTTTCTTTGGAGTTATTATACGGAGTATTGTATTTAACTTGGAAATGCGCAGCACCATATCTCAAAGATATATACGGGTACTGAAACTCAAACCGGTTCGCGGGGTTCATGATGAATGGCCGGGATGGCCTGTGCTACTACTGTACCTATCTGTCTGTGCCTCCTTTAAGCAAAACCAAAACCAACAAACAAAACCAAAAACCAACCTCCTTTCCCGACTTCAAGTGATCTTCATATGGCTATATTGAGGAACTCTTCTCTCAATACTGTACCAACTGAATAATGATATTGACAGCTCCAGGATACAATTTGTATCTAAACTTCAGTCTAACCCGACATCAGTTGTCCTTCCTACTCATATCCAAAAGCATCGAATTTAAATTCCCATATCAGCCCTGTCGATGGTAAAAGCGGCTTTCTATTTTTCCTGTTTCTAGGGTATAGAGCCTCTAGATCTCTTCTTTTCGGGAGGCTTTGGCTTGGCTGATTTTCCCCTGCTGATTTTTACCTTTTCAATCGAAGAAGTGTTTAAATGTTTTATTTGTTCTTGGAAAGGGAGGTACCAGGTTTGGTAGTTCAGCCAGAGCATTAGCTTGCTTCTCTACCTTTCGAAAAGCAGTTTCTAAGTGGTTGATTTGAGAGGTGATAACAGATGAACTCCCTAAAGATTACTATGGTGTCTAGAATCTTTGATTATTCGTCGAATGATTTCTCTAGAGATCTGGCTAGAACTAAGAAGGTCCCTAGCCTCCATGATCGAATCTTTGAGTGAGGAGGGGAAATTTGATAAGGAGTTCCTAAGATCATGTCTAGAAGTGTTTAGGCAAGGGAGAGGGACTCTCAGGAGAGCCCGACGTTTTTACCTCCATAGCTGATAGTAAATATTGGTATTGTATATTTTAGGTTTCGTATGTGTTCACGCGTTTTTTTCACGTTTTTTTTCGCGATTTGAAGCGACGACGTCAGTATCACAACAACTAGCAAGAGTGAGATCCAGGACACTTGGGTTAATTAGGTTTTTATTGACAAAACTATGCTTTATGCGCGCTATTGCTTAACACCTGGACTTCCGATGTAACGGTAATTCCCCTCGTATCCCTCTCCACGTCCTCACTCTCCACCCTCCTCTTCCCATAACGGCTGTCTCCCACGCTCTGAAAATAGCTCTTCTTGTTAGTCAGCTCGACCTCGTCCGAATCCTCATTGCCGAAGTTCGATTGCTGCTTGAAGAAATGTGGCGTCTGGCTCAGATTCACATGGTATGAGCCCTGTCCGCCAGTGCTGGAGCCCTTGTTGCGGATACCGCGGAAGAGCGGCGCGAACGTTGGTAGACAGGCGCCAATAATCGCGACTGAAGGCTCCAAGCTGGACCACCCGAAAGCGGGGCCAAGGATGTATGTTAAGTCGATTGCAGTGGTCAGATGCTTGAGGTAGTAGATGCGTACTATACTGGCGACGCAGACGCTAGGTGGGTTAGAAAGGTGACGGAGGAATGAATGATACACAGTACTTACAAACTACCGAGTAACATGATACCGGCGACGGAAAACTTCTTGCGTTTGTTCATATGCAGTTTTAAGATACGGGGAATCGGGACGATCAAGATGACAACATCATTGATCATATTAACAATTCCAAAAACTAGAAAAAACAGCAAAGTGTCAATGCATTGACCTTCTGTGGCGCCGGCGTATTTCGTCCAGAAAAAGTTTAGTGGGCGACAGGCGACTGCCATTACAACCCACATGATAATAGGGTAGATGCAGGTAAAGAATGTGGCGGCCCAGTACATTATAGTAAAGATGCGGTTGATGGTTAGCATGTCGCCGTCGCCTGTGTAGAATAATCGTCGATAGAGGAGCAGGACGCTGATCTTGGTTGATGTTACGGCTGCAGCGTAGACCCAGGGCTCGGCGAAGACAACCTAGGTATTTGCGTTAGAATGGGGAGCAACACTTGATGATGAAGATCCAATGCATAGTATCGCAACGTTAACTCATACCTTTAGCAATATCATGAGCCGCGGCAATGTCGTCGACCACACATGTTTTCCCGATCCATATTGCCCAGCTTTTCACATCAAATACGTCAGTCAGGTTTCCCGGGCAAAGATAGAATGTCGCCATCAAAGCTTAGGAGTACCAACCGATAAGTGTCGTAGCCAAGAGGGCACCAGTGCACAACTATTAAAACCTCATGTTAGAAACAGTTCATTCATTTTCTTGTTCGAAGGACCTGAGAGAAAGAGCTGGACTTACGAGTCCCAAGACGATAAAGTAGTCATCGATAGCCAGATTATTTGGTCCCTGCATTGTCCGCACATAAAATCGCAAGCAGACTGCGGCAGCTGCAATTCCAAACACCACACAAGACACGATATTATATCCCGCAGTTAAACTATCACTCAAATCAATACCGGCGGGAGGCGGCCCGAAAACGAGCACGATGGCGGGATCAACTCCCGACATGATGTATATAGATTTGACTAATAATCAATGTAACAGTCAATCCTCCTCCATAAAGCGATTCAAACTTAAAATTTGGCGCTCCCATTTTAAACGGAATTCCTACAAGAACTATATATAAGTGAAGGTCCCGCTAATCATTTCCCGATAGCTCGTGGTGAAAATTCTCACTTCTGGGCTTACCTGATATATATGGGTTAGTTACCGGTATTGGTGTTGGCGTCTATATCACGAATCACGATATCATGTTTCCTCCCGGGGACTCGGATAGGAGAAGATGGGGTTTGGTCGCTACTGTCCCTCCCACGAATAGAGGTTATTTGGCGGTCTGGGCCCACAAATCAGTGAGCATCTTCTTCCGTTTCCAGTTTATCTAATCCAGGGTGTAGCGCACTTAATCTCTTGAACCATCTTGATTGGGATACTGGCCGCTACACTCGTTACTTACGATATGGTGATGGGACAGGGCAATACCTAATTCAGGGCGGATGATCAAGGCCCGCTCAACAAAAGGAGAATACATTGAGCAAGTTGTACGTACAAGCTTTGTTCATATGTTAGGTACGTAGAGCGAACTAATAGACCAGACTCTCTACAAAAGTACTACTCTTCCTTGTCTTGAATAGAGGTTATACAGTCGATATTCTCCATGATTGAACATGCACGTCAACTTCGTCAAGCAAGTAAAAATCGATTATTTTCAATGTGTCAAAAGTCGTCTTAAGGGATTTACGCCTGCAATTTGGCGGTTCACCCGCAATTTAACGGTTAACCTTCAAGATTAACCCGCAATTTGACAGCTAACCCACATCCGGAGGTTCACGGTTAGCCCACGGTTATTTTGTATACAAGTACTGTCATACTTATGACGGCCAACATAAATATTAGTATGATTTGTTGATTATGAAGCAGATCTGGCCAAAAAAAAAAAAACTAACCATAGGGACCGTGGGTTGGCTAATTATGAAACCGCGGTGCGGATTCTTTTTGCTTGGCCAATTTACCTATACGACAGGGGGTCCGATTTCGTCTCAGTGATAGCTATGAAGAAATTGGTGTGGATAGGGTCCATCGTCTCGAAGTCGGGAGGTGGATTGCCGGACACACTAGGCTATCCCTTCTTGCTGTGGTTTGAGAGGGGTTTGATAAGACAATTTTTGTACAAGCTGTCGCGCGGAAATTATCGAGATATTGTGATAAGCCATACCAAGACCATCTAGTGATATCACGTAAATAGCGGCGTATTCTCTCATTTCTTCGTCGTCCATTGAAGTCCTTTTTTTTTATAGATCTTTTCCTGAAAACAACTTCTTACGTAACAACAATCATTAACAATCATTCGCCAGTCATGGACGCAGCATCTAAAGCACCACCTCTTCTCGCGTCGGAACTTATAGGGCCCAAGGGATGGATCCGGAATGTGATGTGTCTTGAAATGGCAGCAGACTACGATGCTGAGAATATCTCATCGATGCTGCGAACAGCATGGAGTACCTTCAAGGCGCGAACACCAATGGTCGGCGTTGAGGCCGTTCCCGCAGGCCCTGATGTGAAGCCCGCTGGGCAGTTGAAGCTACAACCTTACGGTGATGGCGAGATAGAGGATTTCATAGTGAAGGATCACCGTAACGACAACACAGCACCGTCATTTGATCAGTTGAAGGAGCAGGGATTTCCCAATGCAGCTATGGACGACGAAAAATTGTTCATGCGTGGCCGTGTTGGCGAATGGCCTAATTTTGGCATCGATCGCCTAGCAACCCAGATGATGCAAGCAAACTTAGTCAAGGGTGGATTACTGCTCAATCACTTGTGCTTCCATTCCTATGCCGATGGACTATCCATGTGGAAATTGGCCGAGATCTTTGCTGAAGACCTACGCCGAGCACAGGGCCTGACTATTGAGAATCCAATTGAGATTCAAGTTGCGGACCGCGCCAAAATCTTGCAGAGTACCGGAGAACACGTGTGTGCCAATTTCGCAGAGGATCACACAGAATTTATCCATTTACCTTTCACTCCTCCTGGACTTCCCGAGAGTCTAACGAACGGAGAGAGCCATGCTCATGTATATCGTTTCACTCCGGAAGCCATCCGAGCGCTCAAAGACGAGTGCTCACCGGCCAAAATATCATCTAGTCTTAAGGACCAGATTCCGCAAGAACAACTATCAAAATTCGTCTCCACAAACGATGTCCTATCTGCACTACTCTGGAAATCCATTCAGAGCGCCGAACACCCCGATCATTCAGTCATCGATCCCAGTAAACCCTCGGTAGCAATGGTCAGCTTGAACGCACGACGCCGCGTTCACGTGCCCATCCATCCACACACACTGGGTAATATCGTCGGATTCACAACCGCAGTTCTACCACTTCCGCAACTACTGTCTAAGGATACCACGCTAGCTGATATCGCGTGTTTGATACGACAGAGTGTCAATAGGTGTGGAAGCACATACTACGACGAAATGGCGCACTACGTAGAACGCATGGACGATGTGAATAGGCTGGCAGGCACGGCTTTTCTCGACATGCCTGGTAGCAATGTGCTATTGAGCAATTGGAGCGATTTTGACTACTACGGCATTGAATGGGGTCCCGCATTTGGTGATCGCATCAAATCTTTACGATTCGCCGCTGGTGGTGTCTGTGCAGGCTTCCAGGTAATCTTGCCATGTCCTGCGGATGCACCCAAGGGAACAGTAGAGGTACTCGTCAGTGCGTCAAACCAAGCGTGGCCGCGATTGCTGCGCGATGAGACTTTCCATCGCTTTGCTCATAACGCCACGACGATACCATTCCAGTGAGGCTGGATCTCTATTGAGATTTGAGGGTTCCTAAAGGATCCTCATGTTCGAGATACCACAGCAAATCTTAGCTATCTGCAGCTGGGTATGCTATGCTTATTTATTACAGTAATCAGATTTACTCTTGAGCCTTATTTTATCTCTCAAATGATCATTATATCAATATCATCCGTATTGTGCAACAAGTGAAATTCCATAAATCTTCAGCGGTGTTAAGGTTGACGTTTGATAGCGCCGATAAGTTATTCCGTATAGGTGGCTTGCTCCGCCACTAGATTTATTAAGGAATACCGAAATGCCGAGATGTACTAATATAAGGACTTGTATTTCCTTAAATGCTGAAAGCCGCCATCGCTTAACAGGGATTTTACTAATCAATCAAAACATTCTATTTTAAAATCTATATCATAGAAAAAAGGTGTCACGGAAATATAATAATCATACAAGTCGTTGTAGCAGGGATCCAGCGGGAGCACGGTGATCCACATAAACGACGTCCTTTCCGTCGAAGATGGAGCAAAAATAAAATGTGGGAACGACGCATTTTCTTATTCCATCAGCGTATGCTCATTATTGCTCTTTGTGTCGGGTGCAAATGCTGGTGCAAAATCTGGCAAACGCTGGCAAAAATGAGTGGGCTGGCTCCGGCTCTACAGCCTATCTAAGAAGGAATTTGGCACCGCGAAAGCCCCTATTCATTATGTTCAGAATCATGATTATCAACATGGCCATGCCACATTTTTACTTTTTCCATAACTCAAGATAAATTACAGAATCATTCCATAAAGCAAAATGGCAGAAACGCAACGTCCATTTAAGGTACTCATTGTAGGGGGTTCAGTAGCAGGTCTCTCGCTAGCCAATGCACTCGAGCGCGCTGGAATCGACTTCGAACTATTCGAGAAACGGGAAGTGGCGCCAGAAATAGGCCAGTCTATCCTGCTACTTCCTTGCACCATTCTGGTGCACGAACAGTTAGGCATCGACAAGCCGACTCATGAAGCTGGAATTCCGATTGGGAATCGCGAGCATTGGGATCACAATGGTAATCTATTCTGCTGCTCAGATGAACTAATTCGTCTCCAGGAGGTGTAAGTACTCATTCATCTCAGCTTTCTCTCACAGCAAGCAAGCAACGAATGCAGGTCAGCTGATCAGATCAAAGTCAAAAACGACCTGTGTATTTTATAGACCGTAGAGTCTACCTCCAGAACCTATATAACGGTCTCAACGAATCCTCGAAATCGAAAGTCCATGATCATGAGGGCTTGGACTCATTTACTGAACACGAGAATGGCGTCACGCTTAGGACCGACAAGGGCAATGTCATTGAGGGCAGCATTATAGTGGGTGCCGACGGCGTGCACAGCCGGGTGCGCCAGCAAACGGCGCAGCTGCTCAAGACTATTGATCCTAAGAGTTCCGAGATCATGGCCGCGGGATTCAAAAATCAGTATCGGATTCTGACCTGCACATCGCGGAACTACTTTGTTGATGATCCAAAGAAGCCGTTTTTGAAGAATGGTGTTGTTGCTAATTCCTATTACCCGGAGCATGGTATTGGAGGCCTCATTGCGGCTGGAATGGATGGAAAGATCTTCTGGGCTATTTATATTGCCAACGATAAGCAGACGCCTTACCCTAGCCCACGATATGGACAGGTTAGTCTGTATTCTATGAACCATAACTGAAGATGATTTCAAAAGTGCTAACGATAGTTGTGCTAGGCCGATATGGACGAGGCCATCAAAAAATGGGGACATCTTCACGTGACTCCCGCCTTTACTTTTAACGATCTATGGGCGAACCTCGTCGGCTCTACCATGGTACCCATGGAAGAAGGCGTCCTAGCCACGAAGTGGCACTCGGGCGGTAGAACCGTCCTAGTAGGCGATGCCGTCCACAAAGCAGCATCGAATCTCGGCCTAGGCGGAAATCTCTGCGTCGACGACGTGTGCTGTCTAGTCAACGGCCTACACACACTTCTTGAAAGCAACAAGTCGCCAATCACAGCGGAACTTGTCAAAGTCTTTGAGAACTATGAGCGAGCGGAGCGGCCTCGTGCTGATTTCGTTTGTAAGGCTTCGGGAGTGTACGCTGGGTTCGAGACTATGAGTAGGTGGTACTCTAAGCTTTTCCAATTCATCTTTCCATGGATCCCATCGACTGTTAAGATGCACATCTTTTCTCGCTTCGATACTAGTGCGCCTGTGTTGGATTTCTTGCCTATTCCCCAGCCTCGTGCTTAAATTGGATGGCTCTTTGCAAATTAGATATATTGATCTTTTGATAGTCAGCGATGATTTACAGTAGAAGGAACTTGAGAATAGATATACGATTTAATAATGCCAATAATGATATTATGCAAATTGGAAATAGATAAATATACAAAATACTTAATATTATTTTGTTAAGGATATACTTTAAATCAGAATATAAATATATGAATATTGTTACACCTAAACAAGGTCTAGATCTCTCTTGAGTCAGTTAGCGTCGATCCCAGATAATAATTCGACGATCCGATAACGAGGAGTTATCGGAATAGATATAATCAAGGGATATTTCGATGATTTTATAATAATAGTTTTATTAGAGCTCTATACTCGAGTATATGGAATAAAGAACCTTTTAGTTAATAAGTGATAAGAAGTCTAATATAAACATAACAATTCTTTGTATATAAGGAGATTCCTTATATAAGGTATTTATAGAGTTTATTAGAATTTATATATAACCAAAACAATCTACGAAAACTCTATTCATATAGGGTTTGTATAGTACTATACATTTTGATAATATGCCTCTGGAAACAAGATAGAGAAACTGCAACACTTGAACTATCGAGTAATCTGGAACGGTCCGTCCTGTCATACTTCAATAGTTCAATGGGTCGAGTGGATTAGGGCTGTCATTATATAAAATAGTGGGTGTCATTCTTCGGGTATATTCGACGACAGAGTTTAGTTGATTGCTTTTAGTAGATTTTCTATGTCGAACTTCCTCGATCCGTTCTTCCCTCTGTTCTTACATGTTATATACATATATCGCCATGTGACCAGCAGAAATTAATTATGCATTCAACATGACTCGGATCTGCACCCAAGCAGCGGCAGTTGCATCCCAATCTTGAGGATATACAAGATGAGTTGTGAGATTAGTACCGCTGGCACATACTGGATCCATATTGCTTCTCGATGACCGAAATCTGAGAGGCAGTTCTTGGGTATTTCTAAGTTATGGTCAACATTTTCTTACTGATATCACTGAACGTCCGGGGAGCTGTGATGTGCTCAGATTCCATCACCAGTACTTACTTACTCCAATTACATTGTTGCTCCCTACATCAAAGCTCTCATTGGGAATGTGTCTTGGGTCACCATATAGAACGAGTGCTGTCAACCGGTCTCCAACGCTTGAACTAATGGGAAGTGATCCATTGCAATTTGCCGGCACCGAGAACCTCATCACCGCCTCCACCAGCTAATACATCCCCAATAACCATGGCACCCTGATGAGTTAGCCTAGATGTTACATTTCATGAACTAAAGCACATAACTTACTTGGGAGTAAGCGAGAATAGCCATTTTTGAGTCTTCGCAAGACTCGGTATAAGCAGTAAACTGACTCTCAGCAGCGACAAGACCTTCAGCATAGCTGTTGGTTTTCGTAGTCAGTCCCTGGGTTGGTATCGGTAATCAATTCGGCCAAAGTTACGAGACTACCTGGATAACTCTCAGTCGTTCCGCGGGCTATAATTAAATGAATTGGAGCACATGCTATACTGTTTACTAGAGCACGAGATTCATATATCGCGCGAGCAAGCGCTAACGCTGGTAAGAGTCAACATGGCGAAAGAGCAGATGAATGATGAAGACTTGAGTGACTACCGAAACCATATTCCGGGGGATCTTATGATCTTACTAGATACATGTACACACAAACGATCTTTCCACGGTCTTAGATAATGTGGGTCACTCAAAGCATTTAGCAGTAGCTGAGACGCGCATACCGACTTGGTAGGTGGAATTCGGTGCCGAGATGAAGATATCATGACCAGGTATCTACCGGTGTACTTTTTGCTGCTTACTTTGACTGATAACAATTTGAGTTTAAGTTCGCTTATCGTGTGGCATGCTTATCAACCCGTGATAAGGCGGGGAGTCGGCGCGTTAGACAGCATCATCGCCAAGGTTTCGCGTCACGTAGAATCAATGAAGTCCGAAGTTTAACTTCAAGGCAAGGTGACTCTTTTCCGTAGTTGCCTACTGGCCAACGATTCTCACAATACTATGAATCACTGTGATCATTTATGATATCTTAAAGATGACTGCCTCTGCCAGCGTCGCTATGTCCATGGACGTTCCTCCAGATCAAAATACAGCTCCGGTCCTCGAATTTCGCTGCCTTTATACAGCTGACACCCGTCGAAAACAGAAGCGTTGGCAAGATGGGCGACTCAAATACCATACTTTTAATAAGCGTATCATGGTATTTGACGACAGATCAAATTTGGTAGGAGATGCACACTGGCGCGAAAATGCTCCACTTGATGAAGGCGCCGAGTTGGAGTTGGAAAGAAATGGAATATTGGTCGAAGTATCGGAATTCTTAGAGAGGAAGGACCAAGATCTCACCGAGCTCATCGATAAAAGGGTCAAAGAAAGGGAAGAGAGATTTATTGCGAGAAACGGAGATTCATCACCAGCACGATCCGCAGCATATGTTATTCGGTCGCAAAGTATTGCTGCAGCTCATCTAAAACCGAGACCACTTAATTCTATACTTGGCACACCTTCTGGTCACTATGGAAAGGCACTTGTGCCAAACACATCTCTATTTGAGCAACGGAAAATACTAAATGCTAGTAATACGGACGAAAACGAGAGTCCCAGGCCTACGAAACGACGGAAGGCAAATGAACCTCCACCAAGCAAAAGTGGCTTTGCGCAGAATCTTATGGGAGCCACCTTATCATTCACACCAACACCATCGAGCACCGGACCCGTACGATATGAATCTTTAAAGCTCAAGTCTATCCAACGAACGGAAAGTAACGATAATGAAGAAAATGGAGACAACAACCAAGACGCTCCCTCAAGCAGGAACCCGGGCTTGGTAGGTGATATGACCAGAGAGACAAACTCCTCTAGAAACCGAATACAATCCCGAAAGAGGGACAAGCCTGAAAAAAGTGGATATGCTAGTAACCTTACTGGGGCATCTCTATCACTCTCTTCTTTCCGCGAAGTTACTCCCAAAAATATCGAAAGAACACCAACCGCGCAGAAGACTAAAACAAAGACCATCGACCTATCAATGGACACAAGCTCTGATGAAGACGGCCCTCTAGCCTCAATTCCCAAAGCCAAAGAAGTTAATCAGAAGAAAAAGAAACCTCGAATTAACTCGTCTGAGCAGATACCGCGCTTATCATCTCCGCCAGCAGAAGTTATAGCAGTTTCCAAGCCAGCAGTGAAGCCTCCAAGTAAAAGGCAGGAGTCTCGGGATTATGTCTCACCGGTGGATCAGCCACCGGAAAGATCTCATTCATCTTTACGTATCAAGTCCCGTCCACGAACTAGAATGTTGATGTTCATGGACCAATCCGGCTCTCGATCTTCTCCATTAGCAATGGAGCAGGGGATCAGCAGGTTAAGCAAGTCAAACTCCGTTATTTATTCGGTGAAACCACCTTCTAATTCTGGGTCTTCTCCATTGGCAGTGGAAAAGGAGACCACCAAATCAGTCAAGCTAAATCCTGTCCTGCCTGTAGCGAGATCATCTTCGCCCTTGAGGCTCTCACTTAGTGATGATGGTGGCAACCATGGTGGGAACGATTTTGAGAACGATGATGGCAACGATGAGCCGCAAACACCTGCATCCCTGGATGATTCGAGCTTTGGTGATTTTGAAGAGCATGCCTTCTCCCCACCGGATGTTGGTATCAATCATCAAATGATAGACGCAATTCTGTCACGCACTCGACCACCCGAGGCTCAAGAAGCAATACCTAAAGTCGCGTCGGTGACAGAGCAGCGAAACTCCGGAAATGAACAGCTATCTTGCCCGAGGATCATTGAGGGGGGTCCGAGACAGCCTGAATTCAAGCATTTTTCAACCGCGAATGAGACTAGCTCTCGGATAGCTGAGAAGCATGCGCAAAACCATGATTTTGTTTTGCGAACTTCACCTGGATATCTTCGCCAAGTACCGGTAGCTACTAAGATACAAAATAGCATCTCTGTTGGCCTGAACGAGGACGCCATCTCGGATCGGGTCTCAAAAACGAACAAGGATTTAGTAAAACGATCAGAACCTAATGTGGGTTCCTTGGCTGAAGACAGTGGTGTGACAACAGTTTCCGACTCTACCAGGAAACCTAACACGCCTAACATCGAGTCTGTTATCACACCAAACCCTGCAGAGGAGATAAGCGTTGCAGTAAGGGCCCCGGCCTCTGCGTCATGCGCCCTCCAACCGACCTCGGTAGTTTCAAAAGCTGCGATGCACTTTACAACTGCGGGCAAACGTAGTTCCAATGTTCCTGTATCAAATCCAGTCATAAAACCCCCAAAAGCAGTAGCTGAGAATGGAGAAAGTGATTTTGTTAGTACACATGGGGCGGGCTCAAAACGCATCGAATCGGAGAAACGTTTAGTAGGTATAACACCCAATGGTTATAATTTCAGTGCAACTAGCGGCTTCATGACCAAACTCATGTCAACACCAAATCAGAAACACATGGAAGCTGTCCCTATCAAGACGACACCTAGTTTAATTGACCAACCCACGACTTCCATCCCAGTCGCACAACCTTCGGAGATTGTCGAATTTAAGCAGTCGCCAACCACGTCCCCAGATATTTTTCCTACCGAGCAAACAAGAAGCTATGAGACCAGTGGATTCATGTCTGCAAATCAAATAGTAGAGAAAGAAGCACAAAGTCGGACTTTAGTGGCCTCAAATCCTGGAGATCAGGGTCTTTCAAGGCCTAGACTTACCAACCCCGCAACTCGTAGAATATCAATCCAAAAGACTGCGGAGAGAACCCTGCACGCACTAGCTCCAGCTGTTAATCACATGGGCCCACCCGCGGCGATCTTTGGAGGCCTCGGAAGCGGGAGCAACACGACTAGCAAAACTTCAGCCAAAAGCGTTGGGGATTCAGGAAATCAACTAGGCGGAAAAGGGCCATGGAGCAGAGAATCATTCGATTTGTTTGGGTCATGGAGGGCTCCTGTACAGCTGTCGTAAACATACCCCCGCCCCACCAGATCGTTGGGGGTTTCTACCTATGTAGTAGGTATCTAATCAATCTATGGGATAGTTGTTAGATCATCTTCACGTCAGATCTCAATTGTCAAATAGGAATGAGCGTTTGTGGGGCTGTGAAGTTCTCACCCAGCTACATTCAAGCAATGCTACGAGAGGAAATTGCAGAACTCGTATTGCTCGGTGGTTTGGGCCCAAGCCCAACCTCACCTTGAGGGCGTTGACATAGGGCGGGCGCTGCTACGTTTCAGAACAGAATAAAATCCTGTTTTTATTTCCATGAGTTTATTCGTTGCTTCGCCACACAAGTAGTTGTCGCCGCCTGCTTTCTTCTTGCCACACATCAGCTGAGCGACATCGTGATGCTCGCCCCATACATGCTTACATAGAAGGAGGAAATATTCCGAATACTGATCGTTCGCCATCGCCGCTTTACAGTGTTGACCTCAATTGTTACTGAAACGCTTCTGAACATACCAAAATAGTTACAATTCTCACAACAATGGCAAAACACATCTTGCTGCGCAGATTTTTCCAGCCACACATTCCAGAATGTTTCTTATCTCTACTGTAGTTATCAGAAGCAACAAGATAATCTGCACCGCCTTTAAAGTTTCTCCGTCTCGGCACCTTGTCCCGTTGTTAACATCATCTAGATGATTCGTGTCAATGTTTTCATATCTATTTAATTTTCAGTATTGCACTTTCAACAGTTAGCGTGCATATTGAGGTGCTCACCGAAATCCTTGCGAATTAATGTATAGGTTCGTTTAATGCAGCGGGCGCTGGTACTGATTACCGTGTAGCCCTCATTGAGTAATACATAAAAAAACGACTTCTCGCCTTCCTTCTAATTTAACGGTCTAGTAAAATTATATCCGAACAATCTCATATTGTTGCATTCGTTATCAAATGACTCACTCATTCATAACATCTACAGTATTTCCAACGAAGCAAAGAGCCTTACTTGTTTTGTCTTGCAACCACCTCATATCATCTTGAGACTCTAGCCTTACTCTAAACCTATTCCTTACCATTCACTCATCCAGAGAAGCAACCGACTGCTGAAAGCATCTATCTCGAATCAGGTCAAAATGTCTCGACTTCCTGGAAGACCACCGCCGGAGGCATATTTGCAGCCACCCTTGCGTAGGCATCGATCTGATCGACACAATTTATCCATAAAAACCATTCCCATCCCTTCATTGTTACGTCAGACATCGACCTCCTCTTCATCACGACCTGCTGTCAATATCAACAAGAAGCCTATTCATCCAAATAAAATCCAACATGCTTCGAAGTTGTATAGCGAATTTCGGATGAAAGAAGGATTGGCGCAACTCTCTCCGGACCCGAACGCAACATCCTCCAGTAGCATTAGATCATATGGTCCTCCCAGCCTACCTGGACCTCTTACTAACGCCTCTCGGTCATCCAGAGATATGACTGCACCGTCCTTCGATGCAGTCTCAGAATTTTCTTCGGTAATATCATTCGATACCGGTAGTCAATCTTCAAGGAAATCTGGGCGAAGAAATGAGGCATTCTCTTATCAAGGCAACGCAGTAGCACAACGGACTAGGAAGAAGTTTGAACCTGTGGGAAGAGCTAGAACGGCTTTGATCCGATATCTAGGGGCTTGCCAACATTGTAAATTTCGCAACGTCAAAGTATGTAGTCGAGCCCCCCAACATTCATACTTTACCTAACCACGCTTTTCTTATTAGTGCCTCCTAGAACATCACGACATCGAAAGCTTAGAACGTGCGCACCAATCAAATTCGACCAAACAAGAATCCGACTTACAGTACAATGACTCAGACCCTCCCATTTACGAATCCCAGGTACAAAACACTGCTTCTGAACAAGCTACACCGGTTACTTCACACGGTCAATATGAGGCATTGCGAGGTATTGGTGAGAAATTTGGTGTCGCACCCGAAGTACCCTGCAATGGCGAAGTGTTATTTTCCCCTGGAGCATTCGATTTAGAAACTGGTTTCGGCCTAGATATATACGATTCCCCTGCCACATTGAGTCTCGAAGCTCGAGTCACAGATTTTTATTCTCCCACTCAAAATGGTGGTCAATTTCCACTTGGGTTCTGGCATGATTCGACGTTCAGATGCAACTTTCTTGACGGAGATTGTCCACAATCCTTCGCCGGTGCAGAAGCTCTCCAAACACACTTTGAGACCACCCACTTTGAGTTTACTCGCATTAGTCCATTTGAACGACTCATTTGCACTCGCTGCTGCCGTGTCATTGATGATTACGCTTGTAAGTGTGGTGGCATCGTTAAATTGTTCATTTGTGGAAACTATATTCGGACTACACAATATCCAACCGAACCGCCAGCCAGACAACCGCATTGTTGCTATACCGGTTTACCTACGTCAATAACCCGTTCAGAATCATCTGATTCTAGCTTTGATTTAGAGCAAGGACTTGGCTTCAATGTCAATGAGGCTCAGATTTTCGACAGTGATGCCAACGCCAGTCTTTATGGCGGTGGTGATAATATCTACCCAGGTCCTAATGCTGGTGGGTTCGATGCCTATACTTATGATTCCACACAACCGGGAGGGAATCGATACAATGGATATGCATGGACATTTACTCAAGGAGCACATAAAGCTGCTACAGCTCCTATACGCTATTGTGTGATGAAATGTAGACAAGCCTCGAAGCATCAAAAGGTCTTGATATACATGTTACTATCCTTGACAATTATCCTCGCTAGCCTTCAAATATACGATTGGATCACACTTATAATCATCTCGAAAGTCGATCTATTCCTGCCTAGTATGCCAACTCTGGGGTTCATAGGATTTCTAGTATCTTTCATTACAAGTTGGGCTGCAAAACGTAATCATACTGTTCACCAAGCGAAGAGATGCAAGATGGTAAGTTTTGATAATGATTCCCAGCTGAAGGGAGAGGTTCTGACGATAGTCATGTTCATAGCGCCGATGTCCTCTTCATGCTTTTACGCCCCCTAGCAAATCAATTCGGACAGAAGGTGCTGCCTGTCTTGCGAGATACGAAAGCTTCTTGAGCCTATGAAAACACGTCACGATGATTCTTACGCCGCAATGAAGAATAATCTTTACCTTTACGAGTACAAGTCATCATGATTAATGATCCGCATCAGTAACCAGCTCTCCACATACGCCCTTCTCACCCCTTCTCACTCCTTTTCATACAACGACTTTCTTATGTTTATTAGTCTTGGGTTTAGCATGCATGGGATAGAATGGGTGTTGATTGAACTTTTCCCTCCTTCCTAGACCACCCACCCACGTAACGAACGAGCCAACGAGCGGTCGACCAAATTTTCCATCTACCAGAATTTGTTCGCCCCCTTCGCTCTTACCTCACCTTACCTTGCCTTGCCGTGCCGTACACACGTCAACTTCTTCCTACCTTTGCATTGATTTGAACACATTTGGCTCAAAACACAACGCTTCTACACAATTACCTGCTCTTTACATCCCTTCTTTACATTCTTCGTTTGCTCGTGTTAATCAAGAGAGATGGCTGCGGTTGCGTTCTGATTGATATATGGATACGGATAAGGATAGAGGGGAGTTATGTTATATCATGTTTATGTTTTCTGCCAGGGAGTATAAGGTTATTGCAAAACAGTAGATAAATGAATGGTATGGATATGGATATGGATAAATGAACCGATTTGATTGATCCTAGCGAAAATATACATAACATTAACTGATATTAATTGCATTCGCCGATTGGAAACCTATAAAGTGTCAGCGCCCCCCCCCCCCCCCCCTTTTCTTTTTACACGGGCTCCGCCGAATCGGACATCCGCCCGCTTTATCTAGATCTGATTCTACGATAATCTTTTCTTTTCTTGGTTTCCGCTGCAGCTGAATATCGGTACCGGTATTATCCTTTGGGTTTGCTTTGAAATACAATGAGAAAGTGGAGCGATTAAAAAGAACCTGTGTAACACGTGATTACCAACACTGAATACAGTATAACAACAAGTACCCCGCAGTCTGGCGGTGAAGAAAGGAAGGTTCTGATTACTGATTACCAACCCAACTTGAGAGGATTTTTTTGGTTTGTTATTTGCCTGCTTGCTTGCTTGCTTGCTTGGTGGGATAGGATTGGATTGGATTGGATTGGGTAGATGTAATAGGGGAAATCTAATGGCGAAGCGGCTGAAATGTTAGTTGTTAGTTGTTCTTCGTGGGTGAGTGTGTGAGTGGGTGGGTGTATTGGTAATGAGGTTATATTATGCCATACCGGGTATGGCATGAAGTGAATGGGGACGGAGTATTAAAGTGTCCGTTGCATTTGGAGAAGAAGTGGAAATGGTGGAGATATTTACGAGTGCAGTGTACATTAAGGTTACTTGTTGGTTTGAAATCAAATACTAACCGTTCACTTGGGGATATACGAGTATATATAAAGGGAAGGAAGGAAGCACTTTGATTATTATACTTTTGACTTTGCTTTGATTACTTTGATCTTTATACAATAACAATAACACAATACTCGGGTACTCTTTACATTCATACATCCATTCATACAAAATGTCTCTCTCACTCTACGATATCTCTGTTCCTCCTTTCATCAAACAGTTGAAGTCTTTACAAAGTCAGCCTCATATATTCATCCCCTCTATCCCATCTCCAATTCCCCCTCATCCATAACTTCCAAGGATCCATCTCCTTCCTCCCATCTCCAATTCCCCCATCTCCATCCCCTCCACCCCCTCACCCCCTCACCCTCCTCCCCCAACTAGCTAGCTAACCCATCTCCCTCCTCCCACAGAAATCCTCAACAAAGCCCAAGCCCACGTCGAAAACGATGAGTCCAAGTTAATCCACGCCAAGCTCGTCGACGATATGGGAGATTTGATTTTCCAAATCCAACGCATATCTGATACCGCCAAGGGATTTGCGGTTAGAGTTGGAGGTGTGGAAAATGTCGTGTTGGTTGATGATGAGACGGATGTGAGTTTTTTTTGGGGGGTTTTTCTAAGAAAGGGAGGGGAAGAGGGTTGTATCTTAAAGGAGGAAGAGTGGTTATGAGTGATTGGGAGATGATTGGGATTTGGTTTCGATGGGGGTGTGAGGTTTATGGTAGAAGATTCGCAGCTCGAGTGGGCACGTGTCATATCCTGCCTGCACTTAGTATCTGGAACTACTCCCTACTTACTTACTCCCTTTCCTATTCTACTCCGCTCTCCCGCTCTCCTATTCATCCCTTCCCTCCCTATCACCTCTCTCCCCTCTCTCTCCTCTCTCCCCTCCCCCCTTTCAAACAACCCATCATCCCACCACCCACCACCCTACACCCCACAAACTAACCACCCCTCCCCCAATAGTTCGCAGGCCTCCACACCCGCATCAACCGCACCATCTCGATTCTCGAATCTCTCCCCTCCAATTGCACCGACGGCAAAGAGACGGCCGAAATCGTCATGAAGATACCTTCTGGCGATCTTAAATTCTCTGGAAAAGAATATGTGCTCGAGGCTGCTATTCCAAATTTCTACTTTCATGTTGTTGCTGCGTATGCAATTTTGAGGTATGTTTTTATATTTTTTGTTTGGGTTTTGGGGGGTTGGTTGGGGTGGGGTGGTGAAGAGGGGAGAGGAGAGTGGATTTGGGAAAGAAAAAGATGGATGTGAAGATAGGGAATATTTGCTAATGTGACTGGTTTATCGTATAGGAAAGAAGGTGTACCAGTTGGAAAATATGATTACCTAGGAAAAAACTAATAGGGAATGCAGCTGTGATATGATATGATAGCGAGGAGCTCGAAATCATGTCGGTGGTGAAGTAACTAGGGAAAAATAAAAATAGTGACGGTGCTCATGATAGATAGGCAGATAGGTCCATCAATTATCTCAACTCAAGCTTTATCTCATTACATTACCCATAGAAAAAGTCTCATGGTTTCAATCTTCTTGCTTCATGCTTCTAACTTAAAATTATGTACAGGATTCTACTGTACAAGCAAGAGCTTTCAGTATCCCATTCCATTCCACCACGTGCATGTCTTCTACACAAATGTTGAACTTCAAGGAAACCTATCAAGGTTAGATATTGAGCTGAAGCTAACTAACTGAATTTCACTTATACTTCTCTTCTCTTCTCTTCTTTTCGAATCTTATTACATTAAATCAAGTCAAGTACATATATTGACACAGCTTGAATTGATATGCTCGTTGCCCAGGTATATCATACCTTTCCTATACTGGTATTCATTCTATTATTTTTAGTAATACATCTATTCATTTCTTACTAATCCCTTGTATTTGAACAAGATCTCCTCCTCCTTCCCCTCCCTTCTCCCACTTCCCTCACTCCTTCTCTTCCCCTCATAAACCTCTCTCCCTTCCACTTCCCCTTCCCTTCCACTCATAAACCTCTCTCTTTTCCTCTTTCTTCTCAACCCCTCAATACCTCAACCTCTCAACCCCTCAATCCCCAACCCCTCAATCCCCAACCCCTCAAATCTCCCAATCTAGTATCAACTCCCACAAAAAAGAAACTTATACCGATATACAAAACCCCAATCAACATCCCCCAATCCTCATTCCTATTCGATGAGATTTACTTTGAATAGCTATCCGTGACAAATACCGTGACGAATACCGTGACAAGTATCGTGATAAGTACTGTAACAAGTCTTATTATTATAACAGTATCAAGTAAAGTAAAGTACTCGAGTAAAGTGAATAAACTAAAACAAATTGGTAATTACCCATTATCAATTATTAACTATTTAAACTAGAAGATAGAAAATACAATTTACAAAACACAAGACCCCTCTTCAAACCCTCTGCTAAATCAGAACTCAGTAAAGGTTAAACCAACTAAAACCAATCAACTACCACCAAACTAATCACCAACTACCAACCGCCAACCGTTACTGTCATTTATATAAAGACTTTGAATCTATTAACGAAGCCCATTAATGAAACTCACCAAATAAAGCCATTCATCTATCATCCCCTCCTCTTCCTCTTCCCCCTCTTCTCCTCCCCCCCCCAAAAAAGAAAAAAAGAGAAGAATTTACTTACAAGATATGACTAATAAGATATTAAGATTACCCCTCTTTTTGCTCGACTATAATACTCTAAGGAGAGCCTGGAGAGTTATGGGAGTTAGGAAAAATTATATGCGATGAGGATGAGAGGTGTGAGAGGTATGAGAGGTGTAAGAGGTATGAGAGGTATATGGGTGTGAGAGGGGGATGAGGATGAGGATGAGGATAAGGATTAGGATGAGGAGGAGGATAAGGAGGAGGATGAGGGGTATATAGGTATAAGATACATATATATATATATACTTACTTAAGTATACACATACATAATGAAAGTGAAAGGCATATGAATGATAAGATCTAAGGAGAGGAATGAAAAGAATATAAGAAATCCACAAGTGAAAAATGATAAATATTAAGAGTCAGAATAGAAGTCAAGACTCGAGTCAAGACAAAACAACAAAACAAAACAAAACAAAATACCTAACTTTATTAATATTAATATCAACAATTTTGATATTTCGGAAATACAATACGACAAACAATACTCGAGTATTGATATTGATATGGACTTCCTTTCGATTCCTCTTAAGTATCTGTTTTGATATCTATTTTAATATATATTATATATCCAAGGCCTTGCGATATTGAAGTATAAATGCGGCAGGTAATGGAATTGTATGGAATTGAATTGTATATCATGTTATATAACAAGACTCAATCAGGAGTACTGTACTATACTGTACTGTACTGTACTGATTTCTCTGGTTTTGATTTCCTGAGTATACTGTAGTCTGTAGTACTGTAGTGAGTTAGGACTTGGTTGATAATGTAATGTAATGTGATGTAAAGTAATGATATGCTCGAGAGATGAAAAGAGAGATGAAAGAGTACCCAATTCAACCCAATCCAACTTGATATCATTCGCATGGAGAAGAAGGGGAAGGAGATGGACGAGAAGGAGAAGTGACTTGACTGACTTGACTAACTGACTGACTGACTTGACTGATTAACTTATCTTCTTTGATATGATATGATATGATATGATAAGGTGAGTAGTTATTGTTGAATGTTGAATATTGAATGTTGAATATTGAATGTTGAGATGTAAGATGTAAGATGTAAGATTACAATACAATACAATAGAACCAGGGGGTTACGGTTGAAATACATAGATTATAGATATAGATATAGATAGATAGCAGTACGGTGGTATAGTAAATCTATGGGAAAGAAACGAAAGCTTGATATTGTAAATATAAATATAAATATAAAAAGACACAACACAAGTAAAAGCAAAGCAATTCAAAGCTCTCCGACCCCCACATCACTCCCATCACCTCCTTATATTCCACAAACCCTCATATCTCATTTCATATCCCATATCCCACCTCTCATATATATATATAGATACCGTAAGATTAAATCTACCAGTACATAACCAAAGTAGATTACCTACACCAAACCAAATAAACAGCTCAAGTATAATAGTACTACTCGAGTAGTACCGTACCATATCTGAAACTCTAGGTAGGTATAGAAGGAAGGAAGGAAGGAAAGCAATAGCCCGAGTTCTAACTTCCAATCTATGATACCCTACCTATAAATTATGATCCCCACGCAGCCACGCACGAGTAAATTACTAATCACTGCAATTGCCCGGTCTTAGCTAGCTGATCATGGACCAGGCCATCTATATAGGTAGGTAGGTAGGTAGGTAGGTAAGTAGCTGAATGGAACTTTCAACTTTTCATATACATAGATAGATAGATAGATAGATAAATAGGTAGATTCCTCACAATAAGTATAACCTTAATATGGCATAGGTGAAAACTTTCTCACCACATAAACCACATAAAAAAAGCCTAAACTTTTTTTCTTTTCAAAAACTTCACTCTACATATATATATATATTTGACCGCAAAAAAAAAGGATGATTATCAAATTCATTCGTCATACCAAAATCCCAGCATATCAACCTACAGCACCAACCACCAAAAAGGTTGTTGTCGCACGCGACTTATGTGCAGCATAGACCGTAGGTACATACATACCAGAAAAAGATGGGTGGGCATTCCGGATATGCTTGTGTGGAGTTACCGGCAGCCAAGAAGGATCATGATTGGCGAGACGAGAAGTAGTTAATAATAATACGGGAAGGTATGGCGGGCAGCATTTAACTGATTACTAATTGGGAATTGCGGTTGATATATATAAATGCCTCATTGCAGGATCTGGGCATGCGTGATATTTTGACTCTTATTGGATGCTTACAACATTTTTGCGGCGTAAATTTGAGGTTTCTAGACCATACCTACATGACACCTACTTCGGTTGACCGCTCCTTGAAATTCTCACTCAGGTCTTCAACCGAGTACGGATGAAATGCTGTACGAATATCGGATATTGTAAGAACTACTACAGTACTTACTTTAGGTAATCGAGCTGAAAGTTTTGTTATATAATCAAGACCTGGATAATGTTAATATAAGTACGGCAATGTTCAAAACTCGTATTATGACTTATCTTGAGGAGGTGTTTTTGATAACTACGCACATATTTAGCCAAAAAAAGAAGAAGAAAAAAGAAACCAAATACTTCAGTTGGATTTGTATGTACGATTTGACTGCATTTGGGTTCATGCAGAATCGTGCAGGTACAGTATTTAGAGTGTCTAGACTCTCCCAGGGAAGAAAGCTTGTTTTGAAGAATTCCAAAAACTGATAGGAAAGCCATAAACTAATTAATGATAAATGATGAAATATTAATTTGACAAAAGGCGATGAATGGCTATCTTTTGGAAGAATTTCCCAAACTTCGGAATAAGATATCGGCTAATAGCATATAGTATGGAATTCCAAGGTGTGGTGTGGTAACACATGACAAGCCATTGGCGTCAGTCTTTGATTGTGGTGCTAAGCCTAGGCAATTGCAATTTGGAGATGATATTGAAATTGAAATAGAATGAAATGAAGAGGTTCGCCAAACGACATGAAGATTGCTTAGGTTTGGTAGATGAAGTCGCCCACGAGCTTGAATGATTGCTCGGGAATGAAAGCTGACAAGTCATAAGGAAAAGGCGCGTGGTGTTCGAAGCGTCGAATTATGCGGTTACCACTCTGTTGGATAACATATCGACATATGGCATATGGTGAAGGATTGAAGGTTGTCCTCCAAAGGTCTAATCCATCTCATAATTGGTTTATTCTGTGCATCCATCTCCATAGTTTAAGTGGGGTATGGATATGGTCCGTGTAGCCGTGTAGTCGATAACCCCGCCATGTTATGTGCATACTTATCAGTGGATCATCGGTGGTATTCAGGGATGTTTGACCAATGAACTAAGCCTGATTAAGACCTACCTAGGTATATCTAACCCGTCATCCCATCACAATGCGGGCGAGAGAGACTTGGGGCCTGAGGTAGGAATATTGTCTAAGTATCGTGAGATCAAAATCATTAAATCTTCCAAGCCTCATATGCTCGAGTATTGGCAAAAATATGTATGCTTGTTGAGCGAAGGGTATGTGTGAGGGGTAAGGGATAAGGGGTAAGGGGAAAGTAGGAATGATGATTACTTGGCGTAAAAGACTTTTATACTTGCAGGTCCAGGTCTTGGGATTATGCCGTCTCTCATGGTCATAAATGTGATTTGAAGTCAGGTACATAGCTTGAAGTTGCTGTCGCTTTCCGTAGAAGGTACTAAACTGTACAATACATACCTAGCACATATGGAAGACCGAATCTGCTAGCTAACTTTCGACCTTGATGGTTCTGTGTCGTGACAACAAATGAGGCTTACATTTGAGCGATTTTTCGAGACAACTCACTAATGTTGTGGATTAGTCCAACTAGTTAGTACCCGTTTGTTCTGTGTGTATACATAGAATGAGAGGATTGAGGATTGAGAAAGTTTGAAAGACGAGTGACTTTGGTGTCACGATGGCTGTAAGCGCTCCATGCGCAGGGTCTCTTGGCCGAATCTAAATTCATCAAAAGTTAGGTAGCGACTTGTTGAGATGTTTGAGAGGTAAGATACACTCAAGGATATGTATTGATGGAGGCGTCGAGACATGCCGATCATCAAAACCCGATATCGCCGTCGAACAACTTTTATCCTACCCTAGCCCTAGGAAGAATTGTTCAATGAATACAATATTTTTCCATCTTCACCGGGTCACACCCTTTCCACCTTTTCTCCTAGAGTACAGGCTCTGACAAGTAAGCTCGGCAGTAACTCGCTATGATTTCACGGCATTGTGAACCACCTGAGATGAGAATGGTCATCAGTGTATGTATGTTCTTCTTTGGGTGACCCGGGCTTAGAATCATTCTCGGACATGGCGGCGGAGGTCAAAAGGCTATTGTACTGCATGAAAAGGTCCCTTGTCCCTCTTTTGTCAATGCAACCATCTGGTTCTGGTAACCCCCAACTTTTCTAGCGTCTCTTGTTCCTTCTTCTTCTTCTTCTACTTCGCACACACAAGATCTTCTCGGCATAATATCTAATGTAGAGAATTCCTCCGTATGGTTCCATCAATTGGATGAAGAGGTCTAGATGTACTCGGTACCGTTGAAGAAGTAACATTGAAAACCAATTGCCAGGAAGGTGGATTGACCGTTTGTATGAAGTTCAAAATAACGCTTGCTTGGTATATCATCACTTGAATAATCCCATCCATCTGCAGATAAAGACCTTTTCGTGATAATGTCATCGGCTCCCTTTTTTGATGTCCGGTTGTCCGAATTGATGATAATAAAGCCTTGGCAAGGGAATACAAGGCGTCCCTCAATCCGCTGTTCTTCCCGTACGATGCAATACCGACGGTTACTTTTCTCTTGGCCTTCATATTAAGACGCAGATTTGAGATCTATTATCGAAGATTACTATCTTGGCGATTCAACAACTCAACGACCAGCGAAATGTAAAAGTACTTTGTACCATGAACCTCGAAAACGAGATGTATCATTTGTTGTACTATTGAGTCTTGTACTTTTGCTTGGCTCATACAAAAGTATCGTGGCAATTCTTAAGACGTAACCTTTTAAGAGATAGCTGTACTCGGGTATTCGGTGAGGAAAGTAGGTAAGTGGATTGATTGTAGATGCAGAAGCTGAAAGTAATGTTGATGTTGTTGTAATATGGTTGTATTGTATTGTATGGATGAGATAAGATTTTGAAGGGAAGGGCGGAATTGCGGCCGAAAGGAACAAGCGAGGAGATGAGTTCTTGACTTCATCAAATCAAGTACCGGTATAATTAACAACCATCATCACATCATCCATCACTACCTACATACCGGTAATCCTCACATTTATTATTATATACTACCACTTCAAATTTCACACTACCGGTACTTCACACTTTCCTTATACTTCACATTTCACACTTCAACGCATCAAAATACTCGAATCATCAAATCCTCAAATCCTCAAATCCTCGAATCACTCAACTCCATCTCCAAAGGCAAAAGTTCTCGGCATAAAACTTCCGTTTTCTTGTCTTCTTGAGATGAATAATTGAATATTTCAACGAATTACCTTTGATTACGTAGAGAATCTCTTTGTCCTTGATACCGGAATACGGCGATAAGAAACAGGAATAAACGTTCAACAATAGAAACACATTAAGATATCAATATAAAAAGAGTTTCAAAAAGTATTATACAGTACTTTTAAGTACCGGTACCTTACTCAGTTCACTTAGCAGACGAGAACGGATATCGAAGAAGGCAAAAATAAGAGAAGCAAAAAGCCATCGCCATTCAAGCATAAAAACGACAATCGATCAAATCAAATCAAATCAAATCAGTGGAAGCGCCAGCCATTCTTGTATCACCCATCACCCATCACCCATTACCATCACCAATACCATCAACCCCATCCATCCTTCGCCATCATTGCGACCAGCCCGTACGCCTCCGCATGCAAAGCTACCCCTACCCCTTGCCTTGCCTTACGTTTTGAGTAAGGTCTCACGAGTCTAACCTTCGCCATTCATTAAACATCTTCATTCGCTGAATATTAATTCTCAACAACAAGTTTTGTTTCTTCTACCAAGCCTTCTATGCATTAGCCCTTGTTCTCGCATTCACCAATTGATAGGTCCATAAGATCCCCTCCCGGCCCGGCCTATTCGAAAGAATCCGTTCCTTCGAGTTTTCAATTACTTACTACTGCTACTATTCTACTACCCTACTACCACTACTACCACTACTCTACATATTCGCTACTTTCTCTCATTCAAGAGATCATTTCAATCTTCTCCATCAATATGTTTTTTTTATAGTCATTTATACCTAATCCTTGCTCGGAGAGAGAGCTCAAATCAATCCTATCGCATTGTCGAGAAGAACCATTCACGAAGATACTACAATACAATTGGAGAAGACTAGACATTGTAGACCTATAACGGCTACTACCAGACTTTTAAAACGTTCAGCAGATAACGGTATGCCAATCGACTGGAACAAAATAAGACCTAAACTTTACGAGGTCCTATTCATCATCTTTCATACTTAGTAGCTCACGAGTTCATCTTATAGTTGGATTTGGTCTACTAGAACAAACTTCAAACTTAAAGACCCCCAAAGTTTCACTCGTCATTCGCACTTTCCCACGCTTTCCCAACTCCTTCGTGATTTGATTTGATTTGATTGAAATAATAAGCCGTCAGCTCACCAGATTAGCAATCATGGCGACGAGTACTCCACCACTTTCTCATCCTACATTATCTTCTACTTCTCACAGTACCTGGAATTCATTACATCATCTCATAAAAATCGAATCAGCTTCTGCCTCTGCAGAATCGAGTCGACCTTCTTCAATAGATTCTCGTCAAGTCGACTCCATTCCCGAAGAAGACGAATACGAGACTAGCAGTGAAGCTGTCAATGAGCCAATAACTCCTACAGAGTTCCAACATCCTCAACAACATACGAGAGTGATTACTAGTGACGAGATTTCTGATATCATCCACAAACTTCCTCCAGCTCCAATTCAACTTCCTACAATAGTCAATATCGTTGCGACTCCTTCACTTCTTTCGACCGATCAGACTCTATCCCCTACACCACAGTCTCTTAAAGGAGACACAAAACTACCTTCTACTCCAGTTCCGCTGTTGAAAAAGCCGACCTTGTCAACAAGAGAGTCGGGATTGAGAGGTAAAGTTTCAAAATTCTTCAAGAGATCGAATTCTCATTCTGGCTATCTCAAAATTACTGTCTTGGACGATCAGACCAATCTCACAAACAACAATGGCTCCGATCCAACGTTAGCAACAGAGCATCGTCGAATGTCGATTGGACGAGCGTCAACTTCCACCACAGCCTTCACCTCCCGCACGAACACACCACCATCACCTAGTACACCATCAGAACCCCAGTCTTCACAAGAAAACATATCAACCAATGTAAGACTGAATGAGAACTTCAGTATGTCCAAGAAACAAAGATCTTCCACCGGTCTAAGCATCGGCATGATGAATAAATTTCAAAACCATGGACCCAAGATTGCCTTCGATACACCCGTAAAGGAGGAGAGAACCAAGACTCCACAACGTGCCACAAGCGTTGATTGGGATTTCAATAATGGCGTTGGCACGGAGTCGGGTGTTCAGGAGATGTCTCGAGAGCCTTGGGCCATGCCAGCCGAGACTGGAATTGGTCTGAAATCGAGACGCTTGAGTATGAGTCTTCCAGATGACTTCCTCGTCGACGTTGTAGAATTGGACGAAGAATACCACCAACCCAATAAACTCATAGGACGTGGAAGAAAACAAATTGGTAAAGGTGCCACAGCTCATGTGAACCTTGTGCTCAAGAATGGTACCAACGATACATATGCCGTGAAAGAATTCCGAGGAAAGTCTACAACGGAAAAGGAAGAAGACTATGAGAAGAAGGTCAAATCGGAATATTCCATCGCAAAAGCTGCTCGTCACCCAAACATTGTACAAACCTTCCGACTTTGTACACATAATGGACGGTGGAACCATGTGATGGAATACTGCGAGCAAGGAGATTTATTCGGTCTCATCAATCAAAAGTACCTGAACAAGGAGGATCATCTAAAGGATCGACAATGTCTATTCAAACAACTCATTCAAGGCATTCATTTTCTCCATAGTAATGGGATTGCCCATCGAGACATCAAGCCCGAAAATCTATTGATCACCAAGGATAGCAAGCTTAAAATCACTGATTTTGGCGTCTCCGAAGTCTTTGCCGGTATTCATCCTGGTTCTAAAGCCGCCAGAGGTGAATGTGGAAAAGACATGACCGAGACCAGACTTTGTGCTCCTGGTATCTGTGGTAGTCCTCCATATATTGCCCCGGAGGTTCTTGAAAAGCAAGGTACGTGAATGTCTTATCATGTTTTTCTCTACATTATCACCAATATTGACATTAACATTAGGTGAATATGATCCAAGACCTTTAGATGTATGGAGTGCTGCCATAGTTATGCTTTGCATGACGGCCAACGGCTGTCTTTGGGAAAGTGCGAAACCTAACACCTCGCCTCTCTACGACGAGCTCGTCCGCGGTTGGGACAAATGGAACAACAAACATGACGATTGCACCATCACGGATTCCGACTATCCCCACGTTTCTTTCTTTGATAAACACATCAATCCCCCAGCTCTTCGTCGCATACTTCTCACAATGCTTAACCCCAACCCAAAACATAGGGCAAGTATTGGCGAAATTGCCAAAAATCGATGGATGAGAAATGTGGAGTGTTGTCAAATTGATAGTTATGATGAACCGACTAAAGTTATTGATGCGAGTAAGTGTTGTGGCGTTGGTAATAGGAGTTTGAATAGAGTGGTGGGTCATAATCATTTGCCACCGAAAGAACACCATGGACATAAGTTGGTTAGATTACCGGGAAGTACGGATATGTGATACAGCACTGGTGCTGGAAACAATTTCGGAGGTTGGGTTCCATACTTCATGCGATGCAAGCGACTACACGAAACTTCTTTTACTCAATTTTTGATATACTGGAAAACGAAGCGAATGGTTCGGACACAAACTATACGACAGATCAAGGAGTTTGGTGCCATACTTATTGTGATGGAGGATCGACTGCTACTTTACTATTCAATGCGAGTTGGGTCATGGTGTTTACATACTAATGAATGCTATGACATGACGATGAATCGAATTTGGGATGGGGTCCTTTGATTCCTGGTACGAACGTTTCTGGTTTGAGCGTTACTAGTTTGAGAGAGCGAGATTTGATAATTGGTTTCTGGTGTGGTGGTGTGACATGATGTGATGGGGTGGTTCCGTGTTTATAGGTTTGTGGTGGTTAAAGTGAACTTGAACGGGGGGTTTGTTTGGGAAGTTTTGGATTGAATATAGAGTGGTGGGTGGTATGTTGTGGTGTGGTGGTGTGTGGTGATGTGAAGTGAAATGGAGGTTTGCGCTCGAATGGAGGGAGGATATCAGATTGTTTTGTTAATACAGGGAATAAAGATATAGATAAAGGGGATTCGGCACTCGGTTCAACGGGAAAGCGGAAAGGAATCGGGAGGAGGGTTAGGGATAGGGAGGATAGGGATAGGGAGGAGGATTGAAAGGAGATGAGATTGAATTGAAAGACATAGGTTACCTACGAGGGGAGAAAGTCATGGAAGATTAAGATAGTCTAGGTTAGGTTAGATCATGATATGATACGATACCTAGTTTACCTGGTTTACTTAGTTTACCTACAGTAGATGAATAAATTACCTATATTACCTAAACTATGTAGATAGATGGATAAAAGAATGGAATACAAATACATATATACATACATACATAGTTGGTGGTTACCTACTAAGTGAATGGTCAGATGGAGTGGGATTGGTGGGATGGAGTGAGAATTCAGAGATGGTTTATATATATATACCTCCAATTTTTTAGGGAAGGAGGGCTCGATGGTACGCTTGGTGTTGTTGATGTTGTGTTATGATCAGTTTATTTTTATTCAATGTTTGTTTGTTTGATGTTCATATTAAAGATATTGGTATTGGAGTTTGATGTTTGATATTCGAGTATTAAGATATTAGTGAAAAAGTAGGAGTTTTGGTTTTTGGTTTTTGATATTTGATATTTGATATTTGAGAATCTAATCTGATGGATATATTCGGTATTCGTTGTGGATTATCACTTGTAGATAGATAGATAGATACACTTACTACTGTAAAACTGTATGTAGTAGTTCACCTTATACTATACTATACTTCATTCCCATCCCCTTTCCCAATCTTTACCCTCACCCCTCCCCCTACTCCACCCCCTACCCCAACCTCTTCATCCTCTCCTCAGCCGCCCTAGCCCTCCTCTCCCTCTCAACCCTCATCTTCATCTCCGGTGTCATATCCCTCATTTCCACCTCTCTCTTATCCTGACCCGTTGCCTTAACCCCTACCCCCGCCAATCCCACCACTTTTCCCTTTCCCCCCCTACTACTAAATTTTCCATCGCCTCTTAACTTTTGCTCCGCCTCTTCTTTCGCAATCCTCTCATCGTCTATTTTCTTCTGTTCGAGTTTCCTTATATTCTCCTCTTCTTTCTCTTTCGCTTCGCGTTTATGGGCTTCGTCGCGAGTCATGGGAGGTGGGATTTGAGAGGTTTCCCAGGAATATGATGGGGATGGAAGTTCATGTCGACAAACGCGGAAAGCGTCGCGTGTACTTCTTTCCCCGCATAATTCAAAAGGTGTTTTTCCATCTCCGTTTTGGATTGTAGGATCTGCGTTTCCCTTGAGTATTAATCCTTCAACCAACAATTTTGAGTTTAAGCTCGCGGCTAGATGTAAAGGGGTAGGAGCATGAAAATTTTGTTCCTCGGGATGGAAATGGAAGTTTGGGGAGAGAGAATTCGTTTGAAAGTATGATAGGAGAGCGGGCAGTTTGGAGCGACGGATTAATGATTGGAGTTGTGATGTGTGTAGTAGTGCATTTTCTTCTTCCTCGGTTAGTTTTTTAGGCTGAGGTTTTGCTACTGCGGCCGCTTCTTTTCTGGCGGCGGATGATTGTTGGGCTGAGAGGGCGGCGGCACGTTTAGCTGCTAGGGCTTCTTCGTCTACTTCGAGGACTTTGACGCGAGTGAGTTCGACAAAGGAGCGCATAAGTTCGTTTTGTGTGGCTCTTTTGGTGCTAAATGGAAATCCACGGACTCGAGGATCATTTTGTCGTAAGACTTGGTCCTCGTAGGGTCCGAATAAAGTACGACGATTGGTAGTACCCGTGGCACGGATGAAGAGTAATTCAGACGTATCGATCATGCCTTTCCATGATGTGAGGAGCTGTCGTACTTCTTCTGTGAGAGCTTGTTCATTGTACCGACGGAGACTAGATCCAGCACTATGGGCGGCCCCTTTTGCGGAGTCGTTGGCTGATTGAGCTCCTCCTTGTTTGCGACGGGTGGTGTATCGATGAAATGTTTTGTGTGTGAGAACAACGGCTTCTTTGATCAAGGGGCCAGTTGTTGCCTGTGGGTTCTTAACTTGTTTGGGGGCAAGAGATACGACCATGGCAGCGAAATGACCACCTCCTATCATACACATAAAGATATGAGGACCTTTGTATGCTTCAGGTAATGGAACGCCCTCATTATTGACCGGGATTTTGATTTGAGGTTTAGGGGAGATTTGCTTTTTCTGGACGACTTCGTGCATTGAGGCTTCTTTTTCTTGCTCTTCGTGTGTGAAAATTGCTCGGTATATCCCCAGATAGGTATTCTTCGGCATAGTTGGTGTTGTAAACCATATCATCGGGGGCTTGCCAGATCCTCTCGTCCTTTTCCTCAATCCGGGATTATCGTCAAACTCATTGATGGTTGTTGAAATAACCGCTTGTTTTTTGAGTAGTGAACTCAATGTGGTCTCTTTGCGCCCTCCATCTTCGTCTTCTTCAGTATCTGATGAATCGGATCCTGAAAGACTCTCGTCGAGGTCTCCTACCAACTTCTCGAATTCGACTTCCGTGACGGCGTTTGCCCCTCGAATCTTTTGCTTCAAATTGTAGTTGTGGAAATCCGATCGTACATGGCCTTTTTGATCCTCCACCGTGTGAAAAGTGACACCGCATAGTGAACAGGCCTTTGATCCAACATCATCTCCTGGTTTAGATTGTACAACTCGCTCGGTGGTATCTATAGGTGGATTGGCATCTTCACCATTGGTTTCGTCATTGGTATCGTCTTTGCGCGCCAAAGTCGACAGAATATCTTGTGGAAGGTCGTAAGCTATTACTAGTCAGCTTGAGAGTTCGCATACAAAAGATTGACATTCCCACCATATAGTGGCCGTCTGGTTATATCCTCCTTTCGCTGTTCCATATTGATGATGCGAAAGGTTTGTATGAGGTGGGGTGAAGGTGACTGTTTGATGTGCGAGAGTATTTGGTACGGGTTTAACTCTGTGATGTGATGTATTCAAACTTCAAACTAAAATGTTCGCTGCCTACTAGTATGTACTTATCTACTTATCTACCTTACCTATTAGCTACAATTCTCCTCTGAGCTGAACTCTTATCACCACGTGACTTGACGATAAGATTAGAGCGGATTTTAGTTCAAGTTTATCCTAGTTGGTCATCATATCATGACATCAATCTTGATGACGTAATTTGTTCTAGATCAGTGGCTCAAGCTTCAAGTTAACAGAGCTATCCATCAAGAGCGGAGGCGTTCATTGTCAAACGATGAAAGCAAGGAAAAGGTTTCTATGGCTCTTCAAGTTCTGAGACCTGACACATAACAATCTCTTTACTGCAATACAAACAAGATATGAAGTAGAACAGCTTTTTACTGCTAATATCAATCCTCTTCTTCAATTGGCGGTCCAAACTTTACAATTATTGATAATTGTATTACAGTTTCATCCCATCATCCGATTCTACATAATCCTCATACCATTACCGGTAACCTCAGACCCCCTCACCCTCACCCTCTCCTCTCCTCTCCTTTACGCTCATCCTCATCCTAATTCTTATCCTCACCCTTTCTCTCAGATCTACTCAATCAGAAAGATCCATATCCAATTCTCCACCATTCATATCTCAAAATGTCTTCATGTTTTGGATCAAGAAAGTCAAGAAGTGAGGATACTCGTCCATTGTTACCTCAATATGAGGACGATACCTCACTCCAGAGAACTGTTCATCAGAAATTACACACATATCAGATGATTAAAGCATTATCCAAGGGATTTATGCCATCTACTGAACAGACTATAGTCAATTTAAGAACACTATTGGCTTCAGATGTTTTGAATCCAGATAATCCAGAATTAACAGATAGTGGAAGAAGATTGCTTAAGTTTACGAAACAATGGCTTACGGATTTCATTGAATTGCTACGAAATAAGAATGATGGAGATCAAATTCAGGATTTTATATGGTTCTTGATACATTCAAGAATAAATGTCAATACATCGGATCTTATCGAAAGAGCTACCAACACAAGAGCAAAGGCAGATGCCTCAGCTGGTAAGTGTCATTCATCTTACCACTTTCTAATTTCTAACAAATCGCAGCATACGCAAGTATCAAGACTGTTGGCAGCCTTTTGTTGACCAATTCCGACTTTCGTATATTCCTCTCGGACCTCAATACCATTGGTCGGCAGGTTTTCGCAGATACCGCAAAGACAGTATCAACTGTTGCAGACGATGCTGCGAGTAGGATCGAGCCATCAGATGTAGAAAACGAGGCATTGAAGAAGCCGGGAAAAGAGCGAAGTGAGCCCATTCTCAAAGAAGACCTCCAAGCCGAAGCGAGCGAGATCGGTGATGTTATTACGAATGGCTTGAAAAAGGCAGGCAAACAAGCAGGCGCAAGTTTGAAGGAGAACATTTCTGGAGAGCAAAGAGAGACTCTCCGATATCGTTTGAAGGAAGCCGTTATGAAATTAACAAAACGAAATGATTACTCGGATTCAGTCAACACAATTGGTCTTCTCATCCAAAGATATGCCAAAGCTTATTCCCGAGCTGTGGATGAATCTATCAGCGCAGTCCAAGATGACGTCGAACCCAATCCAGCACTCGATCGTGCAGTGAAGAATGGTTGGTCTTTGCTCAGTTCTTTCGGTGACAAGGATGCCTGGAAAGAGCTCGAGACTAGATTCAACAAAGTCATGGAACATTCTCAAAAGGATCCTGAATTTGAGAACCTCATGGGAGAATTGGCAAAGTCGGTTCAACAAATGCTTTCAGATCCAGACTTTTTTGACGCTGCGGCAAACAAGGTCGAAAAGTTGAAGGAGAAATCTAAACAAGTGGGCACCGAATCTCCTCTCCGAAAAGATATCGATGATCTTCTCAAACAAGCACACATAACATTCGATTCCGTAGTGAATGATCAAGAAGTCTCCAAACTTGTTCATTCAACCCTGAAGATATGGTCCATCCTCAACCCACTCAATAAACAGTCTAACACTGAACTCTTCACTGACCTATCTACTGTTTTGATACCCATGTTTATCTCCGCTATCCAATACGTACCAATTCCTCGTCTCGAGATATCTGTCCCAGAGATCGATCTCCTTCTCGAGAATCTAATCCTCGAACCTGGTAGAACTATAAACCATACCAGTTTCCTACCTTACCGACTAAAGATCGAAACCTACAATGATCTCTCAATCCACAAAGCTCGATTCCGTACTTTCTCAAAGGTAACTTCAAAGGTAACGGTCAAGATTCAGGGTCTTTCAGTCAGAGCTGACGAAGTTGGATTCTGGTTGAGAGCTCATAAAAGTTTGTTTTGGTTGGCTGATGAAGGTATCGCTTCTTTCGAGCTTGACGATAGGGGTATCGATATCGAATTTGATGTCGAAATCGGACACAACCAACTTGAGAAAATCCTTACCTTGAAGGATACACGTGTGAAGATTCATCATCTTTCATATAAACTCAGCAAATCGAAGTTTGCTTGTTTAGCCTGGTTTGTCTCCTCCAAAGTTTGTCACCCCTTCATCTATATACTAATCAAAACACAGGATCTTCAAACCACTCCTCCGCCCCATCCTCCGCAAAACTATCGAATATCAACTCTCTACCGCCCTCGCGGATTTCTTCCACGCAGCAAATCGTGAACTTCTCTACGCTCGTGAGCGTCTCCGCGCAACAAGAATTTCATCTCCGGATGATATCCAAACGTTCATTAAAGCAATCATCACTAGATTAACACCAGAAGAAGATCCAGATTTGTATGTGAATGTGGGAGTACAAGGTGGAGCTAAGAGCAGAGGAAATGTGTTCAAGGGTGTTTATGCACCGGGTAGTGTAGTGAGGGTTTGGGAGAGAGAGGGAAGGGATGCGGAGGAAATCGTTGAGGGTGAGGGTGAGAATAATGGAGGTTGGAGAAATGCTGTGTTTGATGTGGGTGGTCAGGGTCAAGGTGTTATGGGTTGGTAGGGTGGTTATGAGTAGTGATGTGGAGAGTGGATAGTAATGGCTCGGGGGTAATATGAATAAGGCGTTATGATATGATTTGATATCATACAGAGGAAATGCGGAGGATGGGAATGGGAATGAAAAGAACTAAATTGTATGATGGATGAACGACCACAATTCCCATTTGGACTCGGCGGCGTAGGCTAGTGCTTACCTTCTTTTTCTTTCTCTTCTTTCTTTTGGGCACTGCGCGCCTTTTGGGATTCGGATGAATGGATCGATGGATGAATCGATGAATGGGGAGGGATGGGCATGGATGTAAAATATAAGCACAGTCTGGTATGGTATGGTATGGTCGGAAGGCACAGGCGTGGAAATCTTTTAGTTTCATACATCAATCAAATCGTAATGAAAATCAACTTTATCAATCAATATCAATACTCCATTGGAAATCTAGCTGAAGGAAGGGATTGAAGAAAGTGGGATGAATTAATGACTAAGTAGCAACTTACAAGTATGAGTACACACAATAAATTGATCTATAATCTGATACAAGTGCGGGCTCAAAAGCGAAAAACTCCAGATCAGGACTTATCGAGGCAAAGCAAAGCAAAGGAAAGGGAGAGGAAGGAGTTCTCTATATACTGTACTGTCGCCATATACATGAGTATATACGAGTAATCAACAGTTATGATCAATATTACAGTATAAGATAAGATTCTCAGAGCAACCTTGTTTTGTTTTGTTTTGTTTCTTCCCAGCACATGCAATGTATCTATCTCCATTATACCAGTACTCGAGTGTAGTGTGCTTGCTATTCATTATTACTCCTGTGTTTAAGTTTGAATGTTAAAAGTGTTGATCAGGATTGGACACTTGGATATTAGGATATCTTTTTCTTTGGAATGGGGATTGATGATTGATGATGGAAATTGATGATTTATGTCGAGGGGTTGAGTATGTGGTTGGTTGGTTGGTTGGTTGGTTAGTTGGTTGGTACTCGAGTAGTGTATTTTTGTTAGTTAATGAAGATTTACTGGAGATTTGCTGGAGATTAACTTACTCACGGAAGATTTATGGTTAGACTGACTGTGAGGAGTGTGAGATATCAAAAGTTTACGTCTAACATACATTGTTGAATCTGATAGATCCAGAATAAGATCTTTATTGTTTACTCATCCACTCTGCACTCCGGAACTATCTGATTTAAAATGACCAACAAATCGGTAACAAGCTTCTCAAACTGTCTTGATTCCCAGTCGATATAAAGTACCTTTTTCTTGACCAGCTGAGTGCTGTCGAAGTGTGAAAAATATATTTCGAAACAAAAGCGCAAACAATACTTTTTGAAGCCGAAAAACTTCGGCAAGTGATACCAAACCGATCGAGAGGCTAAGATATAAGTTGTAGTTTATATTGAAGGTAAAAATTCAGATTTGTGTATGTTGTGGTGTGGAATTGGTGATGTTGCAAAAAGAACTGGGAAGGGTCCTGATTAGTGGGACGTGCTTTGTGTTATTACACTAGGTAAGGTTAACTCGAGTACAAATAGAAAAGCCATCTTGACGTTTGTGAAACTAACACAACACAACTTAAGCCCAACAACCTTTTCAATATTTCTTTTAATACATACAGAATTATGATTGAAAGATCATGGAAAGATTCGTACAACACGCTGCTTAAGTGTGCGCGAACCAATGTTGCAACTCCTTCCATGAAGTCATTGAGCATTTCAAGAAGTCGACGTCGCATCCACACAACACCATCATCATCACCCCCGCCAGCTCGTCCCCTCGTTGGCCTCGGAGTATTTATTCTGCACCCCACTCACCCACTCTCTACTCACTCAAACCCCATGTACCTCTTAGGTCACCGCATCAATTCGTTCGCAGCCAACACATGGGGTCTCCCAGGCGGTCATCTGGAATTCGGCGAAACGTTTGAAGAGGGTGCATCAAGGGAAGTCCTGGAAGAAACAGGCTTACATATTCCAGTGAATGAGCTCAAGTTTTGGCATGCTAGAAATTTGGTGATGAAGGAGGAGAAGACACATTTTGTGTCGATTTTTATGGTGGGGATTTGGGATGGGAAAGGTGATGGTCCGAGGGTGATGGAGAAGGAGAAGTGTAGGGGATGGAAGTGGGTTGGGTGGGAAGAGACGAAGAGGTGGGTGGAGGGTGGTGAGGGTGATGAGGGTGGGAAGAAGTTATTTCCGGGTATGGGAGACTTGATTGGAGAGTTGAAGGGGCTGGCTCCGAGGTTTTGATCAGCAAACGATTTCCTATGTTTTCGGTGCGGCATGAGAGATGTGCAGCATTCACAGCCTTTTGTGGCTCATCGAACGACATCCCTGCTATCTTGGGCAGGTATGCCTTAATTCTTAACGTGTCCCTACTGTCCTACTGTACAACGTTATGGCTGGCACGAGTGGCCGGACTCAAAGCTCATATCATCATAAGTGATGTTATCGCTATCGTCTTCTCAAATTCCATACTGTATCATACTCGAATCCTTCATCAGAACTACTAGAAGGGTTTCCTAGGTATCGAATATCTATCGTCGAGATGTCTGTTGCTAATCCTGAGGATTTCCACCACGAAGACCTTTCAGAGTCTGATTCATTTCGAATTTTGATCCTCCACCCAGGCAAACACAAATCTCCAATCCGATGTGATCTCATTCATACAACATTACATGAATGTGGTTCGGATATTTACGATAATTACACGGCTCTGTCCTATGTTTGGGGCAATGCCAGTGATACGACAAAGATTTGGATCAACGGGTTTCGTTTTGCGGTCACTGTAAATCTTGCGATGGCGTTGAATGATTTGCGCGAAACCAAGCGGCCACTGCGATTATGGGCCGATGCTGTCTGCATTAATCAAACGAACATTTCCGAACGCAGTCAACAGGTCAGCTTGATGAAGGGAATATATAGTGGTTCTCAAAACACCGTGATATACTTGGGGCCTCGAACTGATCTATCAGCTCGTTTATTTGAGCTCATGCAACCACGAAAACAAGAGAACTCTAATTTAGAGGAAACCGCTCTTCATGCAGCTCAAGATATATTATCACGCCCATGGTTTACTAGAGTTTGGGTATATCAAGAACTGGTTCTATCCAACAGAGTTTTTGTGCAAGTTGGCCAAATGCGAGTACCTTGGGATTCTCTTTGCGAAGTTCTGTTGCGTCATCGAGGAGACTCAATACCGAAGGAAATGCCAAAAAAGGGATTTTACTCAAGAAAGAAATTGACTTTCTCCTTTGGAGATGAAATGATGTTCCCAAAAAGTAAATCGTTTTTCTCAGAAAAGAAATCGATTCTTCCACTCAAGTCAAGTCTTCGTACTGGTTTTCCATACCAAGTACAAAGTGATGTGAATACACAAAGGTATCAACTACTGTGGAACATGAATCAATCACGATTGAAATACCATCAAAGCTTATGGGATGGAGACCCCCCGGCCCCTCTTCTGGATATTCTAGAGTCTCGGAGAGGCTCAAAAGCTTCCGATTTGAGAGATATAATATACGGTCATTTGGCTGTGGCGGACATTTATTCTCCCTCACGCACACTGCCAATGCAAACCGGTTCGCCTGTACTTTGCACATGGAACCGAACACAATACGTTCCAGTCGTTGATTATACCAAAAGTGCAGATGAGGTATTCACAGAAGCGGCTCGCTTTATTGCTTGCTCTACGGATCCTGGCGGACTAAGAGAAGTTCTATATTATTCCGCCACCAAGGCCTCGCATACCAAAAGAAGCAGTCTCCCATCTTGGGTGCCAGACTGGACGCTAGATAAGGATAGTCTCCAGGATCCTTGCTGGCCATTTGCTTATGAAAGCTCGGCAGATGATACATATTATGGCTACCTACCCGTATATCCACACGTCTTATCATTCTACTATTTCGAATGTATGTACAAGCAGGAAGTTGTTGAACGAACCAGTCAATTGAATTTAGTAGTGAATGATGTGGGAGACGAAAGTCTCAGACAAGCACTCCAAAACTCTTTTTGTATACGTTACTCGCTTCGGGACTGCCCGGAGGCATTTTATACAGAGAAATTCGCCAATATCTATCGAACGATGTGTTCTCTCTGGGAAGGCCTTATGGCAGCAAACATGATGACCGAACCATTCAACATTCATTATTTTCTGGATCAATGCGGTCGCCAGTTGGGAGAAGATGCTGATTTCGACTATGACAGAATAGTATCTTCGGATTTCTTCGCGAACGTACTTTCTATGTCCATAAAATATGGAATAATCGCCAAGGATCTATTTGGTAAAATGAACTTCGCCCGATTTCGCTCAGGACGCATAGGCGTCGTACCTCTTGCAACTAAACAGGGCGATGTAATGCTAGATTTCACAGTATTGGGAGCACCAAAAGGTCATGAAGGCTTAGTTCTTCGGCCAAAAGAGGGTTACAAAAATGCAAATTATGATTGGAATATTCGCGCAGCAATTGAAGGTGCACCCAATAGGGTCGTTCCTATATTGCATTGTACGTTTGTTGGTGAAGGGTGGGTCGAGAATTCTATATGGTCGAGCCCTCTGAATCTGAGTCCTGCGAGCAAGAATTTGTCTAACACAAGCAAAACTTCAATCATTGCTATTCATTGAGGAATCTTTATAGATAGATAAATCTACTACTCTACTTTTGGGCCACTCCCCCCTTTTGGGCCACCCTTTTACAAAAAAAAACAGTGATTTTTGTATATTTATATATTTTTATATATTCGCAAAAGAAAAATGAATAGTGAATATAATACCGGGTGATATTGTGAGGGATCACAAGCAGGGAATAGGGCGGATAGTATCAGTACTACAGTTAGGGTATAGTTTGTACAGAACTGAACTCATACCACTGCCATGGTGGTATGAGGGTAGTTCTTTATAGATTTCAGTACGAACTAACTAATAAAGAACAAAGGATATGAAAGGATACGGAGTATCCTTTCACATCCACGCTTTTCCGGCTAGTCCCCGGAAGGGGATTAGTCTCTACCCGGTGGCAGATATCAAAATAAGCTTTGATAATATTAGTATAAATTCCCTTATTTTAGCATTAATAGTATTCCTACGAGTATAAAAAAATTATCAATATTATATCAAATTTATAAAAGTGAGAAAAATTATACAAATCATATACGAGTAAATCTATTTTAGTATAGTAAAGAGAGGTTTGTTTATACTCGAGTATGATTATCTAAAATCTTCAGGATAGAAAATAACTACACAGAGGGAGGAGGAAAATGAAAAGATGGATGGATAGATACTAAGTAGATGAATAAACTATTCATTCGATAATCGAGATTGATTAGTTTTTGGAGTGAGTGAGTACAGGAAAGAAAGAAAGAAAGAAGGATTTATATCTGGTACTCGAGTACGAGTACTTGGGTTGATTTACTCGAGTAATGATATGATATGATATGATATACTCGAGTAGATAGGTAATTGTGAGGTATGAGTTATGTGGTATAAGGTATGAGTTATGTCCTGAGTAATGTGAGTAATGAAGTGAATGTGTGGATGTTATAATGTTAATCTATCATTAAAAGAGGCTAATTATTTGAATTTATTGTTTATATATATACAAGTATACTGAGTATACTCAGTATACTCATATACATAAGTTAGTATAGAAATAAGCAAGCAAACAAAACCACGAACTAATCAAATCAAATTAAACCAAACCTAACATTTTCAAGAACTTATCTTATAGAGTTATTAACCTTGAATATAGTACTCAAGTAGATACAAAAATCCACATCCGGATAGATATACATGTCTTATCAAACTACAAGCTTTATAAAAGCATCACAAATAAAGAGAAAGAGTCAACAATACAGTAGATATATTATATAAAACGAGCTTTGACTTCGGCCCCTCGGTGCCGGAAAAACAATTCGAAGAGCGCAGCGAGGCGAATCGTTTTTCAGGGCACCTCGATTCCTACGTCGCAGCTCGTCCTCCGGAGGATTGTTAACTTGATAATCATAAATATTGAATGATATTTTTGAATATCATCTTTTCATATTTCATTTTATCGATTAGTATGAGAAGTGTATTAATATTGAAGATTGAATGTGGTATTGCACGTGAATTTTCAAAAAAAAAGTTCGTTGTCGTGCATTGACCATGTGCGAAATAAGAGTGTTTTATAATATGAAAGGTTAGATACAAACATGCAATAGAAAAAACTCAATGGACACTCCCAAATAAATAAAATGACAGCAATAGAATTCCTCATTTCTAGATCGCTATCTACCTAGTATATTATACCTACCCACGCACACATACTTACTCGTACATGGTTTGAGTAAAACACATGCAGTGGTGTGATAGATTTTCCTGCACCAAATGAAAAGCAAATAGTATAGTATACTATACTACACATCCGTACGCCAGCTAATACGCTTTTCAAACCTCGTTTACCGAAGTTCTACACAGCGCTGTTCCTTCCTTATCACTAGTAAAGCCAGAAAGCATCATCTTGCACACTCATTTACTGTACCGCTCACTAACCAAATATCGACGCATGATAAACAAGTGAAGTGTCATCTCTCCCAAATTCCAACCCCGTATTAGGAACTAAACCCCAGCACCACAATTGACGCTGAAATCTTATTCTCAACACCTAGCTCGAAATTCTCGGGAAGAATCTCTTTGCCATCTCTGATCCCGCACTCAAAATTCCGTGATCGTTTCCTTTTGATGTCTGTTAAAAATAAATTAGTATATACTCTCCAGAGCTTGAATCCGGCAGCGGTTCGCGCCTAGGAAAACTTACGCGTTGTCGTTGGTAATCCATCTTGAGTTTCATATCTGACCAAGAACTCCACATAGATGTACTCATGACCGTGTCCATAAAGCTCGTCTTTGCCCCACAAATAAATGATCCTGAACCACAACATACAAATGCAACGAGATAGAGTACCACGATCGTCGCGGACATCTCGAGTTGCCTCGAGACTGCGACAGTGACGGCAAGTCCGATTGCTAGTGCGGCGAGAGTGGAGGTAGTGCGGATGGTTGATGTAATCGGGGCAGTCACTGCTTCTACGTCGTTTATAACAAGTGCAGAACTGTGTGCCGAAGTGGGGAGGCTTAGGCTTGGACTGCATAGTGGTGCAGCCGAAGTACTCTGAGCATTCGAAACAATAGTCTCATCGCGTTGAAGGCCGCCATGGTTCGAAGAGTCGTTATCTACCTTGTCGGAAGAGCTGGAAGATACCTTTGGATCCAATTTGTCCACAAGTATGAAGCGGGGAGAAGAGGTGGTAGTGACGTGATTCGGTACAGCTAGAGCTCCGGTGGAGACCACGCCAGATATTACCTGTGGCGTAGATTCTGCACCGAACTTGGATCTCGGACTTGAAATTGATGAGCTTACAGCCAGGTATGGAGTTACGAGACTGGCGCTTGATATCTGTTGGACTGAACTGCCCGTGGCAAAGTTTGCAAGTCGCGACGAGACGTGATCGCCAACTAGTCGTGCATCACGACTAAGAGAGGCATCCACGGTCGTCAAGGGAGATGGTCTTGCTGAAGTGCCAGCGTGTTCGTGTGATTCCACAACGGTTGACGCGCTTTCTACCTGGTCGTTTTCCACGGTATTTTGTAGGACTTCGGGCCTAGATCTGTTCAACGAGGAAAGTGTCGATTCAAAGCTCCATGGGGTTTCTTCATGAACGGGGTTAGTGCTAAAAGCAAAGCTTGGCTTCTTCGTACTACTCGATCTGTTCGACGAGATCGACCTCAAGGTATTTGTGTTCATGAGGAACAGGTCGCCGCCATGGAATACGCCCGGACTCGAAACTAGTTGGCCGTCGGAAGTACCAGGAACATGTGGTTCGCCGTTGCTGGGTTGGAGAGCATTTACGAGCTCGCGGTCATACTCATTAAGGCGCCTGCATTCGCGTGCTGAGACTACTCGGTGACGGTTGTGTTGGTTGCGACTACGTTCCTTCTTGGTACTGATTACAGTCTCTAGACCGCTGTCACTTGATTCTGATTGTGGTGATTGTGACTGTGGCGAAAGTTCAACGCCGGAATCGACGCCCGAATCAGTAGCATAATCGTGTGCACCATCTTGGCCGTTGTTTACGAGGCCATATTCTCGGCCTTGTGATTGGTGACAATCATCAGTAGGCGAGAAGCCGAATGCTGTAGAGAATTCTTGTAGGGTGGTTGTATTGCTGACTTGAGAGGTTATGGTCTGTGCTGTCGGTGATGCCGACGGGACGTTGTATGCTTGAGATCTCGAAACCGAAGCGTGCACGAAACTGTGAATCTTTCCAGGATCTTCATCTACTACAGCTTGTGAATGAGCCTGTTGAGTGTGGGTCGGTGAGTAGTCCTGTGATTCGCCAAACGATTCGAGGAAATCCAAGTCTGGTTGTTGTTGAGTTGGAGAGAGATATTGCGAATTCACGTCTGCATAAGCCAATGGTTGTTGTGAGTTGTAGAAGTTTGGAATATGGCCGTCGTTATTGTATGGCTGAGCACTCAGAGATGAGGATTGATCGAATGATGAGAAGTCGAATGATGAATCAACGTTCATTGTAGAGAAGCTGGTGTCAAATTCAGGGAAGCTATCGTAGTTTGTCATGCTGAAGTCGCTGTATTGAGCATCGAAACCTGGGATAGACATTTCTGGGTTCCATTGGTTGAATTCATCTTCTGGAAAAAGCACAAAGTCTTCAATTGCAAATGATTCAACGGGAGAACTACTTTTTTCAGAGCCTTGTGTTGTTTCTCGAGATAGCGAAGGGGTTGAAGCAACAGGACTTGGATTTGACTGTGAAGGGGGAGAAGGTTTGATTGATGTAGATGTTCTGGATATGTCTGTGTGTGAAGGCCGTCTGTGAGATGGGTCGCACTATAACTGTATTAGAAAGCGTTCGACCATGATTTAGAAAGCTGAAATAGAAAGACTCACTCTAATCTTCTTTCGCTTGCACTCGTCGCAAGCTTTGATGATTCTCATCAAATGTGCATGTTCTCTCTGCTCTTTCGATTTCGTTCCTCGGCCAGCAGAGTTTGTAACATCGATACCGTCCTTGGTCATGATCGAGAAGCCAGGTAGTCTGACTTCGGCAGATTTCTTGACATCTTTCTTGGTCTTCTTTGAGACTCGTGACCCTCTAGTTCGATTCGGAGGGGTGCTAATTGAGCTATAAGTGGAATCGGCAAAGGTAGTTGAGGCGGCAGGGCTGTGAGTGAAAATTGATGGACTCAATCCTGAATATTGTGATTGAGAAGGGCTTTGCTCGAAAGTCCATGGGACAACATCATATCGGCGAACGAGGGAACCGGTATTGATGTCGACGGTTGCATGGTTATAGAAATCGATTGTCACGGTGGAAAGCTTATCTTGTTTGCAAGCATTTCCAACAACGTAAGCATCAATCAACTCCTCGAGCTCTTTGGATCCAAGAGCAGGTTGGAATTGAAGTGGCGCACCCAGGAAAGGCTGGGTGATGGTGAAAGAGTTGAAAGTAGGCATTTGATTTCCTGTAGACATTGTGGATATCGATTGGCTTCAGCCTTGTCGATTAGATAGATGATTTGTAAAAGTGGTAGGGGGGGTTAAAATGATGAATGGGTTTCTTTCCGAGTGACTCTACTTGCCGCGAATTCAAAGAATTGACGACGAGGAGTATTACTGTTGGAGTATGATGAATCTTACGAAAGAACAAAAAGTTTTGGAAGCCTTAAAGGAAAAGCTGTATCTAATATGACTTTCGAGTTAATCTCACGCGAAGCAATCAAGCAGGTCGTAATAAGCCCCTGTTATGTGACCATTCCTATTCTGTACCGGCGAGTCATTGTGGATTTCATTCATTTAACATGATTGGTTCCAGAGATATTCAATTAGCACAGCCTTTCGGCCAGCATGAAACGGAAAAGCGCAGTTCCCCATGATTCTGTTGGCGTAACAAATCAGACAGGCAGAACTTTACGAAAGGTAGCCAATTGTGGCCTATTGGACAGATATGATTGATCAATTGCCCTCACTCATTCACCAATTTTCCGTACATGATATCGGAAATTTCGAGAGCGGGGATGCTAATTGATATAGACCTTCTAGAGTGGCGCACTTGCGGGTCGATGTTGTCTTGCAATTTGACAATATACGGTAGATGACTCATGTTTCTCATATACTCCATTACTCATCGTGCAACCTTTCGGACTCGGTGCTACAATACCACTCCTGGCTGTAGGGCTCATCATTTGTGGAGCGAGGTTGATATTTGTTCCTACTCGGTGTATCATCTTTTGGGGACGGATGACCGAGAGGTCAATGGTGAATTCAAGGGACTACCTCAAGGCCGCGAGATAGGGATTTCATGGATATATATCCGGTCTTAAATGGCGGGGATATGCGGACTGGTCACTAATTGTTTGACCTAAAGAAATTTGGGGTTGCTTTTAGCCTTAAAGCTACTCACTTGTACGGAGGATATCATGAAATAGTATCATGAACATAGATAGTGCTAGTGCTGGAGTAGAGATGCGAGGAAGGAACGTAATGTGTTGAGGGAGTGGAACTGGAAGTACATGGGTTCTCAAGGAGCCAATTGGATACTCTGTCGTAAAGACTGATTAGAATGAGGACCTGGGAGACTAGGAGACGACTATTCTCGATGAGTTTTATTTGGTCGACTAACGGTACCCGGTTTTCTGGAGTCTTTGGGTCCTTGACCTTTGATACTCTCCCTCTCTTGTATTCTACACAGGCTTCATCTAAAACACTGCCATATTTAACCTCGCAGATGATCCTCCCCTAGTGGAATAAATGACAGAGCGTTCACCTCGGCTGTCTGCGCTTGCAATAGTACTAGGCCTAGTAAGCTTATGGCACTGAACAATGCTTAATCAAGTGTTTTGGAGGCTTGACGCGATCGTTCTATACGAATAGATATCTTTGGGCGACTTGAAAGTCATGATGCAGCTGGCGGGACAATACGCAAGTTTGATGCGTTTGTGGAACCAAGAGGATGTTGTGAAGGTGTGAAAGATGACCCCTCCACTGTGAGAAGGGAGGACTTGCTGTAGAAGTTAGACAGGTCGTTGTTTTGCAAGAACTAATTCGGTTTCATCACCCAAAATATCACTTTTATCACTCATCCTCGCCTGTGTGATATCCATATACCACATCAAACGTTCAATACCCACACCCTCCTCAGGCTGTCAAAATGGTTAGAATTGTCAACCATCGCAGCAGAGGTCCACCTAGTAATACATTAAAGTTCCAGTCCCACATCAAACTCGGACATCTCCATAAAGCGTGCGGGTGGAGTGTTGCTAATTCAACAAAACTGACTCCTCCTGTTCTCTCCATAACCACATATTGATGCGGTTATGGTTCTTCTAGTCCTGCAAGCTTTTGTAAATAAGGTAAAAGAGTGCAGTGCCTAAAGGAATGAAGCATGGAGCTTGCGACTTTCAATTGGCAAAAGTGATCGTATAATTTCAAGGAATCCAGCGTATTCAAACTCCCCTCCTTTCCCCTCCTTGACTAAAGGAGAGGAGTGAGTTCTTCAACTTGAAGGAGAGGAGAGGAGAGGATAAATGAAATATCGGGAGGAGACAAAAGATTTTTAGGGCTCAGGAGAGGAGAGGAGAGGAGATTCAACAGACCCTTAAATATTATTATTATTATTATATAATATATTATTACATGATATCTACTATATCCTCTCTTTAGGATGCATAAATACCACTTTTTCGAAGGAGAAGAGAGGAGAGGATATTTACGAAATCGATAAGATTTAGTAGTTTCTCCTTGGCCTTGGGAGAGGAGGGGAGTTTGAATATGCTAAAGGAATCGCATAATCCAATATACCTTGGAATGATTGCACAATCACTTCTTCAAATTCTAGGATATCTTGGAATATAATATCATCAAATTTATATTCTTTCAAAAGTTTATTACAAAATCATTCGGAGCTAAAATTAAAAGTTGAGAAATTGTAGAAAAATCAAGCGACGATAATGTGATTGATTATCTAACTATTTTTTGATGAGCCTACTTACTACCCGACGATTAGCACTTACATGGCCCATTTCAATATCTTCGGGCATAGAACCCCAACGTTTTATCTAACTTCCATCTCTTTGTTAATTGAGTTCTGTGAATATACTCGAGTATATATGAGACAACATGGCTGTCAAGGATAACGCAGAATGTCACTGCTATCATCTATCATCTGTCATCGTTTCTAGAAAATGGCGAATCTCCCATCGATATGATGCCACTGTCGATGAGAGATATGTTACAAATGGAGAAGTTCAGAGTTGAAAAACACTCATATGGGTCTCTGAGAGCGATTCTGAGATGCTGGTTTCGGTTTGTGGGCAGAAAGAAAAGCTATCAAGAATAAGTAATGTGATATACCCAGTAGTTTACTGAGCTCTTACCCAATTGTCTTTCGAAACTCTATACCTCATGAAAAGAAATCTTCAAAATAAAGTTCGTTGCGAGCTAAGTGAGCTGGTGAGTAGTAGTGTTTATTATTGTGACAACAAAGTCCCTTCCGACTGCAGTAGTTCACTATCTTCAGTAATTTCCCCTATTCTTTACAAAATGACAATTTCTTCCGTGCATTCAAAAAACTTCGTTTTATTGAGTACTCCAATACATTACATTCAAGTCTACCATCAATGTAGCTAGAGTTTAGAACAAAACTGGATCCACCTCAAGAAACATTCAAACTTATCACTGAAACATCAAATTGTATTGTAAAATAATCCATCCCACACACTAGACTTTCCAGCTCCAATATTAGCATTCACGCTGATTCATCACATAAGACTGCGATTCTAAGATCTTACAAGTAACATCTACCTTTCTCCCACAGCGGCCGTGTATCCCATAATCCGTCCGTACCAGCAGCTTAAATCTATAAACTTTCAAAGTCTTGTTTAAAAAATTATAATCTTCAAGTGCATGCATGTTCATGCTTCATGCTCTAAATCTATAGATTTATTGAGTATTGCAATTAAAGTCAATGGTGAAAATGGTTAAATACATATGGGGTATCTAGTATAGCAATTCGAGATATCGTAAAATCTTTGTTCGATATACCCTTCTATAGACATAGAGATAATATTCCCAGGCCAATAACATGCCTGATATAACATAGACACCTCCACTGGCAGCAGATTCTGCAAAAGACTCTATTCTATCTATTGACTTGCCTCCTTTCTAAAAGGGAGCTAGCTAGCTGTACTTGTACAAGTATCATATATTTTTCAATCGTTTTACGAGTGATGTTATATTGATTCTTTCATTTACGAATTTAGATATTCTAACTACTTATATAACATCACATAACATTATATAAATATTTTTCATTAATTGCTGGGTGTCACGGTATCGATATTGATATAAATCGTTTTCAAAGAAAGAAAGAAAGAAAGAATAAGAAAATCCTCTAATTGCATACTCGAGTACTATCTATCAATATATTATACTATTTAATTCAATTTGATTTGAGACGAGTAATTCAAGCAAGTATTATTATACTTGAGTAGTTATTCATTATATATTCTTTTTTTGAGAATAAATTTAGGGAATTATAAATAAAACATAATCTATGACCGTGACATGATCTTAACCGTGACCGTGACCGTGACATAAGGTACCCCTTTTCCCCATTCTCTCACTCTCTCACACACACTCTCTCATCCCCATCCCCATCCCCATATCCTTCCCTATCAATACCATATCAACACCATCATTACTTAATCATTCAATCTGTTCATTCATCCATCCATCCATCCATTCATTCATTCACTCACTCCTTCCTTCCATCCCTCATATACATGTATATGTACTCTGCCAATCCAAATCCAAACCCAAATCCACTCCACTCCACTTCACTCCACTGCACATCGACTCACCATACTATTCCGAATCAGATACTCATAGATTCTCAAACACCAACCAATCCCTCCAAAACCCAAACCCAAACACTCTTTTTACCCTTACTCCCTCCCCTCCTCCTAAAAACACCACACCCCACACCCCACACCCCACTCACATAGAAACATCAAGAAACCCCTCCCTTCCTCCCCATCTCACCCTCACCCTCACCCTCACCCTCACCCTCACCCTCACCCTCACCCTCACCCTCTCCTTTTATCTCCTCTCCCCCTCCTCCCCCCTTCCCAATCCTCCCTAACCCCATCTGTACCCAACCCATCTATACCCCATTCCATCCATCTACACAGACTCACTACTCTCTAGCACTCCCATTCTCATTCTCACTCGCATTCTCACTCACTTTCACTCTCTATTACTCTCAATCATGCACTCACTCACTCACCAACTCACTCACCATCCAACGAGCCCAGCCGATTCTGTTCCCACTGATCAAACAGAGACATTTTATTACATTCAGTTCAATTACCAATACAATTCCACTTCCATTTAATATATTTCAATTCAATTCCACTTAACATCATATAATTCCATTTAATTCCACCCTTTCCTTTCCCTTCCCTCCCATCCATTTTCATTTTCATTTTCATTTAGTATTTTATTCTTGAAATTTGTACTCCCTCCCTTTCTCCCTCCTTCCCTCTCTCCTTCCTGATAAAGTTTTTCCCCTATTCGAAACGCAACACCCCTACCTATTGCTATCATATAGAATAGGAGTGAAGAGTAACAAAAAAAACACCCATCCATCCATACCATACCAGACTAGACCATCGCAAAACAAAAACAAAAACAAAAACATAGTCCCAAACCAAATCCCACTTTAGATCCCCAGAATTGGTTGATTCGCCGGAAATGCCAGAGACAAACAAAACAAGAATTCGCAAACCCCAATACCGACCCGTTATTACCATTTGAACATACGAAAAACAAAAAACAGAGAGAAAAAAAAGAGAACTCCTTCCTTATTGCCGCTGACAAGTATCAATTAGACTCCTGCAATATGTGCCAAAAAGCAAAGCATGATAGCGAGATGGTAAAAAAGAACTCGCTTCCCTCCGTCCAGAACCTGCCTTCCGATAAATTCTGAAAAGGTTCCATACGCCTGCCATGCCAAGCCTATTATCGATATGTCTCTTTGTCCAGTTTCCATCCACCACGCACAAACATATGCAGATAATCAAATCAACCATACCCCATTCCCTTCACGCCTGTTTTCTATGTTCATTTCATAATCCCATGTCCAATTTATCCCCATACTGAAGCCTGTACACCAAGATTCTTGTTACCCCAAACAGCACTCTTGGATCCCCATCCCAATCCACTTTCACTCTGTCCTTGTGGATTTGGGTTTGATGAAGCTGAAGTCGTTCTAGCATCCTTGGATTCAGTAATCGAATCATTGGCGGCAAAGCCATAGCTCAATGGCGATGGCAAAGGAGTAGTAGATCGTTTGTTCAAAGCTGGATTGGCGGCTTGACCACTGGGCCGAGTGCCGATAGGTGCAACACCACTAGCAGGTGCCTTACCTCCTTGGCGTGGTGGAGACCCACCAGGAGATGAGGTAGAAGTTCGACTAGACTGTTGAGCAGCAGATTCGAACAAGCTAAAGCTGGTAGGGTTGGAGGATGGAGAAGAGGTGCTGTTAGCACGAGAACGTTGTTGGCCTGGACCTTGTGCCGTTGTGGCCGATTGAGGTTCGATGGTGTTTTGCTGATTTGCGCTTTCCGTTTGACTAGCCTGAGCATTGAAGTGGTCAAAGGCAAGAGGGGAGTGTCCTCGGGTGGCGCCGGGAGCAGCATTAAGATTTTGCGAGGTAGATCCCTGAGTGATTGTGCGCGGGGTACCATTTTCATCAAAACCTCCATTTTCCGCATTGAACGCTGGACCTTCTCCATAGAGAGCACTTCTTTGACGGGCAATCAACTCACGACGTTCTTCTTCGCTCATACCGCTAGCGGGGCTTGCGATACGGTCTGGTTTGCCTCCCAAGATTTCAGCTGTAACGCCTTATTCCAGTCAGTAAATGTGCATAAGGAGTATATATCAAAGATGAATAATCAAGATATTTTTTTTTCATTTCACACAAAACAATTGGAGACGAGATGAAAAAAGTCATGTACAGAATTTTGACTGATATGAACGAACCGCTGGGTAGGAGCCGCTGGGAACAGGGTATAATGACAAATAGGATTTTTATACAGCGGAAGAGGGTGGCCTACTTCGGTTATACTGCTGCTCTTGATGATAGTTGCGCAGTTCTCTCTCACGCTGAGCTGCCATTCTCCTCTTCGCCTGCATCACTTGTTCGGCTTCATTTGCGCCTCTTGCTGGTTGGTGTCGCTGGCTGGCATAGAAGTTCTGAAGATTGGATCCCGAGAAAGACCGAGCATCACCGAATTCGCTAACCGAGTGGTGTCGTGGAGGACCAGCAGCCATTCGAGGATCTGAAAAATGAATAAGTTAGACTCAGAGGATTTGACGTTGTCGTCTGAAGTTGAAGCATACCGAACTGTTCTGGGAAGGTTCTTGTAGGACCAACCATTGGCATGGAATCGCGACGATTACCAGCCGGTAAGTTGAACATCTTTCCACTCTTGACTAGATTATCAATGGCACGATCGACATCTAGATGAATTCATCAGCTTCTTGATCATCATATTCCCAGCACAACCATCACTGAGATGATATCTGATTGTAAATTGTTCCCATCGTAACCCAAACACCCAATATCCTGCGCAGGGCAAAACCTCTTAATGGACCAATTGCTATGACCAGTGTATTTCATTAAACGTACCCTCGATTTGTGTGCTGAATGCAGTGGAGTCCTCGCGCGGAACAACTGAGCTGGCACCTGTAACACCTGTCAATTGACACCCTGGCGATAACAACAAATTTCTCCCAACATACCAGAACGAGCTGGTGGGGCTTGTTGCTCCCATGAAGGTTGCCCAGCGGCAGACCATTGTTGATTATCGTAATAAGACATATTTGGTTGAAAGTTGATTCAAATAGATGCTTTCCAATGAACTGAAGCCTGCAGTGTACTCGATCTGATTGAAAGGAACGTATACGACTGAAGTTGTCGAGAGTGTGGAATTCTGTACAGATCTTACAATTAGTAAAATTATATGGAGCGCATACAGAAAAGATGATTATGTATATAGCCGAGGAGAGAAAATTAATATGGCAAAGGCAGCGAAAGTGGCGGGTGGATGTTTTGGATGAGGGGGGGGGGAAAGAAAAAGCGAAGCAAGAGAAAATTTGTCTCATGAAAAGTCTTAAACTTACCAAAATAAAATGCAGCAGCAATAACACACAACACAACAACACCTTTCTTTTGAATAAAAACAACCAAAAGTATTTAACTCAAGAGAAAGGAACAACCCAAACTAAGTCCGAATGACAAATCGTTATATGTATATAATATCGATAACCTTATTCCAATGAATCTCGTTTGGCCTTTGTTGATGTCGAATAAAGTGTAGGTCGAAATGGTATTGTTGAGGTAGGTGACGATAATTGGAGTGAGTGAAGGAGTGAGAAGGGAAAAAAAAAGAAGGATGAAAAGAGATTAATCTTTTTTGGTGGATTGGATGTACGATACTAAGGTAGGTAGGTAGGTAGTTAGTAGTAGTAATAGTAGTAGTGGGTGGTGGTAGTAGTGTTATTACTGAGTAGTAGTAGTTTAATAATAAATGGAGTAAGTAAGTAGTAGAGATGATTGGGGTATAAAAAAGGTGTATATTGTACTTGTTATTGTAACTTGAATTAGATAAAAAAAAACGGTAGCCAAGGAAAGATTTTATTACAATATCTCCCCCCCCATCCCGTTCTGTATCCTGTCACGCCCCGTCCTTGATGCTTTGCTTTGCTTGGTTTGGTCACTTGGTGGGTAGGTGACAGGATCTCTAATTCGGTGGTAAGGGCCGGTATGAGTGAGAATGGTGAAATCTCTTTTTGGTAGATCCGCGTGTTTGTAGTGGTGGAAATGTTGCGACAATTTTATTATCTCGGGTGGTGATGCAGTAGTGTGTATTTACGAGGAGGGAGTGGAAGCGTATTTTGCCAATAGGTATCCTCTTCCTTTTCTTCTTTTGTCAAAGGAATGCCTCGTTGAAGATTCATACACTATGCTATGCTCTATCCTCGACCATGCTTTCTTCTATCCTATTATATTCGTTATCAACAGTTGAACACGGTTCTCTAGCTCTTCCTATATATTATATCAAAGCTTCCTTTCTAACCCATTTATAACACTAGTTCTACTCGAGTATATCTAATACATCATCTACTTTCCTCATTCATCCTTCATTTCCTTGATCTTGTTCTTGACACCTTTCAAAATAGATTTCGGTACATGGATATGATTTATCAAACGAATCGGAAAAGAGGGGGAAGGGGGCGGGGGGTGGTCTCTGTATATAAAGATGGGTTTGTACAGATAAAAAACCGTTGATAAGGGATCATTATGAGGTACCTACCTACCTTGCCCTTCCATTTATAAGGCTGATTTTCATTTATTTCAAGATTTATCATGGTGACAATGTATCACTTTGTTAATCATGAGATGGAATTATATTCAGCCTCATCATGATTCTTGATAGGAAGTTCTAGATGTTGTTTTAGATGTCGTTCTATTTCTTCTCAACTTGTTCTTAGACATTCATCCTAAATTAGATAGAGTCCGTCGTCGGAGCTTCACTATTTATCTATTTATTGATTGATTGATGCCAACACACCTACCTACCTCTTCGATCTTAACTTTACTAATGGGTACAAGTAACAGAAGACACCTAACCAATAACTGTACCCGTATCATTCATTACCCGGACCAATACGCGCACGTTATAGACTCTTCGATTTCATCCGAGTACCAAAGTAACCTACCTACCTGCCCTGAACTCCTTGAGTCTCACCTGACGAACAATTATCCATAGAAGGAAAACTTGTTCTCTCACCTTCGATCTCATCAAATACCGTACCTCCACTACTGAGTACAAAATTCCCATTTCCAATGGACGATGGATGTGCAATAAACAGGGGGAGTACAATTTCTCAGAGCGCGATATGCGGCTGATCCTTGTAAGTTACCATTCTATTTTCAACTCGTAGATATTCAATGATTGAGAACCATCAAGTTTGAAATAAGTCTCGTCTCAGGTTATCTGGATGAAGTTATCTTATCTACTGTACTCCCGAGGTTTCTCATGGCCTGAGTTTTGTGTGTGAACGGGGAAGAAAGCGAATCAATCAACCCCTTCATTTTACCCCTATTCCAATTGAGGCTGTTATAAAGAGACAAAGTCTTCGACTTATTGACGGATGAGATGAGATGAGATGAGATAAAATCTTTTAGTGAGGAGAGAGAGGTCTTTGAATTCATTCTTCTGTTACAATTTTCAGGAAATGAATAAAAAATATCTTTTCCTTATCGCATCCACGCACCAACTCACTCTGTACACTCCTTTTACAAGAATTCTCTTACCACCCTATCTGGTCTTCAATTTCTACCTGTTATCAAATTCAACATCCTATAAACACAAACACAAAGAAATCTCAAGAAAAGCACAAACGAAACGAAACAGAAGTTACAGAAACTCCTTTTCTCACTCAGACTTTTCTTAAGAAACAATACTAGTCTTCTTTTGAATCATTATACCGGTATATCATCTCATCTCTTATCATTGTATTGGCCAAGACCAAAAGAATCGAGATTGCAAATTCGTAGCTCGAGTTTCCTTCTTTCAAATTTATTCTCAATTCTTAACTTAATTATCAATTCTCAATTTATAATTAAAATAGATTTATCAATTCAAGTTTTAATAAAATATAAACAACTTAATACTTTTATAATAATCTTTCTATCTATAATTACTAGTACTACTGCTCGCTCATCTCTAACTATTTTGGTTCAAGTTTCAAGATTTATTATTTAAAAAATCACTACTATATAATATTAATTAATACTAGTCACTATCACGGTATCATATAGCCAAGTTGTCTTATATTTATACCATATACATCTCATTTCTATTCTCATCCCCCCTCTTCTTTTCACAACTTCAACTTCAACCCAACTTGAAAAACCACATCTCCAACCCCATTTCTATTCCATCCCCTCAGGCTCTTCTTTTCCAACTTCAATCCAAGAACTACAACTAATTCACTTACAACTCCAATGATACGTTACTCGACTACTCGTACTAGTATTATATTACCAGTAGTGACTTATTCATTTCGTTTCGTTTCGTTTCACATCACATATCTTTTATTTACTACTCGAGTACTAAATTTCCATTTCCATTTCCATTTACATTTACATTTCCTTTGGTATAAGTATGAGTATAAACACAATTTCATCTCTTTTCTTCTTATATCTTTTCATCTCATATCCTCTCAATTCATCTATTCATTGTTCGTATCATATATACATATACATACCGTTTGTTCCTTTCCTTTCTTTTCGTTTCCCTTCCACTGGATATCCAACATATCTTATAGTATGAGATCATCGCTCGCAGGAGCAGGATATGCATGTTCTCTGGGCGCGGGGGATGAGATGGGATGGGATGAACTAGTTAGAGTTCATCGGACCCTGATCTTAATCCTTGCAGAAAGAAAGAAAGAAAGAAAGAAAAGAAGTAGGATCTTCGGAGGACCC